TGACAGACAAATAAGATCAAATACTTAGTAAAAGATCAGCTTCAAGACTTTGTGAAAGACTTTAATCAAATTATCAAAATCTGTGAACATGAAATGGTCAGCATCACTATTCTAAAGAAGCAATATCAGAATATATTCAATATGAATGAGATAGAGAAACAAAAGCAGACTAAATCTAAATATCAGATTTAACATACAGAGAGTCTCACTAAACAGAAAGCTCAAAATCTTATCATTTCATCTGCTGCATCTGTTGAACAGTCTGTCATTCAATCTTCTGAGTCTACAGTCTCTGAGTTTAAATCATACTCAGAAGCATCACAGTAATGCAGCAATTACAATTTATCTGATCATAAAGAAATAAAATACCCTCAATCTAGTGTAATTTAATTTAATTTAATTAGAAAGAGGTGAGTATAGATATTTTAAATTAAAATCTAGTTAGTTGAAATACAATGATTTTGATGTTTTGCTCATTGAGATGTCTTGCTCAATATGAAATTACATTATTCAAATCTTTTATAAACTTTTCTCAAAGAACAATTTTAATATAAAGTTCAAATAATATCTACATTCATTACATTATAGTTGATAAATATCATCAAGCAAATAAAATTTTATTTCTTTTATTTGAATAATAATCTGAACATTGATTGAGTTTCTATATTTTTTTAAGTACAGATTATGAAAACAACATCAGATTTGTAGACATCAATATAAGTGTAAGAGTCATCTTAACTTTCTTTAAGATATTGTGTTTACAATAACTTTTCACTACTACTCAAAAAAATCTTGATATCATTATTTTATAACTTTCAATATATCTATTGACTTCTGTTTATTTTACCAATTCTACTATAATTTCACTAAGTGAAAGAATGTTATTAACTAGTTTTTCTTTATCTTAATCGCTCTGGTTATGTCAATATTGAAATTAATCAAGAAGCTTTAAAAGCATTATCAGTTGATGAGAAATTGTTAAGAATGTTACACATCAGTTAATTAAAAAAGGTCAATGTAGATATAATAGCACATTAAGACAATAAAACTTAAGCATATGACAATAGTACATTTAAATCTCTTTTCAAATCCATGGGATTATCCAGATGAAATTGATTGAAATTGTCTATATGTGATTGTAATGTATGTGAATAGGTATATTGTTCAAGGATATGATTGAGAATGAGCACGTGGATGTGGATGATATGCAATATATTCGATTAAAGTGTCTCAAGGAAAAGGGGAGAGAGAGGGAATGTGACAGATTTAAAACGGTATTAATGTCAAAAAAATGTTGGGAGGAAGTTGGGAGGAAGAGTGAAAGTATATGAGATTACATGGGATGGTCATAAGTGAAAAACGAATATATATGAAAATGGAAAATACAGTGAAGTAGAGATCAGAGGAATCCCTCATAAAGTTTTCCCCTTCCTGTGACTGTATTGCTGCTTTTCATATATTTCATGAAATGATCTGTCAAAGAATCTGTAGGTCTTAAACCTCAAAACTCCCACGCGCCACCCGCTTGCCTAGCCATTTATCAAACGTAAAAGTAACCGTAACAGCAAGAATCTAAAATTCCGCCGTCCCCTTTGTCCAACTCCTTCCCCCTCTCCTCATATATATTACTAAACAATATATGAAAATCGGCACCACGCCATAGTAAAATATCTTCGCTTCTCCTCTAACACCGCTCAAATACCCTATACAACGACTTTAGATTCGCAACTTCCACAACGCCCTTGACAAGCTCATTCGTCGCGACCAGCCGGGCCCGTAGAGAAGGGAATAGCACGTGCTCTAGCATCCAGGATATCTGTGCGCGGCGCCGTATGATGCATTCATCTTCTTTTGGAGGTGACGGGTCCTCAGTTGAGTACGGGTCGGGATACGAAGAAGGGTCAGGGTTGGTTGCTTGATTTGTGCTTGTATTGGTGGTACTGCCGCTGGTGCTGGTGGAGGGCTGTGGTTCGTTGGCTGTGGATGTGGATGTGGATGTGGGAGCGATTATAGGGCCATTAGGGTCTCCGCTGGCTGGTGTAGGTGTGAGTTTAGGATTTGCTGTTGCTGTTTTTGTTGTTTCGTCTTTGCGTGGTGTGTTCTTATTGGGGACAAGGGGTGGGGTGGGTAGTTGTTCGGGAGTGTAGAAGGCAGCGAGTTCGCGGAGGAATGTGCTGAAACAGGCTTCTTCGTCAGTCCAGTCAACGTATGGGCCCAGGCGGAGGAGGAAACGGGGAAGTTTTGCTAACGAGGGCATGTAGCCCTTTAGCAGTAGAGGGATGGAGAGGAGATTTCCCTCTTCGGAAATGGAGAGGGAGAAGTACTCATCGAGCATCTCGCGGCGTTCGATGAGCTGCGTAGCTACCGTCGTGACTATCCGGTCAAAGTCGATGGCGTCAATTTCAGATGCAGGGATCCCCTCCTGTTCTTGCCTGGCTCGGTACTCATCACGCTCCAGGGAGACGGCGAGGTATAACAGGTCCACGAGCTGCGGGGAGGATTCTAGGTTGATCCTGCCGAAGTTCCCGAAATCTGTCAGGCCGATTTGGTAGAAGAATTCGCTGATAACGATGCCGTAGTCGACCAGGAAAAGCTTGACGCCGGACTGAATGGCTGCTACCCGTCGTCGTTCGTCCACAAGCCCGACGTAGGTGAGGGAGGCGAAGAGTTCGGTGAGGCTATTGTGCATTGATGAGCGGACGGCGGCGCGGAGACTTTTAACGGATGTGAGCTTGACCTGGGTGGGCTCCCGGTCTGTGTTTTCGTAGCGAAGACCGTCGCCGTCTGCTACAGTGGATTGTGGTTGGGACAGACCGTTGAGGATGGGGGTTGATTGTGATGACGCGGGGGGTAGCATCGAGGTTATCTTACGCATGGTGACGTCTGTCCTTACGAGGTTGTTCTCGTATGGACGTTTTGTGCCGGAAAGGTTTCGAGATGTTGGTGGTTTATCGTTCATTGAACTTCCCTCTACAGTACTCTGACTTCGTCCAACAGGTAGTAAAGTCTGAACCATAAACGTCCGACTAGAATCTACCGTTGCCAGTTGCTGTTGGATGGCAGTACATATGGAACTAAAGATCTCGTCCTCGTTTAGGAAATTAACTTCCCTTTTGGTTGGGTGGACATTCACGTCGACTCGCTGCGGCTCAATTTCCAGATCGAGATAGGTAAATGGATGACCACCCTTTGGGAGAAAATTGGAATACGTCTGCTCTATTGCCCGCCGAACTGCAGAAGATTCCACAGAGCGGTGATTAATGAACAAGAGGATAGTGGTCCGCTTCGCATGGTAGTTTGCATTACTGACCCAGCCTGAAGCACGGAATCCAAGTCCTGGGTCTTCAACGTTAAAAGTGACAAGCTCACTGGCCACAGCACTACCGTGAATTTGGCGAATTCTATCTACTGTCGTGGAGTTTGTTGACGTTGAAATGCTGACTCCAGAATCGCCGTGTTTCTTGCATGAAACTGCGACGCCAGAGCAATGTACAGCATAACGGCAGACAACGTCAAGGATTTTTGCGTATTCCTCGCTTGAGGATCGGAAAGCCCGACGTCGTGTAGGGATGTTGTAAAAGAGATCCTCAACCTGCATTTGTTCTGTGAGCTGAAGACGCTTAAATAATGGGTATAATTTTGTCTTTGTGAGAAGCCATACCGTGATCTGAGTTCCGCCCCGACCAGCAGTTGGCTTTGGTTCTGCGCTTTGGCCAGGTTTAGCGGGAACTAATTTCCCGTCGCTGTAGTGAGCTTTCCAGGCGCAGCTTGACCCCGCTGTCTTTGTAGTAACGGTGAGATGCGCTATGTGACTGATACTCGCCAAGGCCTCTCCACGGAAGCCGTAGGTACCAATAGAAGACAGGTCTTCAAACGCTTTGAGCTTGGAGGTGGTGAATCTCTCGCACAGTATTCCAAGGTCATCGCACTTGCAAGGCACGCGGTTAGCCTCCAGAAGTCAAGGAAACAGTTCATAGTTTGAGTACGAAGTAGATACAACAAAAAAAAAAAAAAGAAAAAAGAAAAAAAAAAAAGAAAAAACATACTTCAATTCCGTGTCCATTATCGGTGATCTGTAGAAGTTTCAAACCCCCATCCTTCACCAAGATTTCGATGGAAGTGGCGCCGGCATCGATGGAATTCTCGATCAATTCTTTCAGAGCATGCATGGGGGCCACGATGATCTCCCCAGCAGCGATCTTATTCACCACATCTGGGTCAAGAGCCTGTTAAGGGCAAGCTGTCAGCAGGTACATATGAGATGCAATCCACAATCCAGTGCATATAGGGAGCGAAGATGCATGTCACGTGGCGATGATATTCTGTACTGACCTGGATTTTCCTTGACAGTTGGGGCTGCATACCAGCATCTGTGGCCGATCGCTTTGTACCTCGCGGCTCCAAAGGGTCTACATCCATTACTTCGTCGGCCATGGTGCCAGGATTGCGGGAACCAAATCAAAAAGATAGTTCAGGGAGGAGAGCAGCTTTTTAAGAACTTCGAGCAGCGGCATGGGCTGGTTCTAGCCCCTAGTTACTGCACGCCTATGCCTTGGACTGCGGGAATTCGCGGGATTGGTCCAGCAGCAGAGAAAGCCAACAGAAGGCAAACCATTCCTGTTGCACAGTCTGCAGACAAACGGCTCCAGGCAAGCGGAAATATGATACCAACGACAGAGGCTGTATCTGTGGTTATGTTACTAGACACCTGATATCCTTGGGTCCAAGCCTGCGCAATGATTAGGTAAGCTAATCTTTCTCTCTGCCGCCGATGCTTAGTCACGGGTTTGCTGTTGGTTTCAGGGTCTGGACTACAAGGGAGAAGTCAAAGATGCAATGGGCGAGGAATAGCATCCAACAGTTCAATAATAGACATAATAGTGAGATATGGATGAAGGGATTGAGGGGAAGGTCGGCTACCGGTAGTGCGCCAGTTAATTATGGGGCCTGAGCACAACGGCATTCCCGGCAATGTGGGGCGCGCACTTGGGGAACTTTTTTTAATTACTACGTAGTTTCAGGGTGGCTAGTGCTTCTTCAACTATCACACGACGAAATGGGGTCAAATCACCAGCGTCGGTCTTGCACTGTGTGAATGTCAGTTGGAGCACTGCAACGGTTTTAGACGTTGGTATGCGCCTTGCGCTGGACGCGTATGCAGATGGCTGTTCCGGCCTCTCTATATTGACACTATGTATGTTTTCCTCTCCAAAGGCAAAACAGCCAGCCATCGCCGCGTCAGACCTTTGATGATATGCTGTGCTCCCTGAGAAACTCGACTCACCAGGCTGAACATTTCGAGCTAATAGACGGTTCACGACCTGTGTTCTGGGCCCCCGATATGATATGCAATACATACCATACGTACATAAACACTGCATGGGTCCGTCCCAGGCTGGCCGAGAGCCAACAGCACTTGTTATTTGTGAATGGTCTATGAAAATATGGACTTTTGAACGGATTTCAGTTTCAATTCTCCACCGAATGCGAGAGGCGAGTCCTTGGTATGGATTGGAAGTTATTTTCAGCCCTCATCTATAATTCATCTTGAAGAGCAACAATCGGCCGGGTACGACCCGGATCGCGGTTCCTGACATCATCAGCTCAAAAAGTCTAGACTCAGGACTTCTGAGACGATGATAATATCCATGTCCTTTGTCAAGCATAATTTGTTTATGGGCTTTTAATAAATGTGACTTCTGACTGAATGACACATTCAACTGAGCAGTGCACTAAATCGAGTTTACATAGAAGTAACTAACTAGTTAACTAACTAGTTAACTAGTCGACCAACCAAACTTAGTTAATTAGTTACGTCAGCATGATTCATCAGCTCAGTTAATTGTGATTCAGATGTTCAGGAATGCTAAGTTACTTTATTGCGCAGCTAACTAGTTAACTAACTAGTTTAGTTAACGTAATTCCCCATCGAGCGAAAGATTAAATAACTGTAGCCCAACTAACTAGATTTTAACCTGAAATATCTACACTCAACAACAACTAATTAATTTAATTTAATTGACACTAGGATTAGGACATCTTGTTCTCTTATGACCAGGCAAATTGCAGTTGCTGCACCATTGTGGAGCTCCTGAGTGCGGATGAGAGCCTGCTGGCTGAGGCTCGCAAGGTTGAATGACAGGCTGTTCAACAGGCTCAGTAGATGGAATAACAAGATCCTGAGCTTCCTACCTAGTTAGACCCCCTTCAGATTGAATCTGATGATTAGATCTCTTTTGTTTTTGCTTCGTAATCTCATTGGTGTTGAATATATCCTGATATTGCTTCTTCATAATAGTGGCATTGACCATTCCATATTCATAGGCCTTGATAATTTGATCAAGCCCTTCTACCAAGCTATGGGGGGGAATTTTCAAGGCCTTGTCCCATAAGATTCTTGACCTTATCTGCTTGCCTATGTAATTGCTGCGGGTTGCTAGGTGTTTGAAGTATCCAGGATGACCCTGAGTTGCTGGATAAACTACTCAAGGGGATAGGAGTTCAGAGCTGAATATCTAGTTGCTGGACAATCTGATCAGGTTCAAATGGGGCTATTCCAGTAGCCATGAAGCCACTCTGAATGTTTTGAGTCTTAAAGGCCTCTGCGCGTGCTGCAGGATAGGCATCTTAGAAGTTATTCTTCTTAATAATATTGAATCCAAGCCGCATGCGTTGTTCCACCAAGCCCCATATACCCATTTTAAAACAGTAAAAACACTAACATCCAGAGACTGTAGAAGGTGGGATGAATGTGCTGACATGCAAAGAGGAATAATCTTATTATTATTCTTGTAAAGCTGATCAAATTTCAGAATAAGATGACTGCTGTGCCTGTCCAAGATAAGAAGAATATGAGGACCAATTCTATGTGAATTGACAGTAGGGATAAACACTTTAATAAGTCATTTCATCTCTATTTCATCTATAGTCCAGCTATTGACACTAACATCAAGCCTTCAGTTATTTGGCAAGCCTTCAAATCAGCCTTCTTGAAGATTCTTAGCTTTCAGAATAATGTATGGAGGTAGAGCTCAGTCTAATACATTGATAGACTCAATTGCAGTGTTCCATTCACAATTCCCAGCCTGTAGTAGCTTTGCCCAGCCATAGCACTCAGCACTAGTAATGATCTTATTGCTGGTACACATCCCCATTGCAAAGCCAGTCTCATCAAAGTTGTTTATATCTCCAGTCTGAATTCTATACTATGTTAAAGTATTCTCTAGAATTTTAAATCAATTCTGAATAACTTCAATATCCTCATATTTTGCTTCATCATGATTATAGTATCTGATATAGCAACATTAAAGCTCTATGCAGTATTTAATCAGTCTTAAAATCCAGTTCTTGTCAATGCAGTAAGGAGTAAAGGTAGATTGTTATTGAGTAAGAGGATGATTGACTATATTCTCTACAAAGACTGACCAGGGAGGTAATTCTTGTTTAGATAGATCTAGCATTCATTCAACTATCAGATTCTCTTTAGCCTCAATCAGCTTAATTAAATTTGCATATAAATTCACATGTGCAGATCAGCCCTTTAGTCAATGATATAAAATAGTGTAGAGAATATTGAATAAGTGTATAGCTTCAGCAGTTGAAGTTATTTCTTATTTTTTAATAGCAGATATTGCAAGTTCAATTTTTCTCTTTATTTCTATAGAGTTTCTTGCTTTTTTATTAGAAATTGATGGCATAATTACGTATTGAAATAGATGAGTTAGGAAATAGAAATTATTTAATTTAATTTTTCACTTGATGAGGAATTTCGCTTGGAGAATTACATTACTTACATATTTGAAAGTGATAAAGATTTGCTTATTTTATGAATGAATTATAAAAAGATTCAGCAATTCTTAAAACTTCTAAGATGTTAGTTTATCTTCAGCCTTTTCCAGAAGCATAGTGGATAAAGATAGAATGAATCCTCAACTAGATAGTAGTTGAGATGAATGGTAAAGGTTTTTTTTATACCATATAAATATAGATATTCTTTAATATATAACATGACTTACCACTAAATGAGCTATACTACTAAATCAGCTATGTTTTCGCAATATACTGCAATTTAATTCTTCAACTTTTACTGCTTCAAGATGCCAAATAAAGAAGTTATTCAACTTGTAATTAAGAATTTAATAGCTCAAAAGATCAAAAATTATATTATAACTACTAGAAAGTACTCAATTAATAAGAAAATAATATACTGGTATTATAATGACTTGCAACTCATACAAGATGAAGCAGCCTCTTAACATAAGAAGAAGCTCTCAAATCAGCAAAAATAAACACTTCTACTTCATATAGAGAAGCTTGTAGCTCACAGCTTTGCTTCTATGTCTCAAATTATTTGAAATCTTATTGTGAAAATTATCAAAGAATCTGTTGAAATTCACTGAGTAAGGTACTTTACTGAGCACTATAAGACTCAAATTCAAAGAATTTATGTCTATAACATTGATCAAAAACACAAAATAGCAGATAATTCTACTCATTTTAAGCACTATTTTCAAATAGTATTTTGATCTTTTGCTTATTTTCTTGCACTAAGTTCTCTATAGACTCTTGCTAACTATTTTGCTGTGTGACTACATAGTTTAATGAGAAGATCAAAAAAATATAATATTAAGTCATCAAATATCTACAATTTTGATAAAAGAACTTCTTAATTAACATTGATCAAACTACTAAGCAGATTGTTTCAGTTGAAGCTCTGAAGACAAAGTGAATTACTGCAGTTCAAGATGACAGCTATGAATCCATCTCTCTACTTGCAGTAATAAATACAGATAAAATAGCTCTTTTACTTACTTTTATTTATCAAGAAGAATTTTACAATATGTTGAATATATGACTAAAGAATCTGAATAAGAATAATATAACTTATTTTGCAGTTTCTGAGAAAGATTGAAATAATGATGACTATGAGCTTAACTGAGTGAAATGAATCTTTAATAAGCATATTAAGACTAAATCAAATTACAGAAAATATTTTCTTATTTTTGATGAGCACTCTTCTCATGTCAATATAAGATTTATTAATTTTATAGATCAAAATTGAATTCTTCTTATAGTACTATCTTCACATTCAACTCATTGACTGTAATTTTTGAATATTGATATTTTTAGTTCTTTAGCAGAAGCATACTCTCACAATATTAATAATCTTTTTTTCAGTGAATTTGAATTCATTCAAATGATAAAAAAGAGCTTTTTATTAGTCTTCAATTCTGCATGAGATCAGTCTTTAACAGTTAAGAATATTCAATTTATATTTGCTGTCACTGATATTTATTTTTTCACTTCTGAGTGTGTTCTTTACTGATTTACAAAACAGTTTATATCTTTAGTCAATTTAGCTTCAACTGAGATTGCTATACCTACAACTACTTATACTCTTTGATATAATATTAAGAGAATTTGAATTCAGCAGAGTCTGCTCTTTAAAGAAATGAAAAAAATCATACATGCTAGTGAGAAGCTTGTCTTTAAAAAAAAAATACTTGCACATGAGAATAAGACTTTAATTAAAGCTTTATACAATAAAAAGAAGTGATAATAGTATAGAAAGTTCTTAAATCTATTGAATCTGAAGCAGCAGTCTGATCAGACTCAATTCTTCTCACCATTCAAAATTCAACAAGCTCATGAGAGGATTCAGAAAGCAGATCATAAAAAGGAGAAGAAAGCTATTCAATAAACTCAAGAGTAACTTCAATGTGATCTCTAAAAAGTACATAAAGCTGAAGAGGCTTAGTAAAAATGAATTGAATGATAAATAGCTCAGACAGCAGCTCACAAAGTCTATGAGAAAGAGAAGGCTAGAAATGCAGAGCAGTGTGAAGCTAAGTGACTTGCTAAAGAGGTTAAAAAGACTTAGCTTAAAGTTGAAAAGCAAGAACAGACTTGTACTCATGCTGCAAAGTGAAAATTGATTAGTTTAACTATGATTGCTTCAAAGCAATGGCAGAAGCAGACACCTACAGTGAATTCTAATTCTTTAAACTCTATCTGATCTTTGAAACTAGGAAATAAGATTAATTTGAATTTTTCAGAGTAGCTTATTACTGCTTTTACTACTAATTCAGAAATTAATACTTTTTTAATCAATCTTCTTGCTTCATGCTGAGTCTTCTATTATGATCATATTCTTCAATCAAACACATATCTATTTTATTAAATCATTTATTTTATATGAAACTAGAGAGTACTCTTATTATTATTTAATAATCTAATTAATATTTATTTCATTGTTGTGAAATTAATTAGATTCTAGTAAGTTGAGACAATTTTGCTAAGAACATATGACATTTTATCTCTATTATCTGTGATATTCCACCTTTATTCTTTCACTTCTTTCTATATTAGTATTCAATCTCTATTCACCTTTCTCTAATTCACTCAGAGGTCTTAATTTTTTCTATATTTCTTATTCTATATGATCACTTCTATCATATAGAGCAATTATAGTATGTATATATAGCAGAGCATCTGCCTATCTTATTAGAAGAGAATCAGATATGATTTATTCTATCTATTCAATTACTTGTATATATCAAATTGATAGCATGTTTATGTTTCTCTAAAAAGTTCAAGATCTGCTGAATCAATCAAGATTTAAAATTCACTAAATCAGTTACTCTAAATCATAATTACTAGTCACTCTGATTCATAATCACTAGTTCAATCACTTTAAAAAAAGCATTAGCTGTGGTATCATTCTCTGAGTCAGATTTTGATTGCCTTCAAATAATTGTATTAATCATCTTATAAAATGTCAAAGATAAATGCTCTCATTATTCAAACACTCTCATCATTCTGATGACTTCTGAATTCTCAATAAAATCAGAAAGTGCTGAATTAGCTGGCAAGAAGCAAGATACTAATGAGAACATTCATCATAACAGTTCTCATCAATACATGCAAGCATTCACAGAAAAGTATGTGATAGCAATTACAGAAGTGTGAAGAAATAAAAGCAGTTGATACACAGAATTATGACTGTTGATCACTCTCTATAACTGTCTCAAGACAGAGAAGATGCTATTTACTGTCTCTGCAAGATGATATAATGAGATGAGTGCAACAATGCAGAAAACTCCAGTAGTAGAATGAATGACTGTCTTTCATCAGTGAATTCAGATGTTCAGAACAGAAGTCATCAAGCATATCAGAGATCAGAGATTTATCACTTTTGTCTTTGCATATTTTAGTCATTCAGTTGTGAAAGATGATCACTGCAATGAGAAAGTGATACTGAACATCATAGAGAAGCTCAAAGAGCTTAATATATAATTAAGAGAGCAAGAGAACAGACTGATAGATCTTGACATGTGATTAAAGAAGTGAGAAAACTGAGTGACAGATCTGAAATCCCAGCTCTATATTCATGAGTCTCTTCTCAATGAGTAGAAGAAGGAACTAATTACTTATGAGATTCACTTAGAGTGCATTAGTATCATTCACTTATTCATTGCAAGATCAGATCTGAGAGAAGTCAGTCAAAAAGTATTGAGAGCAACAAGCTGTCTGTGAGAGTCAATTTTGCATGTCAGAGTCAATCTATAGTGTGATAGAACTGCCAGCATAGAGCATTACACATACAATGTAGAAGACAATAAAATAAGATAGGATAATCAACTCACTGCTGAGAGATATGGTCAATTCACATTCTCAATGACAAGCATTTGAGATGGAATCATTATCTCTTTATATAGTCAGAAGCAGCTAATGAGGCTTCAAGCAGCAGACCTCATGCTTTATGACTTAGACAAGGTAGACATAACTGCTTTTACATCAGAATTAGAGTTCATAACAACTCTGGAAGAGGAGACAGTGGTTCTCAGAGTGATTCTTCTATATCTCAAGAAGAGAACTCTGAAGTGGCACAATGAGCTATCATCTGAATGCTGGAATGAGATGGTAGTATTGCTTGTGATAACAGTCAATGAGCTACAGAGTGAGTTTCAGCTTTCAGAAGAGAAGATCTGGAATCAAGTGCAGAAATTGTGATTCTCATTTGACAAGCATCTTTTGTGGAAGGGATTGAAAAGCAGCCTAGTGATGATCATCTCCCTCATCTTGACAGAATGCCTAGATGATTTTCACAGGCATATACATGATAACAAGCTGGCTGCTAGATGCACCTGAGGAGATTGACAACAGCAACTCCTTAAATATGAGAGAGTGAGATACTGGACTAAGAATAGGCCTCTTACATTCCATCAGCACGACCATGCAAAGAATAAAAAGAAAAGAAAAGAGAGGTGGAAAGAAAGAATTATGAACTCAATTATGATAACTGACAAAAGGAAACCCAAAATAGCACGTCAAAATGAATAGAGGAAAAGTGCCTGAACCCCTTCTTTTGGACAGGGGGACTGTGGCGTTCCGCCCCTATTATTACCTGTGGCATTCCGCCCCTGGTGTTCCACCCCTATTCTTTCGCCCCTTCCTATATTAGTATCCACTCTCTATTCGCCCGTCCCTAATCCACTCAGAGGCCCCAATCTTTCCTATATTTCCTATCCTATGCAATTGCTCCTACCATATAGAGTGATTATAGTGTGTATATATATAGCAGGGCATTTGCCCATCTTATTAGAAGAGAATCAGACATGATTTATCCTACTTATTTAATTGCTTGTACGCATCAGAGCAGCTCATTTAGTGATATGGCTCGTTTAGTGGTAAGTCACGTTACTAACTACCCTCAAGCTACTTAATGGGTTTATTGGTAAATAATGCAGTGACACTCTCCAGAACTTGCCCTCTTTACAGAGTAACGAGGTTATCATAGAGCTCACTAGTGGGGAGATTTGAATGCAGGAGAATCTCAGATAGATTACTATTAGAATATATATTCTTCTCTTACAGTGAAATAGAATATTCATAAGTCTCAATGCTTCGGGAGCACAGTCTACCGCGATATTATTGCCCAGCAATCAATGGAAGTGCGCTTGGAGGTTCTCCGGAATCAAACTGCTCATCTATCTCTTGGCGACATCAACCTCCAACCTCCTTTAACCTCCCTCAAGTGCTGGTAGAAGAGCCAACAACTTCACAACAACCGACATTGATCTTTCCCCAGCCCATTTTGCACGGTCATCGTGGTGAATATACGCCTCTGGGAAATAGCCCCGGATATTAACCAGGTTTATTTCCATTATAAATGAACCTGGACCCCTAAAATCATCCATCCGTCGCCATCTTTCGTCCCTCGCTAGAAGTGTCTCCAATAACTAACAACGCCGCCTGCGAAAGCCATTTATCTACTCTGGTTGCAACCATACGCCCTTAGATCCCCTTCAACTTGGAGACAGCGTATCTCCCTTGAATATCCCTCGAATGCCCCATCTTCACACGGAAGCTCCCGTGGAGCGCATTGACTGTAATCGCGTGCATATCTATCATGACTCTACCAAGAAGAGTCTTTCTCCGCGATGAAGAACTGGGTAAAAAGTACGACGACGAACCCTCTCGAAGGTCTGCAAAGTCCAACCCATTGAAGTCGTCGCTACCGTCATCATGGAAACCCCCCCGAAAAAGACGTATGCTCCTCGCCTTCGTTGGAATTTGCATCCTATACCTATTCTTCAAAAACAGATCTACCGATTTAACGTCTGCCTCTAAGCGATTTAACCACCTCTGTCCAAACCCACGGTTTGCCGCCGGACAACAGCCGGTTTCAGATGACAACACCATTCCATCTGACACGCTTCGCCGTCTGTCTGAAGGCCAGTCTCCCGATACGAGCTCGTATGAGGACGTTGATGGTTCATACAATTACAACGGTCCGATAAAGTTTTATTCCCTTTTCAGAACCCTAAATTCAGAGTATGGCTACGCCAAGTTTCGTCGATCTAGTAAAGGAGTGCTCTTCGCCGCGGCAGATTTGAAAGCACTGTCCGACCTTGTGCCCTTGGCTTGCGAAATGGCTAGGCAGAACTACAATATTGTCCATTTTGCGGTGATGGGGAGGAACAATGTATCGATAGAGGGAATACAGATGGTTAATGGAGTGGATAAAGAAGGGTGTCCCGTTTTCTGGCATGGTGAGTTGAATTAAGCAGAATTACCATTGGCTCAATAGGTGCTCGGGCTTTGCTAATGGGCCGTGTCGGGTTTTGTCCAAAGATGCACGTCCGGATTATGCCTCACGGTCTACTGATGCGCGGATGGAAGCAAGTGTCAAAGCTGGATTGTGGCATTTTCACAACAGTCTGCGCCCCCGGGCTACAATTACACACGGCGAGAGCCATGAGGAGCGTTTCTTTTGGACAGCGGCAAAAGCCCAAGCAGGCCAGATAGGCATGCATCACATCAACCTTCCAGCTCGGGCGGCCAACTTCATGTGGATGTCAAAGCTTGACTCCAGTTCGCTTGGAGGTATGTTACGTGCAATGTCTGCTTATACAACCCTAAATCCCCTGAAATATAACTTAAAATCTGAATACTGATATTTTACTATTTTCATTAGCTTGGAATAAGGTTAATATGGAAATCCTTGTGCATGCTCTTCCAGCGTCCTCAGGCTCATTGATTCGATTGCTCGAGTCGCTGCACGAGGCAGACTATTTTGGTGATGCCCCTGGATTAACGATCGGGTTGCCACCTAATGCTGATCCTCATTTACTCTATTACCTGTCATCATTCAAATGGCCACCTAAGAGTGAACATTGCCACTTTACTCTTCGACGTCGAATACAGCTACAAATAATGACCCCCGAAGAAGCAGCCATTCGTACAATAGATTCAATCTATCCCAAAAACCCCGTACACTCTCATGTTCTCGTCCTCTCCCCGCAAACAGATCTGGCACCATCCTATTACCATTTCCTCAAATATGCCATTCTAAAATTTAAATATTCCATCATTACCAGGCCAGCTTCGCACCGTCTTCTAGGAATCTCTCTCGAACTCCCATCTGCAGCACCGACGGCCGATTACGAACCTTTCACTCCACCAACTCCATCAGAGCCCACCGACTCTCTTCAAGATGTCGAAAAGGACATTCCTGTATTCCTCTGGCAGGCCCCAAATAGCAATGCAGCCTTGTACTTTGGTGACAAATGGGTTGAATTTCATTCCTTCCTTACCAACCGCCTTCAATCTCAGTCTCTCAAATCAAAATTTTCGGCCAATCTCATTTCGGAAAAGTTGCCATCGTGGATGGAATATATGCTCGAGTTAATCCGGGCTCGTGGTTATTATCTTCTATACCCTTCTTTCCCTGCATCAACCGACTTCGTCCTAGCAACAACTCACAGTGAACTCTATCACCAACCGGAAGAGTACCATAACCGCGAAGTTCAAAAGACATCCCAATCCGAAACTGGACCCGAAACCGAAACCTATCTAGGAGATGAGAAGATCGATAGCCCCAAAAAGACTCTCACAGACTCAACGCCAGAGAAATCACGAGAGCAGATACCTAATATAGGGGCCAAGGAAAGGGTATTAGCAGGGTCTTCGACCATCTCAAATCTACTTAGTTTATTCCCCGGTGGCCTACCGGAGCTATCTTCCTTGGGTATCTTGCCATATTCCCAGAGAGATGGCCCGTCGCTTAACATCCTTGACAGGACGAAGGCATATATGAAAGAATTCCGGAAGAACATTGGCGGGTGCGATGCTGCTGCTGACGACGACGACGACGACGCTGAGCAACGAGTGGATACATATATCAGAGCGGATGATTTGTTCTGTTTGGGCGAGGATGACTAGGGACTTAGGGTGGATGGAGGGTTGTGAGTAACTTTTGTCTTGAAGGAACGCCTGTATTAGTACGATGTCTTTGTTTTTTTCTTTCTTGTTTTCTTTGTTTTGTTCGTTCGTTGGCTGGTAGTATTTTTCATGATTTATTTGCTTGGAATTTATACTGCTTCAAAGCATGGGGTTTCAAAAAGCATCATCAAGTTGAGCCCCTTCCATACTTTTGTGGATTTTTCTATATTCCTCAGTTAGTTTTACTTTGGGAATACGGTGGTTGCTCCCCAATCGACAAAAACCTTGAATCCTACTCAATTGGGCTTGCTGTATACTAGTAATCTAGGGTTATTTTTTCTTGATCTTTTTGTATATAGGAAAGAAATATTAAGAGCTTTATGAGCAAAAGGGTAGGACAAGTGTTAACTATCCAAAGTTATCGATCATCTTTTCATACAAGCAGCTATCTGTGCAGATTCTGCTGGTGCGAAGTTGAAGGTCACGTGTTGACGTTCGGCTTAGGTAACTGACGGCTGGAGCTCTGACAAGTTGAATATTGAACAACATCGAACGATCTATCCTCTCAAAGCTCTCAAGTTGACCTTCTCACCAACAATTTTAATATTAAACACAACAGCCTCAAACGTGTTTCATTAGACACCTGTCATTACCGTCTCACCATAGATCCTTTGCAAGAGATTAGCTGCCCGGGCTTCGTAGGCGCGTTTCTTGACCTTTCAGACCTTGCGCCATGCCGAATGACGAGCGACCCAAAGCAGCCGACAAGGGCAAAGGAAAGGTGGACGATGTCAGGGACCTGGATGGAGAGAAGAAGGATGGTAAAGATGCCAAATCTCTGACGAATGGGAAGAAGGAGGAGGAAACAAAAGAAGGTACGGAATGGGAACATCCTACCTGCTCTTGTTCCTCCTAACCCTCCGCGGATAAGTGCCCATGTTATGAATGGAAGCTAACGAATATGTGGTTGCTATTTTGTAGAAGAGCTTAGTGAGGAAGACCAACAACTTAAAAATGAACTTGAGATGCTCGTTGAGAGGTTACACGTCAGTTACTATTCGTCGGCCGTGGTTGATGGTGCGCCTACTGGGCTTACAGCCGGTTTGAAATCTAAAGAGCTAATGGGCTTGCGCTTTTTTAACTACATAGGAATCCGATAAGTCTCTCTACAAGCCTGCTTTGGAAGCTATAAAAACCTTCATCAAAACGTCTACATCCTCTATGACCGCTGTTCCGAAACCTCTTAAATTCCTTAGACCACATTATGATGAGCTTGCTGTGCTTTATGAGCAATGGTCCGCGGGTGATGATAAGGTGCGGCATTTTCTTTTTTTGACAGTTTGATATATCTGTCTTTGTGCTAATCGGTATATGCATCTAGGACTCCCTTGCGGATATGCTATCGGTTCTGGGCATGACCTACGGAGACGAAGAGAAGCTGGAGACCCTCAAATATCGCCTGCTAACCAAATCGAACGATCTGGGCTCGTGGGGTCACGAGTACATCCGACACCTTGCGCTGGAGATTGGGCAGGAATACCAAAATCGGTTGACGGATGATAAGGATGTGCAAGATTTGGTTGATCTTTCTTTATCACTGGTGCCATACTTCCTAGCCCATAATGCCGAGGCAGACGCAGTGGATCTCCTGAGTGAACTTGAGATGATCGAGGAAATACCCAAGTTCCTTGACGAGAATACGTACTCGAGAGTCTGTCTGTATATGGTCAGCATGGTCAACCTTCTCACATACCCTGAAGACCATCAGTTCCTGCGGACGGCACATGACATCTACATGACGTACAACAAGCTCACTCAAGCCATTGTTATTGCTATTCGTCTCAACGATATCGATCTTATTAAGAACGATTTCAATTCAACTAACGATCAGGCTATCAGGAGACAAATGGCATTCCTTATTGCGCGGCAACAGATATGGCTTGATTTGACACCAGAGGAGGAAGAGGAAGGCGGCCAAGAGCTAACAGAGTGCCTTCACAATATTCAGCTACACAACCACTTCAAGGCCCTTGCAAAGGAACTCAATATTCTAGATCCCAAGATGCCGGAAGACATCTACAAAACACATCTGGAAAACAGTCGGGGGGCTGGGCTCACTAATGTGGATTCCGCAAGACATAACCTGGCAAGCGCTTTCGTCAATGCTTTCGCCAATGCTGGATTCTGCAACGATAAACTCATGTTAGTGGACGGTGATAAGGGGCCCTGGGTTTGGAAAACGAAAGATGACGGTATGCTTTCCACGGCTGCGTCGTTGGGAATGCTGCTGCAATGGGACGTGGAGGAAGGTCTGGATAAAATTGATAAATTCACGCTGGCTGAAGAGGAGCAGATCAAGGCAGGAGGATTGCTTGGTATTGGTATCCTAAACTCTGGCGTTCGACTTGACGCAGACCCGGCAATGGCTCTACTCAGTGAATCTGTTGGACCAGAGGCCAAGAGTGTGACAGTCAGGGTGGCAGCAATAATGGGTCTGGGTCTAGCGTATGCCGGCTCGTGCAAAGAGGAGCTCCTCGAACTCCTTCTGCCCATCGTTGAAGATGCCTCCCTTGATATGCAAATATCTGCCATGGCAGCTGTATCACTGGGAATGATTTTTGTCGGCTCTTCCAATCATCAAGTTAGTGAGGCTATCGCGACTACCTTGATGGATGAGGAGAGGCAGAGGCAGTTGAAAGATAAATGGACACGATTTATGGCCCTTGGTCTTGCGCTGCTCTACTTTGGCCGGCAGGAAGAGGTCGATGTTATCCTGGATATTCTTAAGGCGATCGACCATCCCATGGCGAAACCTACTTCTGTTCTTGCTTCGGTGTGCGCCTGGGCCGGTACCGGCACGGTTTTAAAGCTCCAAGAACTGCTCCACATCTGTAACGACTACATCGAAGACAAGGAAGAGAAGAAAGGTGATGAGCTGGTGCAATCTTATGCTGTTATTGGACTCTCTCTCATCGCGATGGGCGAAGATATTGGTCAAGATATGGTCCTGCGGCAATTTGGACATCTGATGCACTACGGCGCCGCAAACATCCGAAAAGCAGTCCCACTCGCCATGGGCTTGATTAGCCCAAGCAATCCGCAAATGAAGGTATATGACACCCTATCCAGATACAGCCACGACAATGATAACGACGTCGCCATCAACTCCATTTTCGCTATGGGCCTTCTTGGCGCCGGAACCAATAATGCACGACTCGCACAGCTCCTCCGGCAACTAGCAAGCTACTACCACCGTGATCAAAACTCACTCTTCATGGTCCGCATTGCCCAGGGTCTCCTCCATATGGGCAAAGGCAGTCTATCCGTCAACCCCTTCCACACAGATCGCCAGGTCCTTTCCCGCGTGGCCGCTGCCGGCCTGCTTACGGTCCTGGTCGCCATGATTGATGCAAAGGATTTCATTCTCGCCGACGCGCACTATCTCCTCTATTTTTTTGTTACGGCCATGTATCCGCGATTCCTAGTAACGCTCGATGAAGATCTGAAGCCGCTCACTGTGAACGTCCGCGTTGGGCAGGCTGTTGATGTCGTGGGTCAGGCAGGAAAGCCAAAGACGATTACTGGCTGGCAAACACAGAGCACGCCGGTGCTATTGGCTTATGGAGAGAGGGCGGAGTTGGAGGATGAGGAATACATCAGTCTAAGTAGTACCCTGGAGGGGCTTGTTATTTTGCGCAAGGTAAGCCGGAAAATCCATTAATATTGAACAATTTGACTCCATTCCGCCCAACGTAGATGGGAGTGCAGCAAAATAACTGATTTTTAATGCTTTTCCCACCACAGAACCCCGAATGGGTAAGCTCCACTTAAGAAGATTCGGGACCGACTTTTCTTTTTAATTATTTCCCAATTTTCCCCGGGAAAAACCTACCTCTGTATCCATAGCGTGTAACGGGTATAGTTTTTGCAGCTTCCCCCCTCTCACTAGGGTAGTGAAGGCCTTTTGCTTTTTTTATACAAGTACAACTATCTGGTTTGGCCCACGATTTAAATGGCATATGTTCCTCCTTTTTTACTTCCTTTACTCCCAAAATTCTCTCATAACTTGTGATCTCCGCTAGAAAAATATCTGCTGTCCATGGAAACTTCATAAGAGAAATAAACCGAAAAGAAACGCCACTGATATGCCCCCCTCCATCTCATTTGATATCTTTGATAGAGTTAGAAATGAGTGATTTGTGCGAAAATTGTTAAAAATATAAAGTTGCTAAATATTATCTGGTGGTCCTATATACTACAACTAGTATATTCTCGTAAGGTGTTACTTTTTATTCCTATAGTTACGTAGTTATCTAGCTCCCATCTGTGTGCGCGGTCAGCGTGTTCGAGCTTCCTCTTATGAGAGGTGTGGGTAAATCAAAATAAATAGGTTAAATTGGAGCTAAGAAAGTTTGCCCATTTGTCCGACCTCCAGTCCAAGTCAGCTTAATAAAATATCCACCCTATCCCGTTCCTCTCCGCTTCTTCAGCAGTTGGAATATTCGCCAAAATGAAGCTCGATCCAAAGGCGATGCGGTATCTTACCATAGAGGACTTCCGTACCCTTGCAGCTGTATGTTCACGCTCTGGCTTTCCCCTGCCGTCCTTTTTCTCTCTTGCCCCGCCCGCGGTTCAGGAGAGCAGCTACATAACATCTTTTCCCTCCTATACCCTAGACAGCTTGATATCAAGGACACTGACTTACTCACTTTCCTTCTGGCAGGTTGAGATGGGCAGTAGGAATCATGAAGTTGTACCGACGCCATTAATCATCCAGTTATCCGGGCTGCGCGGTGGTAGTATTGTGCACAAGTGTATATCGAATTTGGCAAAGATCAATCTGATAGCGCGAGTTAAGAATGCGAAATGTACGTACGATGTTCCTAAGAGATGTTTTACAGTCTTCTATATGTCCTTTCGAGTCTCAATTTGCGCAAACTAATATGTACGTTTCAACTCCAGACGACGGTTATCGCCTCACCTATGGCGGCCTCGACTACCTCGCCCTCCACACCCACCAAAAACAAAAATCCATATACTCTGTCGGTAACCAAATCGGCGTCGGCAAAGAATCAGACATCATCGTCGTCGCCAGCTCAGACGGCGCACAACGCATTCTGAAAATTCACCGTTTGGGGCGCATTTCCTTCCGCACCGTCAAGACCAACCGCGACTACCTGCGCCACCGCAGTTCGGCGTCCTGGATGTACATGTCACGCCTAGCAGCGATGAAGGAATTTGCGTTCATGAAAGCGCTACGGGACCATGGATTTCCTGTGCCGGAGCCCATTGTGCAGAATAGACATACGATTGTTATGAGTTTGATTGATGCGTTCCCGCTTAGGCAGATTTCATCCGTTCCGGATCCAGCGGGGCTTTATGCGGAGCTTATTGAGATGATTGTGCAATTGGCGGGGGTGGGGCTTATACATGGAGATTTTAACGAGTTTAATATTTTGATTAAAGAGGAGGCTGTGGAGAAAAATTCCGACGTTGCGAAGGGGAAAATGAAGGAAGGTGATGATGGAAGAGAGGAAGTTGAAGTCAATTTGATTCCCGTTCTGATTGATTTCCCGCAAATGGTCTCTGTGGATCATCCCAATGCAGAAATGTACTTTGATCGAGATGTGAATTGCATCAAACGGTATTTTCAGAGGAGGTTTGGGTTTGTGAGTGATGAGAAGGGACCATTTTTCAAGGATGTGAAGAAATTGGTGGGAACAAAGAAAGGTGGAGCAAGATTGGATGTCGAGGTTGAGGCATCGGGATTTTCGAGGAAGATGGCACGGGAGTTGGAGGCGTATATGAAGGAGGTAGGGGTTGATGGGGACGGAGATGCTGGAGGGGAGCGTGATGACTTGCGGTCTGATGAGGAAGGGAATGTAGGCGAAACTGAGGGTGAAGTGGAAGATGAAGAGGGATCTGAAGCTGAGGAAGGAAATGAGGATGAGGTGTCCCTAGATGGTGAGGTCGATGCTCTGGGAAATCTGATACGGAAGAAATTGAAAGGACCGCGGGAGGATACGCAAAAGGCGTCTGAATCTAAATCTACAACGGATAATAGGGATTGAGCAGCTACGGATATCACGTTCTCAATGACAGGGTGCATTGGTAGATTTCGAGTCTTTCTACCTATTCTATATACGGCGTCTGGTTTAGCAGTTAACTAAGGGGGTTACATATATGGTGTTGGGTTTGGCAATGAGCATCATAACGAATGAGTTCATGATTTGGCGTATAGAATTTAATGAAAAATGATCATATCATATATATATTCCATTATCCTTCTTATATAAATTTGATATTTATCCTATATTTGCCGTCCAACTGTCTGATGCTGGATGCCCATACTATCGCAGGCAGCATAAAAATTTACGGCGGCCCACAAGCACCACCCACGCATTTTCGTTCGTTTCTTCATTTTCCATCCAATCCTCAACTTCTGCGGACTTCAAGAAAATGACCCATTGAATCTCTTTGCTATTTTTGATTTACCCTTTCTCTTCCTTGTTTCCACCTGTCCATCAGATACACACAATGCGCAAAAAGGTAGCAGAGACCACACTGAAGCTCCGTGAGGCCCGGCCCTTCATATTCCCCATTCCCCTCGACCAGCGGAAACAAATATACTTGTACGAAATAGATCCCCAGCTATCAAGTCTTCTTTATTCCCCCTCATTGCTAGTGTCATATGCATACCAGCTCTACTACTACTCCATCCATTGGGGGCCAATCTCAATTTCACCTCCAAAGGAATGCAATCTCTAGCTAACCTATGCGATTTCATCTCAAAACCAGGCCCGACTTCGTCATCACTCTCATCCGCACTCCCTTTCTCCCACCACGCTATGCCTCCTTTTGGGTCCCGCTGACCTTCAACAAACTCGACATTAAGGACTATCTAAAACGCGTGTACGGCGTGGACGTGGTAAAAGTACGGAGTTATGTTGAGCAGCAGAAAATCACACGCGAAAGGCCTTGCGGGAAGGAAGGATATGGCAAATGGAGGAGACCGATGGCTAAGAAGAAGATGACGGTTGAGATGACTGAGCCGTTCATATGGCCTGAGGAGCCGAAGGATTATAAACCGTAAGCCTAAGTTCATTTTGTTATTTTTACCCATTTTCCCGTCCGCCAGCGCTACCATGTTATTTGTTTATTATCTTCTCTGTCTCTAATCACCTGCTTTATTACCCTTATACAGATGGGAAAAGGAAAGGTTCTTTGAAACCAAGGAATACCAGCGGGATATATCAGAAAAGATGGAGCCTGACGCCAAGAACAAGGCCCCGGAAAGAAAGTGGAAAACCGTCTCAGAGCAGGCGAAGCGGTTGCTGGACGGGAAGGAGAAGTGGGAACCGACTTGGAAGGCGCTGGGTTTAAATTACGAGAGACCTGTGATTGGTGGTGAGGTGAAAGGTGCGAAAGCGATGCCTGCTGAGATATTAAAGGGGGTTAATCATAAGGGTCTTGCGGAGGAAGCGGGAAAATGATTTAAGGTTCGCCTGGGATTTTGTATGGATATGGAATGTGCTCTTCTTTTTGCAACATCTGCATTGGTTTATTGGGATCATTTTCGATGTGTTTTTCTCTTTTTTCTCGTTGTATATCCCCTACCCCCTGCATGGGTGGGATCAAGTGGAACTGGGGTATCTTGTTCATGTATAGAAATCTCATGTATAGAAAGGAAAATAGGGAAGGCAGGGGACTGCAAATGCCTTAATTGTTTTCTTGAAATGTATTATACAAAGAGAGATGTTTTGCTGTGAGATGTTTAAGCGACGCAGGTTGTATAGCTTGTCCTGGGTTCTTCTGAAAGACTGTTAGGAAGCACCGGTGAGACTTCCTACTGACGCTGAAAGTATGAATATGGAGACTTTCCGGAATCTGTGCTCAATAGTAAAGTCGATTACTTCATTAGTGGCCTATGTACAGTGCAAAATGCCAAACGATTCAACAACTCGATGGGCAGGCAGAAGTGATACTTCCTTCGACAGGATATAACAGATACAAGAAGAACGTAACTCTCTGCAAGGGACGCCACGATAAATAGAAATTTCAAATCAACGATCAGGGAGACTAGTAGACAAAGCTGTCTGAAGCGGTTTCCGGCACAAGCATAGAGCGAAAAACAACTTTATGAGACGAGTGTAGAATAGAGTGTTGACTGGAAGAGTGACGATAAAACAAACCAATAAGCTCAGTTAACTATGTTTGGATACAGAACGGGTGGGAAATAAAATAGACCAACAATTAGGCAAAAAGGACTACACGAAAAAGAAGCAAACCAAAAACACCGCTCGCTAATTTGCAACCCCTCAACGGGACACGCAGGGGAAATCGCCATGACCCTATATTATAGTCTACTCTGAAAAACGGGAGTGTGTTCGCCTGGCCAGTGACCCTGCGGCCAGATGTGTCGGATTGCTTCCCAGATGTGACTGTGGGGAGTTAGTAAAAAGTGGAACGTGTAAATCAAAACGGAGGACGAGTAAAAAGGAAAAAAAGGAGAACTCTTACTTGACGTGCACAATCTCCAAACTATTCTTAACCTCCGCGGGTACATCCCTTACATCCTTACGATTGTGTTCCGGGAGCAGAACTGTCTTCACACCCGCACGGTGCGCGCCGATAAGTTTCTCCTTGATGCCTCCAACAGGCATCACGCGGCCCCGCAGCGATATCTCACCCGTCATAGCGACGTCTGGGGGCACTGTCTTGCCAGAGAACAACGATATCAAAGCAATCGTATGTGCAAGTCCAGCAGAGGGTCCATCTTTCGGAATCGCGCCGGACGGGCAGTGCACATGCAAGCTGCGATGTTTCATGATATCCTCATTCGGGTCGTGGGTGAGGGCCAAGTCATACGAATGCGCTTTCACCCATGTAAGAGCCACTTCGACAGATTCTTTTAGCACATCGCCCAGTTTCCCCGTTAGCTGTACGCGGCCGTTCCCTGGCATATCGGCGACTTCGATGAAGAGGATGCTACCCTGTCCGCCCGTGGAGTAGGCGACGAGACCCGTTACGATGCCCGGACGCGCGTGCTTTTCGGCGATTTCCTCGTCGAAGCGCTCAATGCCGAGGATCTCGTCGAGATCTTCGATGGAGACGTTGGGGTTGTAGGTTTCTTCCTTGCCTGCGTCTCGGGCTTCGGCGTACTGGACGGCCTTGTAGCGGCAGACGGAGCCAATTTCGCGCTCGAGATTGCGTACTCCTGATTCGCGGGTGTAGGCTGCTATGATTTTCTCGAGAACATCGTCAGAGAGGATGACTTGGCCATCTGAGAGACCGTTGGTACGGATCTGTTTGGGGACGAGATGGCGGGATGCGATATGGTTCTTCTCGACTGTTGTATAGCCTGAAAGTTGGATTGTCTCCATACGATCCAACAACGGAGGGGGGATGGTATCCAGAGAGTTTGCAGTGGCGATAAACAATATTTTACTCAGGTCGATGGGGATGTTGATGTAGTGGTCTGAGAAGCTGTGGTTTTGCTCAGGGTCAAGCACTTCTAACATTGCAGCTGATGGATCGCCATGGAAATTGGAGCCGCCCACTTTGTCAATCTCATCAAGCAGGAAGACTGGGTTGGCAACGCCCACTTTCTTTAGGCCATTCACAATAAGGCCAGGCATAGCAGCGACATATGTCCTGCGATGGCCGCGAATCTCAGCTTCGTCTCTTACGCCTCCAAGAGAAATGCGATGGAATTTGCGACCAAGTGCTGTGGCCACGGATTTGGCAAGACTGGTCTTTCCAGTCCCAGGAGGACCGACAAGAAGCATAATTGGAGACTTATCTCCCATACGCTTCGCCTTGAGAAGCTGCAGTTTGGTTTCCATAGCATCTCTCTTAGCGTCAGAATTAGATTCAGCTTCATCACCCTTGTTTTCAATAGCAGCTAAATCCGTGGAGAGTTTCGAAATTTGGTTCTCAACGTCCTTATTGAGGGTCTGTTTCAACTTGAGGACAGCCAAGTACTCCAGAAGTCGCTTTTTAATTTTCTCTAGGCCGTAATGATCATCGTCAAGCTGCTTTCTAGCTTTCTGGAGCGTTTCCACCCCCAGCTGGTCTTCAGTGACTTTGGTCCAAGGAATCTCGGCTATGTTTTCCAAGTACGTTCGACAAACTCCATATTCGGCGTTGGAAGGGTTCATCTTACGGAGCCGCTTGAGTTCTCTGTCTGCTACCTTCTGGGCTTCAGGGCTCAACTGAGCATCCTGAAGCTTCTGTTGTAGTTCATCAATTTCGTTTGGCTCCTTCTCTTCTCCACCATCACCAAAGCCTCCATTGATGCCGGATGGAAACCCATTCATTCCCGCCATAGAGCGTCTGGCAAGAAGTTCTCTTTGGCGGGGATCCAATTGGTTGATATCAACGCCAAAATTTGAGGGGTTGCTCGACGTGGTGACGGAAGTCACCTTGATGTTATTCCTCATGCCTTGAACCTGTCTGGACAAAAGTTCGACAACTTTTTCCAGTCTAGCCTTCAGATCTACTGAGGCAAGAAGCTGTAGTTTTTCTTCGAAGCTAGTTTCCACCACATCAGCCATAAAATCAGCGAGCATACCTGCTTGGGAGATATTCTTTTTGGCAATGAAAAGCTCGAATCGTCTAGCAAGCAAGGGCGAGATACCCGCTGTCTGCTGGGAAAAGAAGGAGGTAAGTCTAAGGAAGGCCAAAAGTTCTCTTGACAAACGTTTGACCTGATCAAACAGATTCACAATTTCTAGGTCGGTGGCAATAGGGGCTGTGGGTCGATATGAGTTAGCTTGGTATCTACAAATGATTTCCTTTATATCAAAGTAGGGCGCACCGATCTCATCATGTAGAGTAACATCAGCCTCAAGATATGGACTTTCCCTGGTAACCTTGCGAATCGAAAACCTCCTCAATCCCTCTACGAGCAGATATGGTTCGCTATTTGGTCTCCCCTGAACACCAACTACCTTAGCCACAGTGCCATAGCCGAAGATATCGTTCTTGGAAGCTTTGGATGGCTCCACTGTCCGGGAAGCCTCTGATCGTGCACTTGCTGCGTCCCCATTCTCCAGCAGTTGCTTGCCATCCCTGCTCAGAAACGGCGAGCTGAGGGGGACACAGCCAACAAGGGTAGCATTTCCGGCTTTTGAGGAGGTTTTGCTGAAGAGAGAGGTCAGGAGAAGAGGGATATCAGCACGGTCGGAGAGGGGGATGCGGAGGGTGACACCTGGCAGGAGAACCGAATCCTTGGCCAGGGCCAGCAATGCGAGGTTTGTTGTTCGCGAAGAATTGGTACCCATAATGGTTGAGGTCCTAAATGGGTCTGATAGTAATTACCTAGGTAACCGCTAACTCAAGGGCTGGTGTTATGTTGTGATCGCCCAAGAGAGTGAGAGAGCGCGTCGCCAATGTAACAATGAATTGCGGAGATAGTTATATTAAGTAACTAACTAGCGCACGCCTTGTGAGGCCGAATGAGACTTGATTAAAAGGTGGTATTTGAAGTCCAGAAGCGAACTGAGGAATTCAGCACAGAGCGCCTCATGTAAAGAGAACGGAATGGTGGATAGCGATGCTTTGAGAGTCTTCGGTGACGTGTGGCGAGAGGGAGGAAAGGGAATGAGGTGAGGATGGGCGATGGGCGGGTTGAAGTATGAAGCTATCTCTAAGCCCGATGCCGAGGTTACCTCTCTCTGGCAGCACCAGAGCAGACCGGAACAGAGAGAAAATTCCGCGACTGGTGACGTAATTGGGAGATAATTTTTATTGCGGCATTGATATTGTTATAATTATTTTACCGGCTTCTTTCTACCTCTATCATGTTAAAAATTGCTGTAGTTATGGCTGTGTAACTGTATCCAACTACTGCGTACATTGACTGTAAACTTCTTTCGACAACCAAACCAGGTGCAAGTTTCTGGTGGCGGAACTTAAAATTTCCTCCAACTGCACTGCAAAAACCGAACAATACACAATTACCTGCGTTTCATCTGCTCAACTACTCCCTGCGTGCGTAATTATTACGATCAAATCAATTGCCTCCGATGCCTCGATAGACCCGGATTAGTTCTGCAATCCGCTAACTAATCTATTTATGCAAGGAATAGTGTTTGCTGCGAATCCCTTCCCTCCGCATCTATAATCATGGCATCTGCCCCTCCTCCACAAACACACCCGGCACCCGGAACGACGCCGACAACAACTCTAACAATTGGCACACGCAAGTCAAAACTTGCCCTGCTACAAACAGATCTAATACGGTCTTCGCTTAAAGCCGCCTGGCCGGAGTATGAATTCAGGGTTCACTCCCAGGATACTGCGGGGGACTTGAATAAAGTCACCCCGCTTCGCGAATTCACCACCAAGAATCTTTGGACCGAAGAGCTTGAGGAACTACTGGTCGCGAAGAAGATTGATTTTGTCGTTCATTCCTTAAAGGGTACATGTGTCTTTTTGCTTGATTTTTATTTGTCTCATCTGATCATTCCAATACTTGTTTCGTCGGGCTGTTCCTTTCTTTCTCTACATGCTCATCGATAACAAGCTAACAAATATATCCCATTCTCTAAATAGATGTCCCAACCCAGCTCCCCAAACCTTGTGCTCTTGGCGCTGTCGTGCCCCGCGAAGATCCTCGAGACGTCCTAGTCATCAAAAAGGGTCTACCAAAAATGACCCTGGCAGAACTCCCCGCAGGATCCGTAGTAGGGACCTCCTCCGTCCGGCGCATCGCTCAGCTATCACGACACTACCCCCATCTCAAACCCCAGGATATACGAGGAAACATTGAGACACGATTAGCAAAGTTGGACGCGGAAGACGGACCATTTACCTGTATCATTCTAGCCGCTGCTGGCCTTCTGCGTACCGGTCAAGGTGCGCGCATCTCCCATTTCCTTGACTCGAAGAACGGCAAGATGCTGCATGCTGTTGGGCAGGGGGCGTTGGGGGTTGAGATACGCGCGGACGATGAGCGGATGAGGGCGATGATTGAGAAGATTGGGGATAGGAGGGCGACGTTTGCGTGTTTGGCAGAGAGGAGTTTGTTGAGGACATTGGAGGGCGGCTGTAGTGCGCCGCTCGGGGTTGAGACGGAGTGGGTGAAGGGTGAAGGGCAGGGGGAGGTAGAGAAGTTGAGGCTTAGGGCTATTGTGGCCAGTGTGGATGGGAAAGAGGCTGTGGAGGTTGAGATGGAGGCGGAAATTAGGTCGGAGGCGGAGGCGGAGTGGTTTGGGAAGACGGTTGCGGAGGAGTTGATTGTTAAGGGTGCGGGGAAGATATTGGAGGTTATTCAGCAGAAGAAGAAGATTTGGGGGAATTAGTTGGTTGGATTTTTGTCTGCGTTTCTTTCTCGTTTTATTTTCGACTGCGATATGAAGGGATACCCCGAAAATGGCTCTGGCGACTATAGTGGATGCTTTCATATATATGTTAGATTTGCCGGAACTACAGTGGATACCGCTGATATCTAAATAGGCAATAAGTCATGATATAGAACTCGGGTCCAAAACAATGAAATAAACAATCATTGTCTACGGCTCTCGGGTCCAAAACAATGAATAAACAATCATTGTCTACGGCTCCCTTTTTCATAAATTTACAGATTTCCCACTTTCATCATGTGACTCGATGAGCAGCCGCTTGCAGCAGCCTTGCACCGAACAACTCAGTCAACATCTCGCTCCCATAAGAACCATAGGATATCCCCAACCTTCCGCCCCAAGTGCATAGCCCCATACCCAAAGCAAGAAATTATTTCAATGTGTTAACTATGATTAAAGAAACGAAACCAAATGATTACCCACGCATCTACCTGTTTGGAGACTCGCTGACGGAGCGCGCTCGTTACGAGTCTGATAATGGGTTTGCATGGAAGCTGGGTGAATATTACGATAGGAGGGTAGAGGTTGTTAATGCAGGTGAGTTGTGCTTGGTATTTCGTTCTTTGTAATTCCTACATATTTTGATTCAGGATAGATGGGCAAGTTGCGTGGGTCAGAAAGATAGAATGCTGTTTTCGATGCTGGCTGGCAGCGATGTTGATTTAGAGAGAAAGTGGTTTGATTGATCCAGTGCTGATTTGTCTAAATATTCGCAGGATATTCCGGGTAAGCTGAATCCTAGCAGATTTCCTTATTCTTTCCCGGACGGTAAAGGATTCAAGTGCTACCCCTCCTCTCTAGAGGTTGAGGAATCAAATTCTATATCTCTATTCCCATATGTGCAATAACCACCCCCTAAATGCAATTGCTGTATCTAAACCCAAAACCCTCTTCCAAAAACCAGACAAACAACAAAAAGCCTCCGCAAAACCTTTGAAAAATACATCATTCAAGTGATAGAGAAGCGCGGTCCTCCTGCACCCTTATTCATATCTATTTTCCTTGGTGCAAATGACGCCTGCCTCTCATACACAGATCCCTACGTGCCCCTCCCTGAATTCGAGGAACACATCCGATACTACGTGAACAGCATCGTAGATCACTCTGGCACGCAGGAGACCAAAGTGATCTTAATCACACCTCCGCCAGTGGACATCCCCTCGGTCAGAATGGGGCTTGTTAACCACCTGCCTGAAGTCGAGGGTGTCTTGAAGTCGGTTGCGAGGATGGGAAGGGGACATAGGACCTGGGCGTCAAAGCGGGCCTTTGCGGAGAAAATTGTTGAGATTGGAAAAGAGTTTGAAAGGAAGACGGATCGTGTGGCTGTGTTGGACTTTTGGACTGCCGTGACTAAATTTGCGTGCGAGGAGAAGGTGCCTGATGGGGGCGGGTTTGATAAGCTGGATCTGAAGGAGAGGCTGCCCGGCTCGGGAATGCCTGGGGCGACGGAGTTTGGGAGGGAGTACTTTATTGATGGATTGCATTTTGGTAGTAAGGTATGTCTGTTTGTGTTTTCTGTATTGAGTGGGCTTTTCACGAAACTGACTTGAGTGTTTAATTTGTAGGGATATGAGATTTTGACCCGCGAATTGTTTGGGTTACTGCTGAGCAAGTGGCCAGAATTGGAAAAACAGAATTTCCCTCTCCGTGTATGTGTCCCATCTCGATTTCATATGTATGGGAAAAGGTATCATGTGCTAACATAGGATTACCACCAGGGGTGACCTCACCATCCCTCCTCTTTTGGAGTGCAGGAGAGAGATAGGGCGGGAAGTGAATGCCAAGGTGACACCAGGGGCGGTAGATATTCAATGATACTCTCCAAAAATCTTCTTCCGATCGAATGGATTTATTAGCCCCTGTTTAGAGTGTTACCTGATCCTCGTGGATTATCTTCCGTGAACTCATCCCACGCTCTTGCTTTCATGGTTTCTTCGTCAGCTTTTTCCAAGTCATCTTCGTCAATTTCCTTCGGCTGGCCAGACTGCTCGCCACCCCCTTCAATAATACCCCCTCGCCTCCTCTCCTCCTCTAGATATTCATCAATAGACATAGTCGGGAGGCTATGACCGGGTCGGAAGACCCCCTTTTGAAGTTCCGTTCGCTTGCTTGTGAGGACAAATGGTTGTAGTGGTACCCCGCTCTTGCTTAGGAGTGGCCCTGTTCCGCCCCCACGAGTATTTTGTCCGAGCCCTACATCCAAACGCTCGGGAAAGCCAGACTTATCGCTTCGGTCACGTTTCCTTGCATCATGATCGTAAACGGGATGAGCAGAGGGGCGTGCACTTTGGGCGCCTGTGAGCATAGATAGTTCTTGGGATAGCATGTCTAGGGCCTGGAATGTCTGATGTGTATAGAGCTTAATCTCAGCTAGATACAATTGTCGAACTAAATCTTCGTCGTGTTGCATGCCGTTTTGGTTTTGCGAAAGATGCTGCCAATTTTCATGATATTGATTAGCATCCGCTTTTTGTGGAGAGTGGATTGTGGACTATGGGGTAGGTGCATATAAACCTCTAGCCGTTGTTTCAACTCCTTCTCCTCTCTAAATCTTGATACCTTAATATCCCTTCGCTTTGCTGCATCGTTCAAAGGTGCCAGGGTAAAGGAGGCCGGATTATCCGTGTAACTTTCATGAAGCCTCTTATCGTTCGGGGAGAGTAGGCCATACTGATCTAAACACTCCAGATACTTTTCGTATTCGTCCCGTGAGCGCTGCAAGCTCTTAATACGATCTGCACTGTACGATTTTTGAAGGAGATCGGCTAGGATGTAATCAACTGTGAGGTACCTGTGGCATTCGGGTAACAGCATTTCGTTTAGTATGGCTTGTTCTTTTTTCCGCCGGAAGTAGAAGAATAGTAAATTATATAGTTACGAACTGTAGGTCTCCAGTGGTGATGTCCTCTAGCGACTCATTGCCACTGAATAGGGACAGATGCGCAATGCGGCGTTGACATTCTTCGAACTCCGCGATAACGTCACTAAGCTGGATTATAGATTCTGAAGATGCTGTGTCCAGAGCTTTTTTGTGGGATTTCGCGCGAGAGAAGAGAGAGCTGAGGGTTTGTATGTCCATAGTTGACCCTATAACGACAGGTATATACAGAAGATAGTTGAGGTATTTTATAAAGGTCTTTAATTGGGAGATAACTTACTTTGGCGCTGTGAACTTTGGCAGAGGTTGAGGTTAAAGTCATGTGAATTTAAGCTTCTTGCACCCCTTCAACTGCTCAGAGTTCAACCTCAACTTTGTAAATTGTTGCCCGAAACCAACAAAGAAAAGGAGTATATTTCCAATTGTGCCTCTAATCTTACTAGAAATGAGATGTTTTGGTGGATGTGATGTATATACCTGCAATTAGGAAAATCCAAACATGAGTTTCTTTGTTCTCTGCACTTGTTCTTTCATATTATCCTCCAGACTCATGCGGAGCCAACGGATCATCAACATCTGCATCGGATATGGAGGATTTGTTTTCCTTTGTTTACATAGATCCGGGCTTTTTAAGAGATTAGGATTATCTCATACCCATTTCCATCTGTTCAAGAGGCCTATTCCTCTGAACTATTCTACTCTCATTCACTGCCTTGGGTCTATATCCACAGTTCAATATCTTGATTCCTTTACCAGATCTGATGCCTTCCAAGACAAGCGACCTCTCACAGAACCATTGACCACAGCGTGATCCATAGTCCTGTCTCCCCAAAGAAAGTGATGGAAGATAAAGAAGAAAACGTGGATCTCATGGTCCTAGAAAATCAGTCCCCTGTAGTGTTCGACGACCCTGGTGGATCGGATAGCGAGTCAGACAGCTCTGATCAGATTTCACTAGAGCCAGAAGATCGAAGACAGAAACAAAACGAAATCTTCAAATCTCTGTTGGTATCCCCTATTAACCTTGAGCCGACTTTGCGTTTTCTGATGGAATGGACTCACATAGGCTGTCCAAAGGAGCTGAAACAATTACGGCTGAGGATATTCAGAAGGCAATGAAAGTGAAGAACGACAGTGAGCTTTCTATGTCGAAACTGATGGCAAAGCAGGACTTCGCATCTGTCATCCACGACCCAAGAGAGTACCAGTTGGAGCTGTTTGAGAAGGCGAAGACAACGAATATCATCGCTGTGTTGGATACTGGTATGCGGCCCTCTATCGCTGCTTTTCTGTATATTGATATTAATATGGATAGGATCGGGCAAAACATTGATCGCCGTACTCTTGCTCAAACATATGATTCGAATCGAATTGGCTGATCGAGCTAGGGGAAAACCGCCCCGTATATCATTCTTCTTGGTTTGTCTTGCTACCTTCCCAAGCTAAGAGTAAATATCTAAATATCTGATTAATAGGTCGATAGCGTGACGCTTGTGTACCAGCAAGCCGCCGTCCTGAAAGAAAATATTGATTAAAGTATCGATAAATTCTGTGGAGCATTGCAGACTGACTTATGGAGCAAGGAAACCTGGAAAAGGCACTTCTCAAAAAACATGATCATCGTCTGCACGGCGGAAGTACTATATCAGTGTTTGCTTCATTCTTTTATCCAGATGGAACAGATCAATCTTCTTATTTTCGATGAGGCCCATCATACGAAAAAAGACCATCCATATGCGAGGTTAGAAGGTTCCATGTTTTCTGCCCATTCTGTGTCCGTGGCTGATGGAATTTATAGGATTGTAAAAGACTTTTATTTACAGATGACTGAGTCACAACATAGGCCTAAGATATTTGGCATGACAGCATCCCCAGTTGATGCGAAAGTTGATGTGGTAACAGCTGTAAAGTATACCATCCCGACATTACCATCCTCATCTCTCTCTCTACTAATGGTCGTAATAGATCACTGGAGATGCTGCTCGATAGCCAGATTGCAACTGCCTCTAATTTAGATGCTTTGCGGCAATCGGTAGCTCGGCCAACCGAACAAGAATGGGTCTACGATAGACTGGATCCCGCTTTTGAAACCGACTTATACAAAAGCATGCATTCACAATTTGGGAATATTAGTGTACTCAAGAAGATGTTCATCTGTTCCTTGGAGGCCACCTCGACATTGGGGAGATGGTGCTCTGATTGGTTGTGGACTATCGTATTGGACGAGCCCTCATTGCCTAAATTGGAAGGGAGCATTTCTAGGCGTTATATACGTACCAGCTCTGGAAATCACACTAAGGGAGTTGATGAAATGATTAAGAGTCTTCGCGAAGCTGTGAAGGTGATAAAAGATCACACCTTTTATACTCCGGTTGACTGTCCCGAACATCTCAGCCCAAAGGTACGACTGTTGCACCATCAGCTTTCAAAGTACTTTGAAAGGCACACAGACACAAAATGCGTTGTCTTCGTGGAGAAACGGCATTCTGCGAGGCTATTAGGAGAATTGTTTTCACTAATAGGGACGCGGCACATGCGGACGGGTGTGCTTATTGGTGTTCGCACTGACGAAGCCGGCGGCGAAAAGGTCTCCTTCCGACAGCAATTTTGGACACTGCTGAAATTTCGTAAAGGAGAGCTTAACTGCTTGGTGTGTTTGTTTTCTTCGTATTCTTGACTTCTCTAGTTGTCCTGCTAATTTGTGAAGTTTGCAACCTCTGTTGCCGAGGAAGGATTGGATATACCAGATTGCAATTTAGTTGTTAGGTGATAACACTCATCTCCTATTCTCTCATCAGCAAGTGTGGAGCTTACAGTGATTTAGGTTCGATCTTTATAAAACAATGATCGAGTATGTGCAGAGTCGGGGGCGCGCTCGGCATCCTAACTCCGTAGTATGATTGCTCCCCCAAAAATTTTTGTTCCTCTCTTTAACTATGACATGCAGTATGCGCACATGATGGAACGAGATAATCTCATTCACCAACGGTGCCTTGATGAAGCTCAGGAGGCAGAAGTTAGTATAGAATGAGAAATTCGGCTGTTCCGAACTAACAACTCCAAAGAACATCATGCGGCAATTTTGCGAATCTCTCCCTGAAGACAGAATTATCCGTGGTGCAAGTGACGAATTGGACAAGTTTTTGTATAAGGAAAGATGCCGTAAAACTTTCACCGTTCCCAGCACTGGCTCAAAGCTGACTTACAACTCTGCGCTTGCGGTCCTTGCGCATTATGCAAGTTCTTTGGTAAGAAGAAAATATAATCATGAAGCATATGGTGGCTAACGGCATCCAGCAATACGAGAATGAGATGTCAACCCGAGCAAATTACTTCATTCATAGAATACGGGGTGCTTTCGTCTGCGAGGTCGTGCTCCCCGAGAAATCCCCTGTCCGAGGCTTGACGGGAAGACCAGCAGTAGCGAAGCTGTCTGCCAAACAATCTGCCGCATTTGAAACATGCTTGATGCTCAGGAAGAACGGGCTTCTCGATGACTACTTCCTGTCTAAGTATCACAAAAGACTGCCGCTTATGAGGAACGCAAAATTGGCTATCAAATCGAAGAAAACGAATCAATATGATATGATGGTAAAGCCAAAATTGTGGGAGAAGTCTCGTGGCATGACCCCTTATGAGGTTCATGCCACTGTTTTGACCTTGCGGCCCTCTGCGAAGTTACGGCGCGTGCATCAACCTCTCGTGTTGTTAACACGGGAATCACTGCCCAAATTTCCTGTATTTCCGCTGTATCTTGAGACTGACATAGAGTGCGATGTTGTTTCAATCCCTCTACGAGCGTCGATGCAGGTTTCGCAGTCTGAGTTGGACCTGTTCACCACGTTTACGCTTAGGATTTTCCAGGATTTGTTCCACAAGGTATACGATCACCAACCAGCCATGATGCCATACTGGCTTGCACCGATAAGCTTGGAATATGGGAACGTATTGGAGGATTCAAACCTGCGACAACTTATTGACTGGAAAATTATCCAGCATGTTCAGGAGAACCCGGAAATCTGCTGGACCTCCGACATGCCACGCAGTTCTTTGGAAAACATATTTATGTTCGACAAGTGGGATGACAGATATCGCTATTTCACGTCTGAATTGGAACTAAACATTCGTCCCTCAGATCCACCGCCACCAACTATGGCAAAGAGAAGGTATATGGACAGCATAATGAATTATTGTATAAGTTTGTATAAGAAATCTCGTCTAAAATTTCTTGGGACATGTGATTGGAACCAGCCGGTTGTTCGTGCAGAGTTAGTTCGACTTCGCCGAAACCTCTTGGATAGGACGACGGAGCATAAGGGAGAAGAGACGTCTTATTATATTTGTCCGGAGCCCCTGAGGATTTCTGCTGTAAGAGAGCTTTCCCGACTGCAATAATTGCAGAGGCACTAACTTTCCGTAGTTACCCGCGCCGGTGGCTGTATTTGCGTTTACTTTCCCAGCGATGATTAGTCGCATTGAGTCCTACCTGATTGCTCTCGAGGCATGCAACAAACTACAGTTGACCATCATTCCGGAACTCGCTCTCGAAGCTCTGACAAAAGACTCGGACAATACAGAAGAACACAGAGCTGAACAGATTCATTTCCAGCGTGGAATGGGCAAGAACTATGAGCGCCTGGAGTTTTTGGGAGACTGTTTTCTGAAAATGTCGACGTCGATATCGCTGTTTGCGATGAACGCTGACGACGACGAGTTCGACTTTCATGTCAAAAGGATGTGTTTGATCTGCAATCAAAACCTATTTAACACTGCGATGAGTCTTGGAATCTATGAGTTTGTCCGCACACAGGGTTTCTCAAGGTTCGTTTTGAGAGTTCCTGTGTTTTGTTTTTGTGCCTTCACTGACAACGGGTTCTCTCCACAGACGGAATTGGTATCCTGAGGGTATTAAGCTTCTTCAAGGTAAGGCCAAGTCTGAAACAGCAGAAAACAAACATTCTTTAGCCGATAAATCAATTGCGGATATCTGTGAGGCTTTGATCGGTGCTTCCTTGTTGTCTGGGGGAAGAGTCCATCGGTTTGACACCGCGGTCAAAGCAGTCACTGCCTTTGTAAACAGCGAGAATCATCAGGTCTCGGACTGGCAGAGCTATGTCGGATTGTATTCATTGCCTCGTTATCAGATCGCAGAGGCGGATGATACTCAACTGGACCTGGCTCAACAGATTGGGGATCGTCTGGGCTACCGTTTCAAGTACCCAAGGCTTCTCTCGTCTGCATTCACCCACGCTTCATACCCAACGGGATGGAGTAAAGTTCCATGTTATCAGCGACTAGAGTTTTTGGGTGATTCGCTGCTCGATATGGTTTGTGTCGAACATTTGTATCACAAGTATCCCGATCGGGATCCTCAATGGCTCACGGAACATAAGGTATTTTCTAGTCACCTTAAAATGAGAGGATGGTATGTAATGGGATAAAGCTAACGATTGGTAGATGGCTATGGTCTCCAATAAGTTTTTGGGTGCAGTTGCTGTTAAGTTGGGGTTACATAGACACCTCCTTTATTTTAGCAAAGCTCTTTTGGGTCAAATTACTAGATATGCGGAGGAGATTGAAGCTACTGAGACTGAAAGCATCGATTCACCAGACTTTTGGACAACGACCAGTGACCCTCCGAAGGTGGGTGATTTGGCTCACTGAGTATTGAAGTTGCGGGGGACTGACGAGATGTTGTAAATAGTGTCTGCCAGATATGTTGGAGGCATATATCGGCGCAATATTTGTCGACTCGAACTTCAGTTTTGAGGTGGTGGAAGATTTCTTCCAGCAGTGCCTCAAAAAGTACTTCGAGGATATGAGCATTTACGATACTTTTGCTAACAAGCACCCAACGGCATGTACCCCTTCCTCGCACAGCTTTCATGCCCGGTACATGCACACAAGGATGGTAGCTAATACCAGTTGCAGACATACTTACACAACCGACTAACGATTGATTTTGGATGCACCAACTTCTGCTTGAAAGCCGGTGAGGTAGACTCTGTGGATGCCGCAGAGCACCGGGTGCTTGCAGCGGTTATTATCCACGACGAGTTTGTAGCGGAAGGCATTGCATCCTCCGCAGGGTATGCAAAGGTTAAAGCCAGCGAGAACGCACTTGCGAAATTGGACGGGCTTCCCGCGTTCAAGTTCCGGGAAATATACCGCTGTGAGTGCGTTGCAACAAGTAAAGGGAAGGCGAAGAGAAAGGGATTTAAAAAGAAGAGAGATGACTATATGCGGGTAATTAATTCGTTCCAAACGGGATTGTGCGAGTGTTAACTCTTAAATCGATGTTTCGAGATAATACCTTACTTGAAAAACAAAACCCAAAATATTGCTATGATTAGTTCTTCAACCCAGAGGACTTGTGTTTATAGAGCACGTGAGCTCAAAGAGATGAAATAACAATCCCCCGATGTGTGTCGGAGCGTTTTTCAATTTTTTTTTTTTTTTTCTTCCCTTCAAACCAACATTTTCCTTTTTGTATAATTAGCATCAAAGCAGCGATCCGACCTTGGGGAGGAGGCTTGGACGAAGTTCGAGGCTTCCCGCAACGTTTAGGCAGGTTCTAGCGAAATGAAGTAGACTAGACCGTTCACGGACTAGTGTGATTGCCCCTGACATTGCCAAGGCCCCGTCCCGTGACCGCAAGACACGCTGCGTGAAACAACAAACCTTAAGAAAGTTTACATTTACAGGCAGGAGCTCAAACCACCGCATTGCATTGCTCCTTGCACGCCGTTCTCCTTTTCCAACGGTGATACACATCCCCAGCTTACTTGACTTCCCTGATCAACGACCACGCCATATCGGTCAGTGTACTACAGGCTCTGGAGCTCCCTCTTCTTCCGTTGAATTCCGAACCTCATGATTCCGTTCCACATATCTTCATAGTGTCTTGTCTACAATGGAGGTCGTCTCGCCAGGGGTGCCCAACGGCCTGATTCCTCCTTCGAGTCAACCTCCATCGGTCGATCCAGCTACTGTAGTCCAGTATTTGATAGAGACTCTACAGAGCACTCTCGATGCGCTGAAAACAGACTTAGAGAGCGCGGGAAGCTTCTTATCTAAGGCAAAGTATCCTGAAACCATCCAGAGGTGCACTCGCTTTGCCAGTGAATCTCAGGTTGCGTTATATGTCCAGAAGGATGCGGTGGAAACAGAGCAGACCAATGGAGAGGAGGAGGGATCCCGTATGTTTTATCTTCTTTTCAATACGTGAAAATAAAAATCTGAGATGGCAACGCTGATTTCTTTGTATTTGAACAGCTTCTCCGGCCAGGTATATTTATACACTCACTCTCGAGTTAGCCCTCTCACCTACGACCGTTGCATCTATGGCTTTTACTCGACAGCTTCAGCCCATAGATCCGAACCTGCCAATCTCCGCTCAGGTCCATGCCACAAATCTTCCGGGCTTCCTTTCATTAACTCAGATGACCTTGAATCAGGGCACAGCCACTGTGTCTCCTCTCCAGGCACTTCACACATTTGTAAATCATGTTATTTCTCCATACTTCGATGCCTACACACGTAACCAGGAAGGGGTTAGTGGTGTGAAGGGAAGGGGGAATAACGATGCAAAGACGGGAGTGCCAGTTACCAAAAAGAAGATTGCGGAACTCAAATCAAGTCTCCTGCAGCTCCAGGAGAACATCGAAATTCCAGTACTGAATCTTCCACTGCATGAAGTTGTTCAAGCAGCCTTGGACGAGGCTCTGGCTAGAGGCATTAAACCTTCTGCTGATCTCATCCCAGCAACTGTGCTTGAAAATAGCATGGTCTTGAACAGCATCCAAAACATTGTAAACGGGTGGATTAAATCCATCCAAACCACCACATCAATGTCCCGGGATGACATCAAGGGTTCTGCAATCCAGGAAATCAATTTCTGGTTGTCGATGGAAACCGCGCTGGAAGCGATCGAGAACCAGTTACGAAGTGACGGAGTCCAACTGACTATGGATATCCTCCGGCACGCGAAACGATATAATGTAACCCTCAGCTTTTCGGCAGATACCGGGCTAAAAGAAACTACGGAGACGGTTCAGAAATACAACCAATTAATGCGAGATTTCCCGCTGGATGAGCTCTTGTCTGCCACCTCCCTGAATAAGGTCCATGATGCCTTGAATCTCATCTTTTCTCATTTAAACAAGAAACTTCGTATATGCCCATATCCTATTAAACGGTCGCTGTTGCTAGTGGAGGCTATTTCCGGTGATTTGGATACTCAAATACGTACCCTCATCCATGGGAGATCAATTATGCACTTGGGATTTAAGGAATTCCGCGCTCTGATGAGGTCCGCTCAGGTCATCTGGCGGGCTTGGGATGAAAATGTTAAGGAATTTACAAACGTTGCTCGTGATGCCATAAGACGAAGGAACGAGAAATTTATCTCCATCAAAGTTGAACCACGGCATAGCGCCATCCAAGATCGACTGAAGTATATAAATACATTCCGCAACAATCACGAACAACTCCAGCGTACCATTGTGAACGTACTCAGGCCCAACGCCAGTCATGGTGGCATGTCGTCGGGTGCTGATGGTGATGGAGCTGTCGTTGGTGAGGAAATTGGTGACGTCGATGCTTTGGAGGAGGTTTCCCAAGCTTATGCATCCTTGAAAGACGTTGACGTTTTGGATGTATCAGAAGAAGGTACTCAGATATGGATCCAGGCCGAAGCTTCGTATAACGAACGCACGTCTAGAGTAGAGAATTCCATAATTGCGCGTCTTAAGGACCGTCTTGCTACAGCAAAAAACGCTACTGAAATGTTCCGTGTCTTTTCAAAATTCAACGCCTTGCTTGTCCGACCCAAGATCCGAAGCGCCATTAGCAAACACCAGTCCGAATTGATCGAACTTGTGAAGAACGATATTGCCAAGCTGCATGAGCGATTCAAGCACCAGTATGGCAATTCCCAAGCTAGCCCAATGGCGCAGCTGCGAGATCTACCTCCCGTATCGGGTGCTATCGTGTGGGCTCGCCAAATCGAACGACAACTTGATGGTTATATGCGGAAAGTTGAGGACGTTCTGGGTGAAGATTGGGACTTGCACGCTGAAGGACAAAAGCTCCAGGCTGAAGGTAACATGTTCCGAAAGAAGCTCGATACGCGACCTATATTTCAGAACTGGCTACAGGACGTTCAAAGACGAAATATTACTATTTCCGGTCGCCTCTTTAAAATCTTCCGTAATCGTGCTGCTGGAAACGCGTTGGAACTTGATGTGAATTTCGATCCGCAGATTATTGTGCTCTTCAAGGAAGTCAGAAACCTTGTCTGGCTTAGTTACCAAGTTCCGCATGCTATCAATACCATCTCAAAGGAAGCTAAACGAGTATACCCATATGCTATTAGCCTAATCGAAAGCGTCCGAACGGTTCTACAAACAATGCGCTCGATCTCGTCTATGGCTGACGTTTCTATTCTTTTGAGTGGTTACAAAAACGACGTCCAGACCTTGATTATGAAAGGTCTTCCTTTGCGCTGGGAGTCTTTTATCCATTCCTATGAGCTCCACGTCAAGCAAGTGATAGCTAATGGGGCAGTCGATCCTTCACTGGCCCAAGGTCGAAGCGAAAGCAAACATGTTCAATTTGTTCGCAAATTTGCAGTCTCCGCTTCCGTTCTCCAATCGAAAACTTCGACGCTGTTTCAAATTAATGAGAATATACAGAAAGCTATTTCGGATCTCAAAACCTGCCCATACGATGCGTCTATCTTTCGCCAGCGCCTGGATGAGATTCAGAACGCCGTTGATAAATTGAATCTAGAAAATTATGTAAATCTCGGCTTCTGGGTCTCGAATATGAATCGGAAAATCGAACTCATTCTACAAGAGCGTTTACATCGGGCCATAAGGGAGTGGATTGTTGCCTTCCAGGAGATTAAATATGACGAGAACGGCAACCAGCGACAGATACCAGTTTATAATCAGAGCTCAAAGGCAACTGATGACGCCGAAACTCAAATCTATACCATTGAGTTCCCAAAACTTTTCCATGAGATTTCCATGAGAAACCAAGTGCTCCGCCTCGATCCTCCTCTTGAGTATGCGAGAGCAAGCTGGTTTGATCACTTTAACCAGTGGGTTGGAATTCTTTGCAACTTGGAGAAAATCAAGTCATCACGCTATAAGATGTCCATAGAGACCGACAAGGCTTTACTCTCCGAAACCCACTTCACAAACCTCCCTCAATATTGTACCAGCGAACTAGTGGAAGTATATTCGGTGGTTAGCGCAAGACTACAAGAGATCTCGGATTATGTGGATAAATGGCTACAGTTCCAGTCACTATGGGATCTTCAATCCTCCCAAGTGTATGATGTGCTTGGCGACGATTTATCCCAATGGCTGCAACTACTTCAAGAAATCCGTAAAAGCCGCACGACGTTTGATACCTCTGAAGTTGGCAAGTCTTTTGGCAATGTTAGGATCGACTATGAACAAGTACAGACCAAGGTCAATGCTCGATACGACCAATGGCAACATGAAATTTTGCATAAATTTGGCGGCAGGCTTGCGAGTCGTATGCGTGAAATTCACGATGAGATTGTTACTTCCAAGAAAGACCTGGAGAGCCAGACGCTTGAAGCATCCTCAACTGCACATGCCGTTTCGTTCATTACCATAGTCCAACGGTGCAAGCGAAAGGCACGAGTATGGGGTCCGGAGGTTGAACTCTTCCTCCAAGGTCAGGCAACTTTAACTCGCCAACGTTACCACTTCCCCGGCGACTGGTTACATGTTGAGCAGGTTCGCGACGATTGGAATGCCCTCAGCGAGCTTCTTGAACGCAAGAGCAAGATTGTGCAGGATCAGACTGATGCACTTCAGGCGAAAATCATTGCGGAGGATCGTGTGATCAGTAACAAGATTTCTGAAATCATCAATCAGTGGAATGAAGAGAAACCCGTATCCGGCTCGATACCTCCAGAGGAGGCTTCTCGAACGTTAAGTTCCTTTCAATCACGACTGGAAAGCCTACGCTCTGAATCTGAAATGGTTATGAAAGCAAAGGAGGCCCTAGATCTGCCTGGGAGTCCTGAAACGGCTCTTTCTGCAGTGCTTGAAGAAGTGCAGGATTTCATGTCTGTCTGGGCCGCATTGTCGACAATCTGGAAGAGCTTGAATGAGCTTAGGGATGTGCTTTGGAATAGCATCCAACCGAGAAAGCTTCGCCAATCCCTTGACGAGCTCATCAAGATGACGAAGGAAATGCCGAGTCGAATGCGACAGTACGCTGCCTTCGAACATATCCAGAATATTTTGCGCCAATTGCTCAAAGTCAATCCTCTCCTTTCCGACATGAAGTCGGAGGCTGTTCGAGAGCGGCATTGGCAAAAGATTTTCAAAGCTCTTAAGCCCGGGAAGCGTTTCTCTCAAACTTCCCTTACCCTTGGTGATGTTTGGGATCTGCAACTGACCTCTAGTGAATCCGTTATCCGTGACATTATTGCTCAAGCACAAGGCGAAATGGCCCTCGAGGAGTTTTTGAAGATGGTTCGCGAAACATGGCAAAACTACTCTCTTGACCTTGTCAACTACCAAAACAAGTGCCGCTTGATCAGAGGTTTCGACGACCTTTTTGCCAAATGCAGCGAAAACCTCAACTCTCTCCAGGCCATGAGGCATTCCCCGTACTATAAGGAGTTTGAAGAAGAAGCCAGTTCGTGGGAAGATAAACTGAACAGAGTCCACGTTCTCTTCGATGTTTGGATCGACGTCCAGCGGCAATGGGTGTATCTTGAAGGAGTCTTCACTGGTAATGCTGATATCAAACATCTGCTCCCTGTCGAGTCCGGACGGTTCCAGAATATCAACTCGGAATTTTTTGCTGTCATGAAGAAAGTCTACAAGTCCCCGTTTGTTCTTGACATTCTTGCTATTACTGGTGTTCAAAAGTCCCTGGAGCGGTTGGCGGAACTTCTTCATAAAATTCAAAAGGCTCTCGGAGAATACTTGGAACGAGAACGCATGTCTTTCCCACGCTTTTATTTCGTTGGTGACGAGGATCTACTTGAAATCATCGGTAACAGCAACGACACCCTCCGTGTGGCGAAGCATTTTAAGAAAATGTTTGCAGGATTATCTGGTTTGCTGATGGATGATGATAGCAATATTGTTGGCTTTAGTTCAAAGGAAGGAGAAGAAGTCAGGCTGAAACGCGAAGTGTCTCCTGTTAAGACCCCCAGAATCAATGACTGGCTCAGTGCTTTGGACATTAATATGAAATTAACGTTGGCGGAACTGCTTGCGGAGGCTATCGAACAATTTGAACCCATATATAGGGCCCCCGAAGTCGACCAGACGGCATTTAATGATTTCCTCGCAAACTACCCTGCTCAGATTGTCGTTCTTAGTAGTCAGGCCGTTTGGACCCAGGCTGTCCAAGCCGCTCTAGAAGCCGGTGGCCAGGATTTACCCACGCTTTATGATGCACAAGTGCGAGTCTTGGACTTGCTTGCTGTCACCGTCCTTGGAGACTTGGACCCCATCACAAGAAAGAAGTGCGAGCATATGATTACTGAATTTGTTCACCAACGAGACTCGATTGCGAAACTCATCGAGTTCAACGCCACGTCTCCTTCTCATTACCTCTGGCTGTTACAAATGCGACATGTATACCAAGCTGAAGGAGACTTCTTGCAACGACTGCGCGTCCACATGGCCAACGCGAAGTTGGATTATGGTTTTGAGTATCTTGGGGTTCCCGAACGCCTCGTACGAACTCCGCTGACAGATCGCTGCTTCTTGACCCTCACTCAAGCGCTGTGTCAACGACTTGGTGGCTCTCCTTATGGACCAGCCGGAACCGGAAAAACCGAGTCAGTCAAAGCCTTAGGTCTGCAGCTTGGTCGATTTACCCTAGTTTTCTGCTGCGACGATACATTTGACTTCCAAGCAATGGGCAGAATCTTCTTAGGGATTTGTCAGGTTGGCGCGTGGGGTTGTTTCGACGAGTTCAACCGTCTTGAGGAGAGAATTTTGTCGGCCGTTTCGCAGCAAATTCAAAATATCCAGATCGGGCTGAAGAATAGTAATGACGAGGAGAAAGCGCAAATTGACCTTGTTGGCCGCCGCCTGCGAGTCAACACGAACACTGGAATTTTCATTACTATGAATCCTGGATACGCTGGGCGATCTAACCTTCCTGACAACTTGAAGAAGTTATTCCGTAGCGTCGCCATGTCCAAGCCCGATAAGGAACTCATTGCGGAAGTGATGCTTTTCTCCCAGGGCTTCAAACAGGCCAAACCTTTGTCTAGACAAACTGTACCATTCTTCGACCACTGCGCCAAACGCCTGACGAAACAAGCTCATTATGACTTTGGTCTCCGTGCTTTGAAGAGTGTACTAGTTAGCTCTGGCGGACTCAAACGCTTGCGCCTTGCAAACTGCGATGGCGACCTTGGCCCCAACGAAATTATTGAACCTCAAATTATCGTTCAGAGTATTCAAGAAACAATTGCTCCCAAGCTAATTCGCGAGGATGTCGAAACCATGTTGCAGATCCAGGCTGACGAGTTCCCTGGGGTGGTGTATATCCCTGCAAACTTCGACAAGCTTACCCAAGCCATTCGTGATATCGCTGTCGAAAACCATTACGTTGCTAGCGACACATGGATTGCAAAGACTTTGCAACTCTATCAGATCCAGGGTATCCATCATGGTGTAATGATGGTTGGACGGTCGGGAGCTGGTAAGAGTGCTTCGTGGAAGACACTGCTCGAGGCCCTGCAACGGGTGGAAGGGGTGGAAGGGGTTTGTCATGTTATTGACTCGAAAGTCATGGCTAAGGAAGCCTTATATGGTAACCTTGATAGCACTACACGGGAATGGACCGACGGTCTCTTCACTGGAATTTTAAGAAAGATTGTGGATAACCTTCGCGGAGAGGACGCAAAAAGACACTGGATTGTCTTTGATGGAGATGTTGATCCGGAATGGGTTGAAAATCTTAACAGCGTGTTGGATGACAATAAGTTGCTTACTCTTCCAAATGGTGAACGTCTTAATCTGCCTCCAAATGTTCGGATTGTGTTCGAAGTGGAGACTCTTAAATACGCTACTCTTGCTACTGTCAGTCGATGCGGTATGGTCTGGTTTAGCGATGATACTGTCACCCCGAAAATGATGGTTACCAACTACATTGAGTCTTTGAAAACAAAAACCTTTGAAGATCTGGACGACGATAGCGTTCCCTCCGGCCAGTCTTCCACAAAGACCTTGGAAACACAGAATATGCTTGCGAACCTACTGGAGGTACTACTTCAGAATGACGACCTCATTCTCATAGCGCTCGAAGAAGCAAAGAAGTATAATCACATCATGGAATTCAGTGATATTCGAGCTCTCAACACCCTCTTCAGTTTACTGAACAAATCTTGCCGGAACATTCTCGAGTACAATATTCAGCACGTTGACTTCCCATTGGATCCAGAGCAAGCAGAATCTTATTTGTCAAAGAAGTTATTTTTGGCCCTTGTTTGGTCTCTTACTGGTGACTGTCCCCTTGGAGATCGAAAATCCTTTGGTGAATATGTCACGGGCTTCTCCACCATTGACTTGCCACCGCTTAATGAGTCCTCTTCCCTCATCGATTTTGACGTCTCTCTACCCAAAGCTGAATGGATTAGCTGGCAGTCACAAGTGCCATCTGTTGAGATAAATACTCACTCTGTTACGCAAACCGATGTCATCATTCCAACCTTGGACACCGTTCGCCATGAAGATGTCCTCTATTCCTGGCTTGCAGAACACAAGCCACTTCTTCTCTGTGGTCCTCCTGGTTCCGGAAAGACTATGACACTGTTCTCAGCCTTGAGGAAGCTTCCCAACATGGAAGTGGTTGGACTTAACTTTTCTAGTGCAACAACTCCAGATCTCCTGATTAAGACTTTCGAACAATACTGCGAGTACAAGAAGACCCTCAATGGCGTGGTAATGTCACCCAACCAAATTGGACGTTGGCTGGTGATTTTCTGTGACGAAATAAATCTTCCGGCTCCCGATCAATACGGAACTCAACGCGCGATTTCCTTCTTGAGACAGCTTGTTGAGCAGAACGGATTCTGGCGGACAACGGATAAAACTTGGGTAACACTTGATCGCATTCAATTTGTTGGTGCTTGTAATCCTCCAACTGATGCTGGCCGTACTCCTCTTGGTGAACGCTTCCTTCGTCATGCTCCCCTCATCATGGTCGACTATCCTGGTGAGCTCTCCCTTATGCAAATCTATGGAACTTTCAACTCTGCTATACTCAAGATTATACCTTTGCTTCGTGGATATTCTGAAGCTTTAACCAAAGCGATGGTTCAATTCTACCTAGAGTCTCAAGCTAGATTCACACCCGCGATCCAACCTCATTATGTTTACTCTCCTCGAGAACTCACAAGATGGGTCCGTGGTATCTATGAAGCAATAAAGCCGTTGGAGAATTTGTCTCTTGAGGGTCTTGTTCGTATTTGGGCCCATGAAGCCCTGCGATTGTTCCAGGATAGGCTCGTCGGTGAAGACGAAAGAGAGTGGACTTCAGATGCTGTGAAGCGCATTTCACTGGAGAATTTTCCCACAATGGACGAACAGAAGGCATTGGAGGCCCCAATTTTGTTCTCCAATTGGCTGTCTAAGAACTACGTCCCAGTTGAACAGGAGCAGCTTCGTGAATTTGTCAAAGCCCGACTGAAGACTTTCTGCGAGGAAGAGGTTGACGTGCCTCTTGTTCTCTTCAATGATGTCCTAGAGCATGCTCTCCGCATCGACCGTGTGTTCCGCCAGCCACAAGGGCATCTCATTCTCATTGGTGTAAGCGGAAGCGGTAAAACAACATTATCCCGTTTCGTTGCTTGGATGAATGGTCTCAAAGTGTTCCAAATCAAGGTCCATGGAAAATACTCGGCTGAAGACTTTGATGAAGATCTCAGAAGTGTTCTCCGACGAGCAGGATGTAAAGGCGAAAAGATTTGTTTTATTATGGACGAGTCCAACGTTCTTGATTCAGGCTTCCTGGAACGGATGAATACTCTTCTTGCCAACGCTGAAGTCCCCGGTCTCTTTGAAGGGGACGAATTTGCCTCGTTGATGACTGCTTGCAAGGAGGGCGCACAGAGACAAGGGCTCTTGTTAGACTCCCAGGAGGAACTCTACAAATGGTTCACGCAACAAATTGTCAAGAATTTACATGTTGTTTTTACCATGAATCCTCCTGAGGATGGCCTCTCTTCCAAAGCCGCGACAAGTCCCGCGCTTTTCAATCGATGCGTCCTCAACTGGTTCGGCGATTGGTCAGACCAGGCTCTATTCCAGGTCGGCTCGGAACTTACCCAATCCGTGGATCTTGACAAGCCCAACTTCATTGCACCGGATAGCATTCCAGTTGCTTATCGTGGTCTTCATCTCCCAGCGTCCCACCGAGAAACCGTTGTTAATTCTATGGTTTATATTCACTACTCGCTTCAGAAATTCAACCAACGCCTACTGAAGCAGCAGGGTCGAACAACTTATCTCACTCCACGCCATTATCTCGACTTTGTCGCTCAATATGTCAAACTTTTTAATGAGAAGCGCGAAGATTTGGAGGAACAGCAACGCCATTTGAACGTTGGCCTTGAAAAGCTCCGTGATACTGTGGAAAAGGTCAGCGAATTGCGTCAGAGTCTTGCCGAGAAGAAGCGTCAACTCGAACAGAAAGATGTGGAAGCAAACGAAAAGTTGCAACGTATGGTCGCTGATCAACAAGAGGCTGAGCGACGGAAAGCGGCATCTCTTGAAATTCAGGCGGCACTTGAAAAGCAAGAAAAGGAAGTAGCCCGACGGAAAGAAATTGTCCTCGGCGATCTTGCTCGGGCTGAGCCTGCGGTCCTTGAAGCCCAGAAGAGTGTAAGCAATATCAAACGGCAGCAGCTTACTGAAGTCCGTGCCATGGGAAGTCCACCTGCTAGTGTCCGGCTTGCCCTTGAGTCAGTCTGCACGCTACTTGGCCACAAAGTGGACAGCTGGAAGACTATCCAAGCGATTATCCGTAGGGATGACTTCATTGCCAGCATTGTCAATTACGACAACGAGAAGCAAATGACCCGCCCCCTCAGGAACAAAATGAAAAGTGATTACCTTACCAAGGACGAATTTACCTTCGAAAGAGTAAATCATGCCAGCAAAGCATGTGGGCCACTTGTTAAATGGGTTGAAGCTCAAGTGAACTACTCAGAAATCCTGGATCGAGTCGGACCTCTCCGAGATGAAGTCGAACACTTAGAACAGCAGGCACTGCAAACCAAGGCCGAAGCACAGGCTATCGAAAATACCATCAACATTCTGGAAAGTAGTATCGCGACGTACAAGATCGAATATGCAGGACTTATCAGCGAAACCCAAGCCATCAAGACGGAAATGTCACGCGTGCAGTTCAAGGTTGATCGAAGTGTTCGTCTGCTTGACAGCCTCTCCTCTGAAAGGTCTCGTTGGGAAGAAGGAAGCAAGTCTTTCGAGACGCAGATATCCACTCTTGTCGGAAATGTCCTCATTGCGGCAGCCTTCCTTGCATATGGTGGTCTGTATGATCAGCAATTCCGAAAATCGATGATCGATGACTGGCTATACCAATTATCCCAGTCAGGTATCAGCTTCAAGCCCCACAACCCTATTACAGAGTTTTTGTCGAACGCCGACGAGAGGCTCTCCTGGCAAGATCACTCGCTCCCGGTGGATGATCTTTGCACAGAAAATGCGATTATTCTGAAGCGTTTCAACAGATACCCTCTTATCATTGACCCATCTGGCCGCGTTACCGAATTTTTGCAAAAGGAGAACAAAGATCGGAAGCTCACTGTTACCAGCTTCCTTGATGACTCGTTTATTAAACAGCTGGAGAGCGCATTGCGATTCGGAAACCCGATCCTCATCCAGGATGCCGAGTATCTGGATCCTATTCTAAATCACGTTCTCAACAAAGAGTACCAGAAGACTGGTGGCCGTGTCCTTATCCAACTAGGTAGACAGGAAATTGACTTTTCACCCTCCTTTAAACTGTTCTTGTCAACAAGAGATCCCTCTGCAACCTTTGCACCGGACATCTGCAGTAGAACGACTTTCGTTAACTTTACTGTCACTCAGAGTAGCCTGCAAACTCAATCCCTTAATGAGGTCCTGAAGTTCGAGCGACCTGATGTTGATGAGCGCCGAACCAATCTCATTAAACTTCAAGGCGAATTTAAGATTCACTTACGCCAACTGGAGAAACGCCTCCTTCAAGCCTTAAATGAATCTAGAGGCAATATTTTGGACGACGACAATGTCATCGAGACCCTGGAAACATTGAAGAAGGAAGCTGGTGAAATTTCGCATAAGATGGTCGAAACTGAGGGGGTTATGACGGAAGTTGAACATATCACACTCCAGTATGACATCATTGCGCGGTCTTGCAGTGCTGTTTTCGCTGTCCTGGAACAACTTCATCACCTCAATCATTTCTATCAATTCTCCCTGCATTATTTTGTCAATATCTTTCACACGGTACTTCATCAAAATAAACGCCTCGCCCAGGAAAAGGACCATGCTGCGAGAGTCAACATTATTCTCCAAGACCTGTTCATCACTGCCTATCAAAGAACTTCATTTGGTCTGCTCCAAAAGGATCGAATTACTCTTGCAATGCTTTTAGCCCAGGCTTCACCTTATACAATGGATAAGGGCATAATCGACACTATTCTAGACACGAGCGTTGAGGGGTGTGACGTATCCTTAGACAAAAATCTTGAAGACACCATGATGGCCAAGGCGTCGCAAATGTCGCTTTTTAAATCAACTATCGCTTCCGTTACCTCTGAAGATTGGGAAAAATTCCTCACAGAAGAGTTTGCAGAGAATTTTGTCCCTACAGTATGGGAGGAGGGCACGATACCACGTGACCAGCAACTGCGGTCGCTTCTCTTGGTGAAACTCTTCCGCATTGACAGATTCGTCCCTACAGCTGAGCGTTTTGTTACTGAAGTCTTTGGGCGGGAACTTTTTGAAGGCAGCGGAGATCTCAAGGATGTTGTCGAACAGGTCACTGCCACTGCACCAATTTCCCTAAGCTCGAGCCCTGGTTTCGATGCTAGTTATAAAGTGGATGGACTTGTTGAACGCATGCGCGCAACATGCGCAAACATTGCCATGGGTTCGAACGAAGGACTTGAAAGTGCAGACAAAGCTATCAGCAACGCAGCAGCAACGGGCACATGGGTTCTTGTCAAGAACGTGCACCTCGCACCGTCCTGGCTTCAGAGTCTCGAGAAACGATTGGACTCTCTCAAACCACATAGCAATTTTAGACTCTTCCTCTCCATGGAGTCGAGCCCGAAGATACCAGTTAATCTCATTCGGGCTTCCCGCGTGCTGATGTATGAACAGCCGGCGGGTGTTCGTGCGAATATGAAGGATTCACTCTCGTCCTTGTCTCTTAGAGCCAGTAAACCGCCCGTGGAGAAAGCCCGTATCTATTTGCTGCTCTCTTTCATACATGCAGTTGTTCAGGAGAGGCTTCGTTATGCACCTAACTTGGGATGGAAGGGTTTCTGGGAATTTAACGACAGTGATGTAAGTAAATTATATCCGCTCCCCTCCAACTTTCCTTCCTTAACCTAAATGTTGAACTATGCAACTAACGTCATGAACCACACAGTACGAATGCTCCGCATTTATAATCGACACCTGGGTCGATTTAATCTCCCAAGGTCGTTCCAACGTTGCCCCACAGAAATTCCCATGGGATCTACTCCGCACCCTAATCACAGAAACTTATGGTGGGAAAATCGATGACAGCGAAGATTTCCAACTGCTCGAGAATCTTGTTAACACCATTTTCACACCCGCAGCGTTCGAGGACGAGCACAATCTTGTCCCAGGGGTTGAAGGCGACGAATGCCTCAAACTGCCCTCGGGCACCAACATTCGAGATTTCGTCCAATGGGTCAATCGCCTCCCCGAGCGCGAGCCACCTACGTACCTGGGACTTCCGGCCAATGCAGAGAAGCTGCTGCTGGTTGGATATGGCAAAGCGGTGATATCCAATCTTGCGAAGGTGACTACCCTTCTTGATGAAGGGGAGCAGCTGATGGTTGAAGCTGCAGCTATTTGATTAAGAAAATCGAAGCAGGAGGTGGATTTGCTTTTTTTTTTTCTTTGTTGATTTATAAGAGTCATGAAAAAGGCCAAAAAACAAGCGCCTTTTTAGGCGTTTGGGGCATACATATATCTCTGGTTTACTGTTTCGGCAACTTTTCTTTCGTGCTTTGTTTTGGTGGAAAGATTACAGGAGGATATACCCAGACTACAATTTCCCTTTCTACTCTCTGGCCTTTCGTTTCTTACTTTTTCTATCACTTTTGATCTCCTTCCTTTTTAACCCATCTCTTTTGTACCAATGTGTTAGAATGGCTTGGCTTGCTATTTTGATTTTCTCTTCGTCTTAATGTATTGCTATCAATCCCCTGGCCTAGAGATTACCTGTTTCCTTCGTACTCCTATTTTTTCCCCTGTCGCCATTCTATATGTCTTCTATCTCTTCATTTTCCCTCCTTGCTACTACTGTGACTATATTGAGAACCTTCTACCTTTTTTCTCACCCCTTTAAGCTACAATATAGCCTTCTGCTTTGTAATTAACCCGTCCTCTTCGGGGCGAGATATCGAATGCATTGTTTGTTGGCTCTTTCAGGTCCCACCTGCTGCTTGCTTCCGTGTTTGCCCCTGAGTCTCCTGGAATTGGTCCACCAGAACATGGTGTCGATCTCCCTCAGTCTGATTGATGGATCCGCACTAAACCATTTCTTGCCTGGAATTCTCTCTCTCCCGAAGTCACGACAATCGAGTACGATTCCCGTGACATCTTGGCGGGTGATGTCAGCCAATCCTTCGTTCAAACAAGCCTCTGTTGGTTTGCACCATTTGCACTCAGTCGGGTCTCTCAGCAGTTCATATTATTTTTTTTCTTCAATCCTTTTTCATCTTTTCTTTTAATCCGTTCTCCTCTCCTCATGCAGCCCTACTTGGATTACGGCTTGCTGCTTGCCCTGATAGAGAGACAAGCAAAAGAGCAAATGTGAACCTTTTCATATCTAGCCCTCCTCCCCTTTCAGCTTATAATTTGGTTTTCGATAGGCTATCTCTATTTTCTGACTTGTTTCTTCCTAGACTATTTCCAACATGAAACGCCCCCCAAGACTTCGTACAAATACCGGGGTCAACGCATCAACATCTTCAAATTCCATTCTCTGGCGTTTCCCATTGTTGCAGGTAAACGATATCAGGCTGCGGGCATGGGATGTAGGAGTTCAAATACCCGGCTTGCGTATTCTGCTTGGTAGGCTGGTTCGCTTTTCTCTTTAACAGCAGATACCTAGATATCTTAACACGTGTATTATCTATTTGTTTATATAAACTGTTATGCTTTATGTCATGGTGTTATGTTGTTCCCGGTTACAAGGATTGATCCCCCCTCCATATTCTGTGGTTGAGTTGGAAGTATATAGAACTCTTCCATATGCTAAATGCAGTGTTTACCAGCCTTCCTATCTTCCCTCAGGACAAATCTACAGATATCTACTTCGAATGAGGACCTTTTCCCGCCCTCACCACCCATCCCCGTCATAGACACTCCAGATCTCCTGAAGCCCATACCTCCTATCTCAACCGAAACCAACCCATATTCAAACCCCGCCTTCTCAGCTCCCAATGGAACACAGTCGCAAAACCCCCAGCCCTCAACTCCAAAGCATGCATTCAGCAAAGAATCCAGCTCCCAACCGCTCCATTCCCCGACCCTAGCAATCTTCACCGCCACAAAGGAAGCAGACATCCTCTCCGCCCTCCGCCTCGTCTCCGACAGCGTCGCCCAACAACGCCAAATCGCCATAAAATCCATAATCTGCCACCCAGCCATCCAGGCCCTATCGATCATAACCTTCCTCACAATCGCCAAACTTCTCTACACAGGCTCCCCCAGCGACCTCGTCCTCATGCTCACACTCTGGACACTGGCGGGGTTATTCGCCCTCCTCGCAATTCGACACATGGTCCGTGGTTACTCCGCCCTCGCTGAGCACGTGGGGAACTGGTCATGGCTCTCCGCCAGCTCCGTCAATGGCATTTCGCACCGCAGAGATGAGATTCTCGTCACGAAATGTGGAGAGGATATCATAGCCGTGCTCGTGCTGAGGATTGCGAAGACGGTGAATAGCACGGATACTGTCTGTTTGCGGCCACGGTTCTCTAGACGTAAGAGCTCTGCGAGGTGGACGGGTATTATTCGTGCATGGAGTGTTAGGCAGACGGATCGACATCAGGGGGTGGGTAGAAAGCTGCTGGAAGAGGCTGTGGCGTATTGTCGATTGCGGACCCTTGATGGACCAGTTTTTGCGGTTGATCATGCTAACGCTACTTTGATGCTGCCCAATGTATTTAACGTCAAATTTCGGGAGCATGAGAGGTGGGCATGGGGCCTTTTGGAGGCGGTTATTTTGGAGCAGAGCGGGCGGTAGATTTGCTGCCTTTTTCTCGTTTTTGGTGTTTCTTTTCCCTCAGTATATGATTTGACAAGATAATCATGATGCCTTCGTTTTACCCACATGATACCCCTCAATTGATTAACTTATTTAGCAAGCTGGATTTGCTACTTTCTTCTCCGTATTTGCATTTTCCTCTTTTCATTTTTCCTTGGATATTTCCATTGCCATTTCTCCCTTCTCTTCTGGATACATATATTAATTGATTTATTGGGGTGGGTTGATATGGTATACCAGCAAAAGAGCAAAGACGGATTTTTGCAAGGGTGGCAGAACAGAAGTTACAAATTGAAAGGACGGTCCCATGAGAATCTCCGCTGGTTTTGATTTCACGATTTTTTGTCGTTCTACATCACTTCTGTGGGTTTTGGAGGCTTCGCTGGCCTAACAAGGACATACAAAGGAAGATATCAATTAAATTTCATTTCCTCATTGGGTTGACTCTCCTCCGAACTCTGGTAGCTTTATATATTCACTTGCCTACTTTTTAATCCTACCCGTGCACTACTATCCTTTCGCTTTCTACTAAATTGAAAAGGACTCAGAGTCGGGCATTTTACATTCCGACGCAGTGTTGTCATAGCAGAAGAAAAGTACAGTACTCTTTCCAACGAAAAAGCGATCGAGTGCGGGGTAATCGGGCGCAATCCCTAGTTATGGCGCAGTGTTACAACGTCAGCCTTTTGTGTTTCGTGGACGCATGATAAGTGAGCAGTTAACTATCCTGCTATTTGCTTGATTTAGGATGTGTGATAGTGGGAAATGACTATGGGGATACGTCAACAGCATATTTTTCATTGGGAGTTAAAATTTGATGCCCAGCTATGCTTCTTTCATGTTGGTTCAATACTGCAGAGTTTACATGCTTCGATGTTTTAAGTGAGGGAAGGTTGAGAAACAGGATTACCCAAAAATAAAAAATAAAGAAAAGAAAAGAAAAGAAAAGAAATGTAAGTAAAATGAAAAAGAAAAATTGAAAAAGGAAAAAGAAAAAAGGAAACCATGAAAGAACCGGCAAGATCCCACCATAAACTCATCATTGATTCAAGAATGGTAGATATGAACTCCTCCGAACTCTGAGTTCAAGGGACCTACAAAGTAACCAACTACATATGCAGAGAAAACCCCACTGCAGCTGGAAACCTTGCCACGAAAGTTCCAGCGAACATCAACATTAAATTCTGATGTCTTCTTGCACGTCAATGGCGTCAAAATGCCGGATTTCCGAACAACCAACAGGCTCGAAGTATGCCTCGAACAAACCAGGTAACAATACCTAGGTGTTTGACGTGCCTGATGCAGCTTGGATTCCATGTCAACAAGGATAACAATTTTAGAACCCAATTAAATCGCACGGTTTCACATCGAGATCCAGGATCCAACAATGGTTCCCGGTTGAACGGGGGTTGATTGTCTCGTTTCAGAATTAAGCGGGTGGAGGTTCCTACTCATTAACGTTGACTGAAGTATCATCATAACCTTTTGACATTGCACTGCTTTTTGAAAATCGAAGTAAAAGGAACAATGGCTGAGTTGAGCTAAAAGAATTATGTGACATCTTCTGGCAAAACCCTGTTTTTATGCCACAGCGGATGAGCCAAAGAAAGATTGGCGGTTGAACCACCTAACTTTTATATTATTATTATTATTATTATTATTATTATTATTTAACCAGTTAATGGCCTTGGGAGGCATAACTAACTAGCTGTGGAGGCGGTTCCACGGAGCTTGTCTCAATTTCACATGGACATCCAGATGAGCAAACCTCTAAGTGCTGTGATCATAAAGATTCAATCAACCATACTTGCGGAATTGGAACTTACAGATACTGGAAATTCAGCGACTAACAGTGATAGTTTTGAAAGCCTTCGCCACACATTGTCAGGAGGGCAACGCCTCCGCAACGCCATTTGCCCTCCAGAGCACCGGCACATATGACCCATACGAGGAATTGGCGGCACTTCTGGAGCTAGATGACTTTATCCCGTTAGTTACGTGAATAGGCATCTAATTGTGCAGGCGCCGCACGCATGACAGAATGAGATTGAGCAGTTCGACTCCTTTTTGTATGAATGCTCAAGGTCTCTGGGTTTCTGAGGCTAACTAGTAAGTTACTGTCTGCGTGCCTATGAGATTGCTGCAGCATCGGTCTTAATAAAAAGCTGGAGCACGAATTCGGGTTCGAAACTGTTGCGATCATTTAGTTATTCTATTTTAACTTGCTTTATATGAAAGACAACATTTGATATTGTGATGAGCAAGATGCTTAATCAATCTCACAACCAGCGAACCATGGGTTTGCTTTGTTCGGCTTTTGAGAGTCCAAACTTGTCATTCTCTGGATGGGGTCTTTGAACAACTCATCAGAGATTGTTCGGCCATTCGGAGGAATGACCTATAGGAATGACAGTCTGCTATCTGATCCTCCCACAGTGTTTCAAGGACCTGCCTGGCATTTGACTTCTTCATTCACTGACATGTGTCATGATCCCATTAAATCTTTGTAGGACCCAAAAATGGAAACGTTATCAAATGGGACAATCCTACCACAGTTGCAAAGAAGAAAATGTCAATACATGAAATGAAGAGAAAGATCTGGGGGTTCGTCCAGGAGAAGGAAAAACCGTTATCGTGCGATTTATTTAATTTCTCATTTCACATCTAACTAGATAAACTCTCTGTGCTCATTTCTTAAGTTTCAACCGCTCTCCAACTTCTTTCTGCTCTCCTCCACAACTGCCCCCATTAACCCAAACAACAGTCCCGAGAAATCCAAACAGAAGATCCGGTCGCCTCTGCTCTTGAAATTTCACATCAATATGTAGTCCGGTCTTTTCGCACAAACATAGGAAACACTGAAAAACCATTCTCCCCTTTCCCATATTTGGCACCCTGACATGGCGGAATGCGGAGTGCCTTGACAATTCCCGGACAGTCAACTGAAGAGAACGAGCTCCAATCCAGAGAGAGATACACGGGAACAGCACCACAGCCTCAGAAGCAATCTCTTCGCCTATTCGAAACCGTAGACAGGATTTCCCAACTATAAATTGGTTAGAATATCAGGGTCACGGTAGCAGAAACAATTATTGCCCCGCAGACTGTCCTCCCTCTTCCAGAGAAAGACGTAGGGTGAGGTGTAATTAGAATGTAAAACAGAATATACCACTTACACCCTTGAGGACAAACACCACCTTTTTCGTCACCAAGGGGAGGCAACATCGATTAGCAGTGCTTATAGAAGCGTTGCCAGTGTCAAGGCAAGCAAAGAGGGGGGGGGTACGGTGAATGTGCCATCAAATGGCAAAACAACAGAAGTTGTCGAGGTGCAAATCCGCATGTACTCTACTATACTTACATCTTGGGTATTTACAGTCTGTAGAATCAGGTCAGCTTCAGGCCGATTCGAGTCAAATTTCTCCCTTTCTCTAATATGCAAAGGGCCAACACTTAGGGGGTTGGGGGGGAATAAAAGGAAAAGCATACCTTGCGCTTCTTGCCAGGATACTTCGTACCATCCAGCAAAATAACAACTCTTCGAATAATCTAAAAAAAAAATAACATCATTCAAAACAAAAAGTGAGTTCAATTAGCGAATCAAGACCTACCCATATTTACTCTTTTTCTTTCTCCTCTTGTGCTTTTTCTTGCCGCAACCAACAAGGATGAATATCAACAAAACATCATAAAGGAAAGAAACCTTGAGAAGCTTAAGTAATGCGATGAATATATATATATATATATATAAAAGCCAATGGAAAAAAACACAAAAACATACCTCCTTCAAACGGATGATCAGGACCGCCCGGATGGTGTCGTAGACATCTTTCTGCATCCGTATCACACCTCCACGACGGGCAAGACGACTGTGTGCGGGTCGAAGATTAGTATAATTAGAGTATATGGGCTTCAGTCTCTGAATATGGGGAGTGTCCAATATTCCAGCCCAACAGCATAACATGTTCAACTCTTGAAAAAGGGGCTTAGAGCAAACCGGATCGCAGGCTTAGCTATAGAGCAGGAAAAACGTTAAAAATAAAAATAAAAAATAATCTAGTTATTATATAATATAGTCTGCAGCCGAAACAGCAGATATGAGATTTGGGTTTGGCATGCATAAAAGAAAAGAAACAGGTGGTTAGAGGGGAGAGGGGGGGGGGTGCAGGGGTCCAAATATCACACTTACTAACTCCCATGATGTTATCACGCAGGCGCTTCCTGGATGTTTGAAAATGATTGAAAGATGCTGTGGTTAGAGTTCTCTTCTTCTTTATGCAGAGAATATTAATATAAGGGTATGTTGCAATCAGGGGGGTATAGAAGGTTGGTATCTATCACTTAAGGACAAAGTGCTTCAAAAAGGAAAAAATACATATATACGTAAAACTCACTGGAGTCGTCTAGGAACGAAGTGAGCAACATTTGAGCTAGTCCAGCCTTTTCGAGAGTGGATGGTTCCCATTCCTTTTATTTATTTATTTATTTTTGGTTTTGTGATGTGTGAGATTTCGAAGGAAGGGTTGTTGCTGTGAGAATGTAGGGGAGTAATGGTGGGCAATTTGAATGGTAGAGGGAGGAGGGAAAGGTTGGTTGGATGGGAAGAAAAGAGCAGGATGTGTAGAGGAAGAGATGGGGGCCATGGGAGGCATGGAGAGGTAGTGTGTTGCTCTGTTGCTGTGTTCCCGCTGCTGTGTTATGTGGGTTGATATACCCTGGCTGGGTGGGGAGAGGGGTTGGGAGGGAGGGAGAAGAAATTTATCGGCAGATCTTGGATGGCTTCGATTCGATGCTTGAGGGAGAGACATCGCAATCTCATGTGAGGTAGCGAGAAAAGGAAGAATATATATATATCGAGTTCAGTTTTCTAATCAGAACAGCAGGAAAAGCTTTCCGGTGTCATTCAATTGTATTAATAAGAATATGTGATGGGAGGGGTTTGTATGCCTCCGATCAGGGACGCATAACGCCATAGTCAAGTACAGGCGGGTTGGACGTTCAACGCATACATAAAACATAAAGGGGTTCAAAGAGGGGGGGAACAGGAGAAAAAAGCATAATCAGAGAACACAACAGCCCAACGCCAGTTCATAAGTCAAACCGTGATAAAACGACCGAATTGCCTCGCTTACATGATGGGGGAAGAGAAAAAGAGAAAAACGCGGGTTTAAGAAATAAAAGTTGCTTCCAGATAGAGAGTACCATGCTCACTCTCTTCTGAGTCACCAATGCGGACTTGCAGTGGGAGCTTGTCTTGTGGAGCATACTGCAGGTAGCGTTAGCATTACAGACTTCATTTTTGCAACTAGGATTTGGCCACCGGGCCCAGCTCCTTCTTACCTGAAAAATGTATGGCTTCGTTCCTGCAACGCTTCCAGCTATGGATTTAATAATCCCTGGAACCTCTGCCATAACATCAACACGATCAAGACGCCGGCCTAGAGAACCCTCCAAAACCGCACTGACGGGTTCACCGTCCTTTGTCTTTCCATCCCAGGTGAGCCTGACCGACTTAGGTTGCGGCCAGGAAGTATAGTCGTCTTTTTCGGATTCGAGATGCACTGCCGGTTGCACCGGTCCAGCACACACGATCTCGCCGCCCTTCACGACGCCGCCAACACTCACAACAGTAGATCCGTACGAAGGCGGGGTTGTGTACTCCATGAACACGGCAGAGTATGCTGGAGATTGGAAAGTTCCAAAATTCCACCGTGCAGCTAGAGAGGGCACAAGACAATGGTTAGGGTTTTTCCATCACACGTACACCAGAGAGAAGATAGTGCTGGTTCTTGGTTTCCTTGTTTTGGATGGATAGTGACAGGGACATACCAAGATGATGGGGTTTCATGCCTTGGAGGGCATGGATAAACACCCCGCGGCCTTTGAAATCAATCTCCCTTTCCGGAGAAATAATAGAGCCCTCGACCTGGCATCGTGGCCAAAAGACATGGCGCATGCTGCCCCACGGATTTTTAGGATCCGTGCCAAAGTATGAGGTGCCATCTCTTCCGGCGGCGAAACCGGGGGCGGTCCGTTTCAGAGTGACGTTGACCAAGCTATCCGGATTCATGGCTGATTTGACGGTGTAGGTGTCGCCTTCAGCGTTGAGGGTGAGGGCAATATTTTCTCCGCCAAAGGAGAGCATGTCCTCATCGAACATGTAATCGCGGATCGAGTCGGAGCACCACCTATGTTCCGACTTGCCATCCGTGGCATAGATCTTGGAGTTGAAATGGCAGGTCGTGTGGATTCCGCTGCGATCAAGAAAGAAGAAGAGAAAAAAGAAAAGCCTTAGTACACTTGTCCTAGGAGAAAAGAAGAGGGCTTCACAATCTCTCGATAGTTCTCACGCGACATTGCTATAAATAACCTGGAGCATGGCGATATCTCCATTATCTGAGAAGAGATAGAAGGTCTGGGTCTCCACGCAAGTAGATTGCATTGCCTTCCATCGCAGGTCATCCTTTGTCAATTCGTGGTATGAGGTTGGCTGCCCATGTGCCTGTGCCTGTGCCTGTGCCGCGACTGACTGGATGGCGCTTGGGCCATAGATGGGTTCTTGAGTGCCGGCAACATTGGCCAACCTAAATTGCCAAGGGAAGGGGTTAACAGCAGGATTACCCAGGGTGCCCACAGAGGCAGAACAGAACATATGGATGGATATGGACCTACGTTTGCTTGAACCAGTTCATGATGTGGGAGAATGGAGCTGGCAAAGGGGTGGCAGAGAACAGGGAGAGAGGATGAGGAGAGAGGAGAGAGACGAGACGATGAGGTTAAAAGGGAGAGGGGAAGCGCAGAGGGAAGCGCAGAGTGAGGGGACAGTGAGGGGGGGGAAAGGTCTGAGGCTAACCCCGGATAAACCACGGGTCCGGGGCTAGGCCGTATGCGGCAAGACAACGCGCCCAGCCGAAGAGCAACAGAGCAGGGAAATTCTGAAACCCGGGAAGGAAGCAGCCCAAGCAGGGAAGCAAGGGAAGCAGGCAGAATCCAATGGCTACCAAGGTACGGGTATGCAGCAGCAAGGAAAAACGCACAAGTCCGGCCCAAGAACTTTGCGCTGAAAGGAGCGGGCTGAGTCATCGTGCCACGGTTTGAACTTGCCCAACTAACTACTTTTGGCGCGCTAGGTAAGCGGGCGCTTAGCATGTGACTTGGCTGCTTAGGCTCAGAGCAAGCAGCAGCACGCAACTGCTAAAATTCTGCTGGACGGCAGAAAACGACAACATCCGAACCCACGACGGCCAACAACCTGGGGGAAGACACACCGACGGACAAGCCAAGTTCCCCCCTGCACCCAGTTCCGTTTTGCCCGACTTCCTACCCTCTGCCGTTCCCCGCGACAATGGCTCAGAAGGCGGCCGCAAAGGACGTGATCGTCAAGCTTATCGTGGGCGCGGGACAGGCCAGCCCCAGTCCTCCTGTCGGTCCCGCCCTTGGAAGCAAGGGTGTCAAGAGTATGGATTTCTGCAAGGTATGCCAAATCAATTCTCCTCTCTATTCCTTATGCCCCTTTTTCTATCCCCTAAGTGATGACCCTTCTTAATTTTCTGCTTCTTCTACAAACTTACAGGAATTCAACGCCCGCACCGCACACATTGAAACCGGAATCCCTATCCCCACCCTCGTCACCATCCGCCCCGATCGATCATTCACCTTCGACATTCGAAGCCCAACTACATCCTGGCTGCTGTTCAAAGCCGCAGACATCGAAATGCGCAAGGGACGGCTTCGGGGCACGGAGTCACCGGGCAAAGTCTACATCGGCAAGGTGTCGCTGAAGCATATCTATGAGATTGCGAAGATCAAGCAATCCGAGGTGCGGCTGTCGGGAATAGCTTTGCAGTCGCTCTGCAGGAGTGTCATTGCCCAGGCTAAGACGATTGGTATTGAGGTTGTTCCGTGACTCTGCTGTGAGACCGGGGGAGGGTGTTGAGTATTTTGGGTTGGAGGGCATCTAGTGCTTGATTTGCTTCTTCTCTTTTCTTCTTCTTTATTTCTTTCCTTATTTTACTTGTTTTAGCACTGGCAATTGCGACGGCGTTTTTTGAGATGGATTTTTTCCCACGTATTTTATCAATGGGATCATACCCAATCGGTTGATGTTGCATATTTTACATTCCCAGCAGGACCGCTGTATGATACAGTATATTTGTCATATATACAGACAATCAGATCACTCAATTTCTGGGGAAGACGATATTTTCCGTGATGCACTGATCAACAACAACAACAACAACAACAAAAACAAACACAGGTGTCCGGCTCAATTCCCGCTCCACATCTCTTTTCTTGCATATTTGCATATTTGCATATTTTCACTTTATGGCGGGGATGGCGGGGACGTGGAAGACTTTGGCGGAAGAGCTACATCCCCGCAACTCGGCCCACGGAAAAAATTCAAATCTGCAAGGTATTATATCATCATTATTTAATCATAGTTAGTAGCTAGTTTAGGTGTCACAGAACTGAGATGAACCCGCGCACAACTCGGGGATTTCGTGGCGATGCATAATCTGCACCAGCAACTGTCTCCCCGCACCATCAGAACTGCCAAAGGACTCAGCTCCATTGAACGTATGCATAGACCACGAGACATCCCCGGGCATGTGAGATTCGGCCGCATATTGCACTAAGTATGTCGTCTGCAGATGGCGTATGCCATCCCACTCCACTCCATTATTATTATTATTATTATTATTATTATTATTATTATTATTATTATTATTATTATTATTATTATTTTTCCATTGTTCAGTCCGCGATGGGCAATTGGCTGATAGAGCGAAGATAATGGAAAACTACTGACCGATAATAAAAAGAAAAAAAGAAAAAAAGAAAAAAAAAATTCCCCCGATAACTTCGTCGAACTATTTAATCAATCAGGCACGGCTCAAGTTATTTATTTGTGCCGGACCAGTCGGCTGTTCCTTTGTTGCTTCTTTTTCGTCATCAATTGCTTAGTTGAACGGTCGTTATCCCCCCTTGCGTCTTTTTATATTTTTAACTTTCAAGGAAGTCCTGTAACCGTGGAATACGTCAAAGTTGTTGAACTTTACTATGACTGTTTCCGTCCTTGATGGCGAAGATGTATCTACCACCGCCCAAAATAATAATAATAAAAATAAAAAAAAAAAAAATTAAGAAAATAACACACACCCTTTTCTCATTGCAAGTGTCTACAACTAACTACAACCTCGCTCCCCGCATGTTGCCATCGGCAGCAGACTTCCAAACTTCTTGCACAAAGCCGTGGCTTTCCGGGCTTCTCAGATCGACATCTAGAGCAGCAGAGTTCTAGCCACTGGCCAGCAGAAAGAAAGAGTGGAAGAAAAAGTGGAAGAAAAACACACTCCCGTTCCTTGCTTAGTTTACCTCGTCTATAACTAGTTTGCTAGTTAACTTAGCATTCTGACTCTTCGTTGTTCCATCCGCCGCTACCTACCCAGGTCAGTCACCCTTTGATCCAAAGACAAAAACACTCCAAAACCAGGTAGGTTCCAAACAACTTGCTGCCCTTTCGTTCGTTATCCCGAACGTATGCTTCCCGACAGCATAGACCCCCTTGCTGCTCAGACTAACTCCCGGCAGAGGGATTGCTTTGCCCCTGTTCGTTCGTGTACTTTAATTCTTTCGCTAAAAGTTTCGTTGATTGCCCTCCACACCCCTCTCCACACCCCTCTTGCCTCTTCCCTCTTCCCTCTTCCCTCTTCACTCCCCTGATCCAGCCACATTCATCATCACCGGCCCTTGTTAGCGTCATCGCGGATTGCGTGCGTCCCGGGTCCCGAGCGTCTCTACTTCTCTCCAAACATATCTTTGCCCCCGGTTGTTCGGCCATCAAATACTTCTTCTCATCCTGTCCAGAGAATCCAGTTGAAAGAGCAGGGGGGGTGGGTGATGTGTCTCGCAGAATCGGCCTGTTCTGTTCCCCGCACGTTATCTGCTTTTGCCCCCAATGGCCATGGCTTTCCAACACGACGAAGGTAAAGCAGCTTCTCCCGCACTCATTCGTCGCTGACAAAGACCCGATAGTGGTCCTTCTACTGTAAATATGTGTTGGCTATTCCTTTTGTATTGACTCGACTTTCCTCTATAGACTCCCCGCCCGCAGGTAAAGACCAACAACTCCAGCAGCAGCAGCAGCAGCAACAACAACAACAACAACAACAACAACAACAGCAGCAGCAGCAGCAGCAGCAGCAGCAGCAGCATCAGCATCAGCATCAGCATCAGCATCAGCAAGAGCAACAGCGAATTCCATCAGCCATGGCGGCTGCCACGGAACACCGGCTTCACCCCCAGCACGGGCAGCTGCAACAGGCCGTTCGCTTTGCCTCTGTAAACCAAGAAATAGAACCAACCTCTTCCCATCAGGACAGCACCCGACCCTCGGATCCACACTCACTCGAATCGAAACGCGACCTGGAATCCCTCACAATGCGGCTCCAGAGGTCCAGGCTACAGGAAACCCGGCTGCAGAACTTCGCCTTTGACCCGGTTTCCCTTCCAGCATCAAGAGTATGTAGTGTTTCCTCGTTGTTCCTGACCTCTCTGTCTGTGATCTCCTGGCGTTTGCACATGACCTCCTGTGGATGTTTGATATACATGGTTAACAGAGCCATATTTCAGGTACCATCAAAAGCGTCTAGTAGTGTTCACAGCTTCCGGGATCCAAATAGATCGGGTGTGCCATCGCCAAGTGTATCAGGACCTCAATCACCAGCTCTCACCCCTATAGGATCTGGAGGCGGAGGCCGGGAGGGAAAGAAGGGAGACCAAAGGTACTTTAGAGATGGGATTGGAGCAGCAGAGCAGTTGGAGTTTACCCCACAAACATCCCTATCAAACGAGGCCTCTGGAAAAGGTTATGATTCTTCAGGAGCTGGAAACCGTCCGTCTACCGGCTCAGACCCCTTCTCGAGCAGACACCCTAACCACACACCTCTTGCGGATGGCTCTAGAAAACCAAGGGCCCGCAAACCGAAGTTCTACCTCGCCCAGTCCTCAGATACCGGTGTGCGGGAGTCAAGCCCGCCTTTCCCCCCAAAGCCTGATCAGGCCTGGAGCACCTCAGGTTCAGGCGCAGTTACCCCAACCGGAGATGAAAACGACCCATATTCTCGAACCCGCAGATCCCCCCAACCGAAGAACCTGGCCCATATCGATCCGCGCTTTGTTTTTGCTAGTGTAGATTCCAAACGCCGGGCTAATCAATCGCGATCCCCTGGTCCCATTCCTCGATCAGCCAGCGGCGGTGATCTAAAATCTGTAGAGAGACGAAGTGGTTTCTTCACGGGGAGAAGGGAGAATCGATTCAACGACTCTGGCGGGACCCACGAAGGGAAAAGCCAGGGATCCATGTCGGAATTGAAGCGCTTTCTCCGGATGGGCCATAAACATAAGAGTGGTGGTTCGACTGCTACCGCGTGTTCGAAGAAAGAATCTGCAAAATCAACAAAACATCATCAATTCCAGCAGTCACAAGTTAGCATCCCTTTTGCTGATGATCATGGCCTCCAGTCCAAGTATGGCAAGTTGGGTAGAGTCTTGGGTTCTGGGGCTGGCGGTTCGGTCAGGCTGCTGAAGCGCAATTCTGATGGCGTCATATTTGCCGTCAAACAGTTTCGAGATCGGCATTCATGGGAAACTGAAAAGGATTATTCGAAGAAAGTCACGGCAGAGTTCTGTATTGGGTCAACCCTGCATCACGACAATATCATTGAGACCATGGATATCATCCACGAAGGCGGACGTTGGTTTGAGGTCATGGAGTACGCTCCGTTTGATCTCTTTGCCATTGTCATGACGGGGAAGATGACGAGGGAGGAAATTGCCTGCACCTTTTTACAGATACTCAGCGGGGTAGCTTATCTGCATGGGGTTGGTTTGGCGCATCGCGACCTGAAACTGGATAATGTTGTTGTTAGCGAGCACGGGATTATGAAGCTGATAGATTTTGGAAGTGCTGTTGTTTTCAGATACCCATTCGAGAGCGACATTGTCCTAGCATCTGGTATGGTCTCCGAATCTACCATCTCTCACCCGTTCGTTTTATTTTTCTCACTAACAGTCCCAATTTAGGAGTTGTCGGGTCTGACCCGTACTTGGCACCCGAAGTATACGATGAGAAACGCTACGATCCCCGACCTACGGATATATGGTCCCTGGCGATTATTTTCTGCTGCATGTCCCTGCGTCGATTCCCATGGAAGCAGCCACGCATGACCGACAATTCCTTCAAATTATTCGCCTCGCCTCCTACTCCTCAAAACTCCGACGTTGAGTCCAAAGCTTTCTTAAAACCACGCCCAAGTTCCACACCTAATCTCCATAGCGCTGCTCAAGCTGCCCTGAGGCAACCCATCCGTGGTGACAGCGACATAAAAACCGGCGCACGTTCCCCGAATCACCATCGCCATCACTCGCGCGGTTCTGCCGCCAATAATGTCGACGGGAATACCAAAAACGACCTCCATCCACCGAAAGATGCGTCCTCCTCAGCACAGTCATCGTCGCAGGCAGGACAGACAGGACAGACAGGACAGCGTCAAGAAGTTATAAGGGGGCCCTGGCGTCTTCTGCGCATTTTGCCACGGGAATCACGACCGCTGATTGCCCACATGCTTAAGATCAACCCGCGAGAGCGGGCGAAATTGGAAGATGTACTGGCAGACGACTGGGTTCGAAGCTGCCAGGTGTGCTTCCAGAGGGAGGATGGCACCGTGGTCAATGCGAAAAACCATACCCATGTATTGGAACCGCCGTCATCGGCTCCTACGACTGCCAAGGACAAAAATGACAATAAATCTTAATAAAATCACTGTCGCTCGACTTTTTGAAAGCTTCTTTGGTGTATTATCCCCCCCCCCCCCCTACTCTCTTGTCCAGCATACCTATTTCACATCTTGTGTTTGTATATACTTAGTTGTCGTGTGATGAATTTTTTTTTTCTCCTCGTCCCATGGAGTTCAAGAAACACATGGGCAATTGAGTTAAAGCCTCTCCTCCTCCGTCCTCCCCCTTCAATCCCTCCCTTCCACCCCCCCCCCCCCGGGTTCCTCCTGACCCTTCGAGTTCTCAAATACTGGGATGAGTTCAAAATGTTTCATGCGTGTGGTTTGATCATGTTTTATTGGTGATTATCTTTATTCTTTTTGGTCTCCTTTATTTATTCCTTTTCTTGTTCCTCCCTTTGTCTTTCATAATGCTTATGTATCATTATATCTGTGTATTATTGTCTGTTGTTAAACCGGAACCCCGTTCTACGCGCTAGGTGGCAATCAGGAAGACACGGGGAACGGATGTCATGTTATCTTAACCTAGCGTCGCATTTTATGATTGGTGTGAGATAATATTGAATGATTGCATACTGAAGAAAATAATGGTGTGATTCAATCTCCAATATCTGTATTCATATAAGATATCAGCTCCTTTGTTTATTTATCTCTTTGTTTCACTTCCCTTTGGTTGTGTCTAGACTTCCCTTGCTGGCAGCCATTCATATATTATAATTCGAAATTAGGATTTATTCGGATAAACCGTCTTTCCCCCCTCAAATTCCTTCGATTTTCGCTCCTCCTCGCCAACCTAGCAATGGCAAAAGAGACAAGATAGGCCATGTCTTTACACAGGTAAACGCTGAAAACCCATCCTCAAAATCGTAGCCACACAAACCCAGACAGCAAATCTCCCATCTCCCAACCCCGTTCCGCCTCTCATATAAGCAACAACCCAACACCCGACACCCGACACCCCAACTATCCCTCCCCCGCCCAGGTCGCGCCCTTCAAACACACATCACGCTAGCATGCATGACATCAGCTCTCTTCAAGAAATCTACCCAGACGACCGCGGCCGAGTGGCAGAAGGAGCTAGCTCCTCACCACCGTAAAGGATGTACGAGCCAGGTTTTGCGCCGGGAACGAAAGATTATGATTTACCATTGGCGGGTGGGCGGGCGGATACGAGCTGGTTTTCGGGAGGGGGTGGGGAATGTGGAGGATATGGTGAAAGCGCTTGGGGCGGTTGGTGAGTTTTATTATTTTTATTTTTTTTTCATATTTTACTTCTGACTTTATTCTCTTTGTTTGAGTTGGTTCTTTGTCCCCCGGGGTTGGGTTTTCTATTTTCTTTTTTCTTTCTTTCTTTTCTTTTCTTTTCTTTTCTTTTCTTTTTTCTTTTCTTTTTTCTCTTTTTCTTTTCTCTTTTAGAGATGGAAGTCGGGCGGAGATCGGGCGGAGAATGGGTGGAACGGGTGACTTGGGTCCCGATGTTCATTTGCGTCACGGAGATGAACAGCCTGCTGGTAGTTGATACAGACTGGGATTATCTCTGGGTAAGAGTACTTGATAACTATTCCATAGCCTGTATACCTTATCCAATGGGAACCAAGGGGTATGGGTGTATTAACTACTTGGTCATACGCATTCACCAGGAGGAATCCCCAACCCTCAAACAGCCTGGGAATGATCCGCCTTCCCATTGTATTTCTCCGGGCTACGATCTGTGGTAGGCCTAAACATATAAAATGGTTCCGCAACTGAGTCAGCAGAAAGGGGTTCCAACTGCAACGAGAATCCATCCCATAGGCGGCCAGATGGTCCTTATGGAGGATCCATTAACTAAACATGTAGAATATGTAGATGGGAATGGATGGGACGAGTTGTGAGACCTCCTTTCCTGTTCAATTTCCTATTATTCCAAAGAAAAATATTATTATTATTATTATTATTATTATTATTTATTGGACAGGAATAGAAAGATGGCTGTGTAAGGTGCGTGACGGGGTAGCCAGTTTATTCATTAAGTTATATACTCAAAGTTTGCTCCAAATATATACATATGCTATCGTGATCGGATGCCAAGTACACAGAGAGGTCAGAAATAAATCACACCCGCCGCCTCCCCTCAATACAGCAGCTAGGCTATCCATTCTAATATATGCAACTGATCCACCTGCGCCTCAGTGAGAAGCAGAATGACACATAGGAAAGTCCCCAAAATTAGAAGTAGCATTAATGGCATGAAATGTAGTATGGAAAGGGAAAAAAGGAAAAAAAAAAAAAAAACATACGAACAAGGTTCAATAAAAAGAAGGCCCATGAATATGAATATTCCTCCCCGCAGCATCACACTTAGTGCCTAAGTTTCTATCGCCCCTGTGGTAGATGCTGATCTAGATGTCGCAGATATCACGGAACCATTACCACCACCAGCCACGTTAGCATCAGACACCGCTGATACGCTAAGCATCGACATCTTCATTGGTAAATCTGCATCGTCGCTCCCAACTTTTGCTTGAGAGGTCGAAGTTGGGGCTTGAGCTGCAGTTGTGGCTTCTGAGCGTGACATGGGAATCTCCCGTTTGCCATTGGCTTTGTAAAACAGGACCATATCATTTCCTGTTCGCCAGATGTGGGTGCGGATGGTGGAGAGGGTCATGTCGGGAGGGATGAGCTGGTAATTGCGAGGTTAGTTGCCGATGTCGTACAGGTGGGAAAGATCCTAAGATTGTCCCTTTTCTTTTCTTTCTCTTTTTTTTTTTCACTTTTGCGCCAGGAGGTTGAATGTTTGGGTGATTTTCAATCCGACCAAATTAGGATTGATGGGATCTAACTTACGGTGTTTTGGCAATACAGTTCCAGATATTCTTCCGGTTTTAGCGGATTAGCATCAGGGTCGTTGGGGTCTTGTGGGTCGATGCGCTCGACAACGTATGCGAGGAGCTTTTTGGCACGGAGCATGCGGTTGGCGTTTAGACGGGAAGCGGAGTTGTTTGCAAGGCTTTTGAGAAAAGTATTAGATTTAAAAAGGGACCGGTGAGATCGAGGAATAGATTGCATATAATGGGGTGATTAGGATTCAGAGAGGATTTGATAGGAAAAAGAATGAAAAAGTTGAAGGAGATACATACACATCTGCATTGACAACGGGAGGTAGTAGGTCTTTGTAAGGTTTCAACGAGAATGCGACTTTGGATACTTCTTTGAAAGGTATTGTGTTCTACGAGAATTGGTCAGTTGATACTCATATTCCGCTGATAAAAAAGGACGGCTCCACCGTCGCAAAACATGGGTACTCACGCGTAAAAGAAACTCTCCAAGCCATTTCGGAGCAGCTTTCTCCAGCTCATCAGCATCTTCGCCGGCAGTCCCTACCGTCCCTCGATACAGGTCCGCAGGAACGGCCGATTCGGGATGTTCTTCCTGAATTAGAATTGCTGTATTTGCGGGTAATGTAAGCGTTGGTGTCTCATTTTCTGCGCTTGGCTTAATTCTAGTTTCCAAGGGCCGTCCGGGGTGTTCGTTCAAGTATTCCTCGTATTCGAACCTAATCTTCTCAATAACCCCTTTCAAGTTCTCATCGAACACTTTTTCCTTCTCAGATGACTTGTCGGACTCCTCGGCTTTCTCCTCGATAATTGGTTTCGTTTCTGTGGAGGTTCTCCCTAGCTTTTTAGGGAAGGACATTTGGAACTTTTTGCCAAAGCGAGATCCACTGCGTTTACCAGGCTTATCTTCCTTTTCTGTGTCTGCTAGTGAGGTTCCAAACTGTGATTGTGATTCATCCTCTGCGGAACCTGGAGTCTTTGCATTAGGGTCTGGAGAGTCTACAGTATGTGTATTGGTAGAAGGGGCAAAGTAATCACTCTGGTCCTTAACGTGAGCCGTGGGTGTTGAAGTTAGGGGGCCACTTCCAAGGCTATCAGAAAAGGCTGATTGCCCTCCTCCTGGGGTAGCAAATCCAATGGAAAGCCCAGGAGTTATGGGAGCGAGCATTCCATTTGATGATGGACGGACTGCACCAGAAGGTCCAGCCTCGGCTACACTTTGGTTGAGTATTCTCTGAGCATCTATTGAATCTGGGGCATTCAGGCGTGAAGTTCCAGTCGCCTCCTTCGACCTTTCTTCGAGAGTCCGCCGATACTCTCTGTCTCGTTTGATTTCTTCTTCAATTAGGCCGGCAAATAAATGCCGCAGGATCCATTTCCCAAGATTAACTGCGTGATTGATATACAAAACGTTAGGTGTGTATATCATATGTGTTTGGTAGAAGACAGGGATGGAACGCACTCCTTTGATCTTCTTTAAACTGGCTCAGATTAGCAATATCTGTTTCATCCGCATATATTTCACCATCAAAACAACGATTTGACTCCAAGATCACAGACAGTCGCCCTGTGCGCGTATCCAAGGTGCACCAGTTAGCTATGGTGTCCGTCGTATTGACTTCAGATGCAACGTCGTCCAGATGACGCTTGCCAAATGATTGAATTGGAATGCACTGTAGAACTCATATTAGGAGGGAATTTTCAGGGGCGAACTTCGACTTGATTTCCACGAACCTTTAGGAGATCCCAGAGTACTACCTCTCCTGCTGTGTCTTGCGTCAGAGCATGCTTCCTGTCGTTAAGCATGACATGTTTGATTAAGCCATTCTGTCCCACTATTGTTTCTTCGGGCAGTGCTTGAAAAGGAACAACCAACTCCAGATCGCCATTAAGCAGTATTTCATGAGCCACAAGTCCACTCACTGAAGCAGCTGCATTTGACAGCTGTAGAAATGACTCCCGAGGAATTCTCCGTGATGTTGCCATAGACGCTGGAACTTCATTTAGAGATTGAGGTGATCCAACGCTCTGATGGGAAGCAGTGCTGCAGGCATATCGATGTGATGATGAAACTGGCAGTTCAGCTTCCGCTGTTGTATCAACATCGTTCCAGCGGTTAATGCTTGATTTTGGTGTTGCAGTCCATATGTAATCACCCGCAGCAATAACCTTCACGACACCGTCGTTTTCCTGCAAAGCAGCCACACAAACGCCTTGGTCAATATCTGTAGCCCTTCTCGTATCGGTTTTGGCAACCAAACCTGACCTATCACTCGAGTAGAATACGGATAGTTGGGGGTGATCTGAGAACAACGACCAAACACTGTCATTATGCATGGTTAAGGTGTGCATACATCTGCCAGCTGACATGGACCACACTTTGACCGTTTGATCAGAGGACGCAGTCATAATTGTATCACCGTCTTGGTTAATTAGTATGTCTCGCACATTATCCGTGTGCCCAACAAACTTTGTGATCAATTTCCCGGATCTGTGATCCCACACGCGAACCACGCATTCTGGCCCTCCACTCGCCAATATCGACCCCTTTGTGCTCAGAGCATATAAGGAACCTTTAGTTGTAAGTTCGTCTTCGGACAAATCAATTTTCAACTTTTCCCCGGCGCCGTTTAAATCCCAGACATATATTTTGTGATCCAAACCACCCGAAGCGACCCATTGAGAATGCGATTCTGGTGTCGCTAGGCATTTTACGTAGTCACCATGTTTGCCGATTGTCGGCGGTAACTGCATATCCTCAGACTCAGGCCGCCATACTCTAACTGTTGTATCCGACGATGCAGAAACAAGTGTTGTGTTGCTTTGCGCAAGGACAATATCGTTAATCCAATGGGTATGCGCCTGAACCTGGCGGCGGAACGATGTTGGTTCTATGGATTTAGAACTTGAATCGGAGACCAAATTGGCGGGGGCGGTGCCTGAAGAAGACGGAAAAGGGTTGGAAGCAACTCCAGAGCTGAGGCTAAGATTTAAATCCCAGGCACAAATGACTCCATCACGGCCAGCAGAATACCTATGCGACAGGTCAGTTACTTGCTCAATACTGACGTTGGCCGTTTTGAAATGTGCCGAAAGCCGCGCGACCTGCACCAGTGTTGATAATTCTGTACGACCTGGCCTGGTATAAAAGATGGGAAGTTGTAGGCTTACAATATTGAGCTCCCAGTATCAACAGCCAGCCCATTTACGCCGAGCCGATGACCACCAGGAGCATCTGGCATAGGTAGCACTGTGGTAAAGTAGGAGTTAGCGGTCATTGCGCAAACAGCTGCAAACATAAAGCAGCAACTATTGATATAGCGGAAACAGGGAAACCAACCATAGCTTACCCGCTGGCTGAACTTCCTCGCCATTGGGGTCTTTTATAGCGGAGAAATGGACAAATGAGCGCACGCAGCCGCCTGTGCAGGGTGATCTCAGGCGACGGCGTCAGTTTTGAGACAATTTAACCAAGCCATGTGGGTGGATTCTTCAAGGCAGGGACAAAATCTACAGGAAGCACATTTCAAAACATGCGACTCGTATAATAGTTTCAAATTTTAATCTCTGCTGCTCTACAGAGTTGGGCTATTGTTGTAGGACGCGGAGTGGTTGGAGCCCTTGATCTCCGCGCTTATATAATCAGCCGCCGGAAATTAAATATAGAGCTAGTAATATATGTCATAAATTATATGTTCATTACAGCCCGGTACAGTAGTTTAAGGCATGAATATAAATGACCGAGTTAAAATACGGTCTTTCCATACACAGCCAATACGGCTTGGCAGCTTCCGCACCAATCAGAGCTTCTCTGTTTACTCTATCCCATCAAGATCTATCTCGACACATTACACATAAACTAAGAGAAACCAAAATCATATTTCATCACCACAATGAGCTTATATATAATTTTTGTCCATGAGAATTCAGTTTCCAGTGCTATTTCGGAGACAACTCCACAGGTCTACCAACTCAGACCGTGCAGCCAGCCCCGGAACAAAGATCCCGAATCTGCGCAAAAAACCAAATTTATATCTAAACAGGTCTATTCCCACGTATAAAGCATCAAATGGCCAAATACGGACGAACCTTTTAGTCCGGATATTGGTTGTTGCAGAGTCACTTCTTTGAATCTTGCCTCCATTTCTATGTTCCTTAGTTGTCTTGCGGGCTAAATCTGGTCTTCGTAGGTGGAAATCGTTCGAACTGCAGAAGACAAACTTCCATATGAGATTGATATGTGAACAATTATCTAAGGCGATTAATAACGGGTTTAACTGCATGCAAACAAACAAGCAATTGGTCCCATCTTTACCATGTGTTACACACAATACCCAGCCTTCGGGTACTACAATGTATCAATTCATGGGATAATGACACCGGATCCTGTGAAGACCTGTCCGGTGAATTCTTTTTTTATCTCCGACGCCATTAGGCGTGTTTCATAAGAATTGATTGTGTAATATATATGAATTGTGATATGGGCTGGTCAGATATATGTGCTTATCTAGGTACCTAGTTGAAAGCGGAGGCGAGGGTGGAAACATTTTACTCTAGGGGGGTATAATATTGCAACCGATCAGAGGTTGCATTGAATGTTTGACAGGAGAGAAGTTTAAGAGCAGTTGTTTGTTGTTTGTTCCTGGATCAGCGAATGGGGTGGGAAACAGATGGATTTCTAAGAGATAAATATGCTCTTTTTTTTTCTTTTTCTTTTTTTTTATTTTAATGATTTGAGTACCTTGAAGTCTATCACTCACACACCTCTCTCATAATATTCTGTCAACTTCAACGAGACGTATTTTCATTATCTGTTACATAGTTCTTATGTCTATATCTAGATGTCGTAAATGTAAATGTTGTATTGTACTGTACAAATATCAGAAAAATATTCATCCTAAGATTTCAACATGGTCACTTCCGAACGTCTGACATCACCATCACAGAGGCTCTGGTCTGGTGTGTTTTTTCCCATCCTGCTTGGCCTCAAGCATGTTCCAAGTAAACTGGTAACTGCCCAGAAACACTGCACCTCCAATTCCAATCCAGGCAACTCTCGGTCCGATTCCTCTCCAGAACGCTCCAATTCCTTCTTCCTTCAAAATTCCGCACACAACATCTCTCACTCGCACCTTATCACTACCTTCTCTCCTGGCTAACATTACTCTAGTTTTGACAACATCGAGTGGAGTTGTCAGGCCAGCAGCAATCGATCCCGCAAGGCTGCCGAACAATGCACTTGGCGCCGCAGATATACCTTTCGATCCAGATCCAGTGACGGTGCCAGCATCTAATCCTGCTGTTCGGGACGCATATGCGTCTTTCATTGCCTCCCACATCGTAAACTGCAAAACAGTAAATGGTATCTCTCGTGCAATGGTGATGGATGTGCCGCGGTATAATTCTCTTATAACAAGCCCCAAACCTCCTCTCCGTCTATCAGTGGTGCCCCCAGACCCTGAGTGTCTTAACGAAAGAATATCCTTGAGTGCAAGAAGTGTAGACCCACCAAACAACCCCGCTTGGGCGCGTTGTTTAATCACTTCCGTAGGAACTCGGACAGCACATGCGGATATTTCGCCAAGAGATGATGCAAGGGAATGTGTGAGGACTGTATGTTGCCATGACGTAGAAGTCGAGGACAATGGAGTGGGTTGAAGGTGTCGCTTTACACCATCATAAACGATAAAAAAGCTAGCAGCTGAAGGGGCGGATCCGAGGAGGACGGAGGGGAGGCCAGCATAAATTCCGCGGACGGCTTGACGGAGAGATGGCGTTGAGGTTTTAGTTGCGGAGGCTTTGCGTTTTCGAGCTTGCTGCAAACGGGTTTTTATTGTGTCGAGAGGGAAGAGGGAAATGTCAACTGTAAGACCTGCCACAGCCCCAGACTACGAAAAGCACGAATGTAAGCAGGATTCAGCTGTACGTATAGGTATGGATATATATATATTAATAGGAAATCATTGCGTACTAAGAGCGACCTCGTCCAGAGGGATGGCTCTGCCGGACTCAGCTCCAGCTCGGGAGGCTCAATCCCAGCCATGGCGCTCGCGGGTAGTGGATGAAGCGTAATTGGCCAGTTTCAGTATCACATATTTATCAACAATGTGTGTATGAATACATTCTCGTATGGCGTTGTGAAAGGAGGTGGGTCGAAGCGCATCTGGAACTCTCTTGTGTTCACGGTTGTGGGATTCGGCAACAAAACCATTGGAAAAGGCCAAGGCCGAAAGTTCGGCATGCCGACTTGAAATCAGACCAAACTTTTATAGACGCAAACTTTATGGTAATAATCTCTAATTAATGATAAAAGGCCAAGGCGAGAATTTGAATCACCTCGAGAATGAGTTACATAGGAATAATACGTTTATTAGGGTATTTCTATTTAACTTGATAGAGTACGTGTAACGAAGGATTTTAGAATACATCATCCAGCATTCATATTGGGACTTGACAAATAGCAAATTTTTCTATTTTGAATTAAATACATGTAAACTATATTTCAATATATGCCAGCCAAAATCCTTTAGCTGAAGGGAGCATTATATGTCACGTGATATATCCAACTCACCGCTTTAAGTTACGAATAGATTGAAAAATTGAAAAGATTGAAATACAGGTTTTGTCGATATTTCTTCCAGTTAAATGGCTCTGAGGTCTTTGCGACCTGATAGCCATATCCCTATCTCTCCTAATGAGTTCTATGATGCCGTAACAAACCTGTGGAAAATATGGCGCGTCTCCAAGAAACCAAGCAAGCCGTCGAGGATAGGTTTGCTACCCATATCATTGGTTTCTGTGAATGGACATTTTACTAATGCAGTCGCCCCCCTATTTAGCCCTGGCTGTCAGCGGTGGACCAGATTCGATGGCGCTGGCCTTTCTCTGCAAGCAATTGATCTCGGAACGCCTAATTCCCGACCTAAACGTGAAGCCGTTCATCGTGGATCACAAGGCTCGAGAGGGGAGCACGGAGGAGGCACATAATGTTGCGAGTTGGCTTAAAGATCTGGGTATGGCTTTAGACGATGTATTATTGTTGACATTTTCAGTGGAATTTCCTGTCCGTTTCCGTATGCTAATCGTCCACTGTTCTTTACTGGCGCTTCAGGTTTTGAGCCTTCAATTCTAACCCTTCGTTGGGCCAGCGGGACTATCCCGTCCAGTCTATCCAACTTTGAAACCTCGGCCCGGAAATATCGCTACCAGATGCTTGGTCATGCTTGCAAGGAATATAACATCCAGGCTCTTTTTCTGGGACACCATCAGGATGATACTGTGGAAACAGTACTTAGTCGTCTAGTTCGGGGCCAACGTCAGGCATCCGGTTTCACAGGCGTAGCCAGCGTAGGACATATACCAGAATGTCATGGCATCTACGGGTTGGCTGAAAGCGGGTCATTTATCAAGCTCAAGAATGTCAAAAGCAGGATAGACCCGGCCGGGAGACATCCAGTCCACGACAGAGAACGACCAGACGAATCACAACTCAAACAGGCTTGGGGAATTAATTCAAACACACCCCACAGCAACGATATTTTACTCCCCATTTCAGATGGTGGCATTTACCTCTTCCGTCCGTTCAGTTCCTTTCCAAAATCACGCTTGACTTCCACCTGTCTTCAGAACAACATAAAGTTCGCAATCGACAAAACTAATTTTGATCCTACCGTCACTTCTCGTAACACATTACGATATCTCTTGTCCAATGACATGCTTCCTCGTGCACTGCGGGCTCCGTCAATATTACAACTAATCGAAAATAGCAAGCAAGTCTCAGAGGAACTCAACAGGCAGTCAAATATCTTTTTGAGAAAATCTCAAATCATCAAACTCGATCTTCGAACTGGCAGTCTTGTTATCAATTTTCCCAACCCCCGTCTGATACAAAACTTTGGGGTAAGCCTGGATGATCCTGTTGGCCCTGCTTCCGTTATGACCCAAAAAGCCATGGTCATCACTTTACGGCGCTTTTTGGATGTCATTTTGCCGGGTCAAAAGAATCATGTACCATTTCATAAATTCAAATCGGCGCTACAAATAATCTTCCCTGCATCTGAAGCGATTAATGGTGAGGCACCACCTCCCCTTAAAATGGACATTTTTACAGTCGACGGCGTGAAGTTTGAACCTGTAAAGGTGCCAAAGAAGCGGGATGCAGAACCTCATTTGAATCTTAAGGCATTTAAGTCTAGGAAGCAGAATGACGCTACTGCTTCTATTTCAGAATTCCAAAATACTTGGCTCCTAACACGCGCGCCGTTCCCAAGGCGTCTTCCATTGCCTACTGCCAGTTTCAATCTCCAACTTCCTGATTTATCTATTGCAGATCATGTAGACAGCGTGACCTGGTCTGATTGGCAACTCTGGGATAACAGATACTGGATACGCCTGGGGGCCGAAAAGGTTCCCCGAACATATCCGATAGAAGAATGGCCCTATGAATATAGGGACACACCCGTCCCCCTTGTAGTTCGGCCGATGAAAAGTTTAGACTTAGCAGAAGTCAGAAAACAACTTCTACAATACCAGATATGGCACCATGAGAATCACTTTAGTCGGGGCTTTAGGAAAGTGGAAAATGAATCTATCAGAACACTGAGGACGAGAAAGATATTAGATCAGCATTTTTGGCATCATGCTCCAGACAAATTGAGATACACGATTCCTGTCATCGCAGAAGCCACGGGCCAGCAAAGAGTACTCGCATTTCCGTCGTTTGGTGAACGGATGCCAGTAACCTTAACACGAGGGATACGCGAGACCAGTGTGATAGATCATTGGTGGTTGAATTGGCAAATTAGTTATAAAAACATTGAGGAAGACGTTTTGAAATTGGCTTCACGGGATTTGGGCATAGAGATACGTCGAGGGATTCTTTAGGCATCGGATACGCAAGAAGGGAACTTGGGAATTCGATGGCGCAGAATTGCATTTTTCGATAGCATTTACTGGTTGCGAAGTAGCTAGCTTCTTTGAACATGATGTAAATTCTCTGCATGGTTAGGATAGGTCAAAGGTTGGGATGCACTTCTTCCACTATACAGCTGATTCGTTCATCGCGGACTTGGCTGCATAGCCACGAGAATACGAGGACTGACAATCTGTTTTTAATAACAACTAGTTATTCGAAGAGCGCATATCCTAACACTCCATGGGGACTGATTTTCATATATGATACCTTTTATCGTCCAGTTCCACCCAGCGACTCTACTTCCATCTTTCATATATTGACACCCCAACTTTCGACCAGATCAGTTAACTAATTGTTTTTATTGGTATGTGTTCTTGGCTAACTAATGGACATGTATTTTATCCGCCAGACTGACCTTGAACTACTCTTCGATGTTTCCAGCAGTTGCACTATTATGGATGATGATGTGGACGAGGCATGGACTTGCGTTGATGTCGCTACGACAGAGATCAATGAAGATGACAGTGATAACGACAACAGAAGCACTGTTATGGTCTCTCGAGGTATGACCTGCTCTCCTGGGAGAAGACCATCTTTGACGCTGATATTGAAGTACACTCCAGTTTCTTCTCCATTATCAATTCAGTTCCAGGAGGTCAGAGCTCTATCTCCTCCTCCAATCCAAGTCTCATGGCCTGTTACCCTTCCTTGGTTTCAGTTCCAAAATGTTTACATCAAGGGTGCGGGTCATTTTGTTACTTCACGTTATATTTATTTGCAGCTAAAAAGCTTTAGATCCGACCAAGATGATGTTACTCCTCAAGGAGTGCAATATTAAGGCAAAAGCAAAAGAAGAAAATACGGCTTACGTGGCTATGGTGGGTTCAAGGAACTTTGAATTAAGCACCAGTAATGCAGCCGGCATCACCCGCGCCGCGGTCGAGATTGGTAAATCAATGCCACAGAGCGTTGCTGGAGAGCACTCTACCACAATGGAAATATTAGCGGGCGGAAGGGATACGCTCGAAGCTAAGTTGGAAGTCTTTCGTCTTCTAGCTTATCAACTATCGAACAACCTGATAGAGGGCGTCGAGGACGAGGAGGGAGATGAGATAGAGAGCAAATTTGAGAGAATCGTCCGCATGTTTAGGGAGGTCAACCTACCACGAAAAATGTGGGTCAAAGTGTTTTCTGAGGAGCACGACCGCACCACTGCCGCGTTCGTTGAAGGTCTCTTCGAAGCTGCAATCGTTACCTCCTCTTTGGACATAGCAGAAGCACTGCTGAAAGTTGGTGCTGACCCAGATCAGCCAATCCAAGGGGGCATGATGGGCACTGTCGAACGCCCGATTCAATATACTGTTGATACGGGAGCTCGCTGCGTTGAGATGGCTGGGCTCCTGGTCAAAGCCGGGGCTGACGTCGATGGTGTTACGGAGGATAATGAAGCTTCAGCCCTGCATATTACTGCGAAACGTGGAACCCTGAAGATGGCTAAACTTCTTGTTGAAAGTGGGGCGGATATTCGCCGATGGGTTCCACCTGAGTACTGTAATGATCCTGTCTCAGGCTTCACACCTCTCACATTCGCTGCCGGCCGCTCCAAGCACATGGACCGGACATCTCATGACAAAATCGCAGAGCCTGCAGACGAAGGCGTGTTGACCGTGACAGCTGAGAGTGAGGGTCTTCGGATTTTACGATATCTTCTGTCTCTCCATGATTGCAGAAAGGATCGTGATATCCTACAAGATGCGTTAACAGTTGCTGCACACCAGGGAAGAGCTGATATGGTTGAGCTTCTTCTCGCTGCTGGCGCCCGTGTGAACGAAGAGAACAGCTCAGGGTTCACTGCTCTCCAGACCACTGTCTGGCAAAATTACTCCACCCTCAAAATCGCATCGATGTTTCTTAAACTAGGTGCTGATCCGAATTGTGGGAGCAAACTTTCTGCATTGCACATGGCTGCTGCTAAATGTGATTCACGCTTTGTACAACTCCTTGTAGATAATGGCGCCAACATCAATTCCCATATTACTCTTGTGCCAGAGGAAGACGGTCCGATTCTGGGACTGCATTTTCGCGACAGAAGGCAGACTGATCTCAACAAAATCATAGCTCATCTTCACACACCACTTCAACTAGCCCTTCACAAACTTCCGGAAACGCTATGCCCTCCAACAAAAGCGGATACAGGTGCCATGATTCTGTTGAATGCAGGCGCTAACTTCATAGGTGGGGAACTCGTTCAAGCGGTTGACTTTAATAACGAGACTCTAGTACAGGTAATGTTAGACAAAGGGATCGACATAAATGAGAAGAGCTGGAAAGGCAGCACAGCTCTTCAAGTTTGTCTCGACTCTGGATATGGAAATCTGGCGGCATACCTGCTCCGCAACGGTGCTAGGCTACAGGGCGGCGAACTCTTCTCGGCATTCAAGACAGGACAGCAGGAACTGGTCAACGTTCTTCTTGCCAATGGGGCCAGTCTCCAAGACACAGGTCCCAACGGAGAATCGATTTTAGAAGCTTCGTGCTTGGGCCAAAAATGGCAGCAGATGTTTTGGTCAATTAAGCACGGTCCGACGCGGTATGATTCAGCGGCACTTTGTGCTGCAGTCTGCAACTTTAATGCAGGGAGTTCCATCACTCCCATCAGAAACCTACTGCGTCAAAGGAAGTTCGGGAAGGTGGACCGCTTATTCGAAGGCACTGCAGTCGGTTTTGCGGCATACAGGGCAAGCTGGCCAGTCTTGAGCTGCCTCCTCGACCTCGAGGATTTGAATACCTGCATTGTGCCCCTGAGGGGATATTACGGGTATACAAACTTGATTCTTCATTATCATTATTTGCTAGGTCAAAATTACAAAAACCAGTTCTGGCGTGACTCCTCCATGATCCGTTGTTCCGCCTTAGTGCCCGCGATCATGAGGGGCAACTGGAAAATTGTGCAATCCCTGCTGGACGCGAGATACCGTCCCGACGCCCTCTCCATGCTCGTCGCAATCGAGAAATGTACTGAATCAGAAATCTCTAAGCTCATTTCCAATGGAGTTGATGTGAACGCCCGTGTTCGTCGCGATCTTGATACCCCACTTCAACTTGCTTCCCGCCGTAAGCGAGTGGAACTTGTGCGGCTGTTTCTAGACCATGGTGCAGATGTAAATGCCCCAGCAGCTATCGGTGTGCCAACTCTTGACCACTGGGGTGAAGGACCTAATGAACTCCCACCACGATCGGCACTTCAGGCCGCTGTTCAACATGGCCATCTGGAACTCATCGAAATGCTCCTTGCCGCAGGGGCAGATGTGAATGGCCCGTTGTCGCCAGATGCTGGCGCGACGGCACTGCAGCTTGCAGCTGCAAGGGGATATCTTGGCATAGCGAAACAGCTTCTAGAAAGAGGGGCACAAATCGATGCTGCTCGGGCAGGAACAAAAGGTCGGACAGCACTAGAAGCAGCAGCGGAACACGGACGGCTAGACATGGTGCAGTTTTTGCTGGAGAATGGAGCGAAGACCGAAGGGGACGGTGCCTGGCAGTATCACAGGGCCATTGGATTTGCATCTAGGAACGGCCATCAGACCATTGCACGACTACTTGAGGATTGGAGAGATTGGACACCAAATGATTACGAACATGGCAGTTTTGATGATCTGTTAGACGACGAGTTTGAGGATAGCTATTATGATAGGATGTTGGGAAACGACGATAGCGATGTGGATACGGGGGGCGAAGAAGATTCCTCCTAGCGCAGCTGAGAACAACATTAAATATATATATCGGAATTCACCTATCTCCTGTCCGTATAATGCAATACTGAATAATCCCCCGATTTTCCTAGTAAATAAGCTGTTGTTTTTTTGGTGCCCATGTTTATTCGTTTATGAATCAGACGCATCTCTTGCCCACAGAAAAAGAGAGAAGATTCAACGTGACGTGTGGCGAGGTCGAGATCCCAATTAATAAATGCCAGCAACTGCCGTAAAGTTGACCAAGCTTGAAGCTATTCTCAGTCACGAAGTGAAGATAATGATTCCTGCAGAACTCTTCGGAAAGAGCTGCAAAAGCAACCCCCAGGAAACTCTTGCAAATTAAGTCAATTATCAATCACTTCATTCCCTCACATGTATTAAACTCTTAGTACCTATTCCAATAGGAAGACTGCAATTTAAACAACGCTATAGTTTGAGCGTTTCAAAACAAAAATCCAACCAAATTCCAAACCCCATCACGCCCTGTAACTAATCGAATTCACGTTTCCAGCCCTGAAAACAATACACAGTAGCAAAGCAATGCCAGCCAACTTGAGAATGGAAAAAGAAGCAGGAATAAAAGGGAGAAAGGAAGGAAAGAAAGAAAGAAAGAAAGAAAGAAAAAAAAACATATTCCAAATGCAAAAAGGCCCATATCATCCGATATTTAGCCAATCCATGCGTCGTATCCCATCCATCCAGATGTACAATCGTGTCAATCCCAGGACTCCGTCAATCATGCCTGCCCCGTGCCGTCCAAATCCCATCACCTATACCATGCCATATCATATCGACACCACCATAATGCCCTCACTCCTCACTCTTCAGCCCATCTCCATTGACAAATCCGAGCTGCTGCGCCTTCAACCCCCCAATCTCCCTTTTCAATCTCAAATTCTCCTTCTTAACCCTCGCTACTTCATCCAAAGCTTTTTTCAACTGAGCCTTCAGCGCTTCCCCACCAGCTCCAAGTCGCACTTCCTTGGTGACTTTACTCAGTTCAACATTAAACCGTTCATAAAGGGCGCTATTTTCTGCGCTTGCCTCACGATAGAGCTCATCGAGGTTTTTAGCCCTCCTTTCACTCACGAGGAGAGAGTCTTCAATATCTTTCTCGAGAACGGAGGTCCTAGCTGACAATTCTGACAGCATAGCTATCACCTTGGCCTCAAGAGACCGAGTCCGATTTGTAAGAGTAGCGGTAGAGTTTATCGTTGACTGAGGTGACGATACCGACTTAGGTGTTGCTGGCCGCCGCTTAATCGGGGACATTTTGGTGCTAGCTAGTTCATCTGCAAGAGCAGAAATCTCCGCAATTACCGCCGCCTCCGAATTTGCTATCGCCTTTTTCTCATTTAGGAGACGTTCACGAAGCTATTCATATGAGTTATTCTATTAGCAAACAAATACCAAAAGGTGGGCCAATTAGAACATCTACATACCTTCTTAGGGTTCTGCATTCGTAGTTTCGGGGTCCGCTGAGGCGATGAAGATGACTGCGGCCTAGCGTTGGCCCCATCTGATGGGCTAGCCAAAGTGACTCGGTCCTTGAACTGGCTAACACTAGGGGATGGAATATAGGAAGGAGGGTCCGTTCTCCGCTTGGGGCTAAGCTGTAGTGGAACGATTGGATTCGATTTTCTATTAGCTGTTCTTTCTCCAAGCGTGGTCCTAGGGGTTAGTGGAATGTTCTCCTTGCACGGTGATAGCGAAGGTCGTGAGGGAGATGGATTGGTAACAGGAGTTGCATTCGGTGTTTCTGGGCCTGCCCCATCTGTTTGCCTCAATTGCCTTGGAGAGGTGGGGTCCAGCGAAGGTAAGGGATTAGGTGGAGATGTTGGAGTAGGAGAACGTCTTAGTTCAATAGCGGGAAGTAAAGTCGTAACGTTTTGGGTTGGCAAGGCTTCCAAATCAGAAAGAGAGCTCCGTCGTTTTTTCTTTCTTGTAACAGGTATAACCATGGAGTAATCCTCGCCGATGGATGCCAGGGTTGGTGTATTGCTTTGTGAGCTGTTTGGCCGCAAGGACTGGTTCTCCGCAGATGCAGAGAAGAGGCCATGTGCGAGAAGGCGCTCCCTTGATCCAGGCCGCAACAGGCTGGCTAAACGAGAATCGGTTTCGATAGACTTGGATCGAAAGAGAGATGCCTTCGAAAGACTCGATGGCTGCGAGTCTGTGTCTCCATGGGTTTTGGATTTGCTGAGTGTTCGAATAATAGAACTAACTTTACCTTCACTTTCAGATTTACCACGGTCCCTGGTACTTCCGAAACCGAACCGCTTTCTAAACGATGACGCGTTTGATCCGAATGATCCTACATACATGGGTTGAATTCTAGGGAGCGGAACAGTAGGATCGTTTACAAGATTCCCTTCTATTGGCACACTGCATGTGCCACTGTCATCAAAAAGTCGATCAAAATCCTCCACTAGACGATCAAGCAGTGAAATGTGTTGCATGGGGTTGCCTTTCTCTGTCAAAATTTCCGAGAAAGTTGCGGTGAGGGCACCGCGATCACCATCATTTCCAGAAGTATCTAGTAACTCAGCAAGTAGCTTTACCAGCGCTGCCAGAGCTCGGCGGTTCTGAGGGCTCATTTCTGCTAAGAAACGGCGAAAATAGTCCTCAAAATCTCCCGGATATAGTGAATCAAGCTTGCACTGCATCACGCGTAATGTATCCGGAGGTATTATAGGTCCTATATGCTCATTCCAGGCTTTGGCCATGAAAGTCTCAAATGCAACGAACAAAACGTCAACTGAAGATTCAGCTGCCAACTGAATTTTCCCAGCATTCTCCAAAAGTGCATTGCATAGCTCATTAACAGCGGCAGGGTCGGCCTGCTTTCGTGAGCGAAGTATGCGGCCAACAATATTCCCACTTCTTGAGCGAACTGCAATAACATAGGCAGCAAAAGTTTCTTCCAGGGACTTCAACAGATCCTGTGTCGTCTCTGCAACAGTTTCTCCAAAAAGAGTGGAATCATTTGCAGATGTGGGCCTAGAGCTTTTCGCATTGGGATGGTCAAGTGCTGGGGGAGGGATCTGCGGAATTTCTTTAAGAACGGGGCCAGGTAAAAGTGATCTCGAAGGTGGCAATTGACTTTTTGGACTTCCATTCCAAATATTTGATAGAAGCTTGGACGGAGAGGGAGGTTTGAATCCGCGTCCAACTTTTGCATGGTCTAAAAGGTAGGCAGCAATGGTGCGAATGATGTTGAAATTAGTGTTTAGAATCGCTGACGTAAGGATTGGGTTCTCAGGCTGATGCAAAGGGCGAAGAAGGTTATTGACTATCTACGTTGTCAGTTTCCATATTTCCATATAAAAACATGGATGGAAATGATTGACTTACCTCGATTCGCGAAAACTGCGGCAAAATCCGCGGCAGTAAAAGAGTCCGTGAAGGAGACTCCTACCACAGACTCCATTTCCATTTTATATCTGTCATCCGCAATCTGTGAAATCGACGCAATAACCTCTACTTCTGGTCGGCTCAGCTCTTTTGATCTGGTAGCTTTTGTCCCGTCGAAAATTACTTTTAGAGTGGATGATTGGTTTTGACCAGCAGTATCCTTCGGTTCATCCTCGAATACCGAGACCAAAATACCTAGATTTGAGGAACCCCCTTTAAAACTTCGAAGACCCCATTTGCTACGTTCCCGATACTGTTCGGGAAATCGTCCTTCAATCCGGGCTTTCGTGATTTCTTCAATCAAACGGCATGCTTTGCCTTCATAGGTGGATGAAAGTTCTAACGCAACCATTGCAGTTCCGGAACGGGAACGCTCATTTTGCACAAAGTTTCCTGCTGGAGTAAGATATAAGATACGCCCACAGGCCGATTGGGTGCAGCGAATATTGGTTATGCGCAGCGCCTGAGTAAATCTGAGCTCGAGAGGTGCTGGTTCTTCGTCAGTGCGTGCCGTTGGGGGCTTATCCAGCTCAGCATATAGTCCTCGAGCGGTCATCCTACTTTCAATCTCCTTTGATAAAAGGATCAAGTAGTCCCCATAGAGCAAAAGGATCCCCGAATCTGCTGCTACTTCAGGAGAGTTTAAATCAAAAGGAGGCAATAGCTCGTAAAAGTCAACAGCAGTTATCAATCGTCCAGAGGGTAGGCTGGATGCGGGAAACCCTCGGATAAGGCCTTGAAGCCGTTTTAGATCCTGGGAATTGTCTTTCGAAGAATGCGAATCCAGTGAGCAGATTTCTGTGATGATATCTCGGGCTTTGAGGAGAGTTCTAACAGCCGGGTGAATAGACGGAAGCGCACTCGTCATAGCATCAATAAGAAGGTTGTATCTTGGAAGGCGCTGAACCGGTTCCATTAATATCGAACGCATTCTTTGTTCGCCAGCCTCGTACACTCTCTTCGAGAAGCTGGATTGGTTATCATTCAGAAAAGTGTTCAGCGTTTGGGAGAAGCCATGATAAGTACGCATGTAATCTCCATATGGTTGAGAGAATCGTGGGAACCAATCTACTAGAGCATGCGCAAACTGGATAATTCCTAACGGGTCCACCCTTTTCCCCCGAGAGTCTCTGCGAAAGGACGACGAGTCAATAGTCGTGTCCTTTGACACATCTGCAAGCGCGTCTTTTTCCGTCTGTTCAAGTATATGACGTATTTCGCCTAGAAAACTTATGTTCACTTCGAGAATCTCACTTAAGCAGGGAGGGAAAAGTTGTTTCAAAGCAGTCTCATCAGGGCTTGAACTGGTTGGCGATTTTTCGGCGGCTTTCTGGCAAAACTTTCGTATAATATTATGCACTAAGTCGTACATCTTCCCCACATACCTCTCTTCGGTGTCGACAACTTCACACATGGCAAGTCGGAGTGTCTCCTTTTGGGCCGCAGAGAAGAATTTGGATTTGCTCGAGTTTGTGGGCTGTGATGGAGCGTGCCGCAGTTTCGAAGTTGGCAGGAACACTGGATCTCCAAGTTGCTCAATCAACGGACTATATTTGCCATATTGGTTGGCGAAATTTTCCTGCGATCGAATGTCACAATCGGAAATTCGGGGAGCCCGCGGGGGGACGATGGAACCTGGAGGGAGAACAAGGTCCACGTCAATCCATGGCACGATTTTATCGCCATAGGAATTCCTGATATCGCGTATAATCTCTGTGGGATCCTCTACCCTCAGCATTTTATTCGCTACCTCTGCGGCATGAATTTCGTCAAATGTATTTGGCAATCGTGCTGAGAGTTTTCCAGACCGCGCAGTCCCTAGCAACACATATCTGACCGGTTCAGAGAAGTCACCAAAATATTTAAAGAGACAAACCGCTAGCCCTCGATATACTTCGTCGCCTTGCTTATCCCGTGGGAGGTGATTGACCGCGGCATAGAGCGGAGCCGTCGGGGAAATTATAATTCGGGGGTAACTTTGGATCCCTCCGCTTGCGATAATGTGTGCCTGGAAACGCGAGCTTCGCACCGTGGAATTGGCTGTTATGACAGGGCCATAGAATATGAAAACCGACGAGAGGATGGGATCCACGGCATGGTAGAGAGTAAGCTGCTCAAGGGGCAGTCCCGCGATTGACGTCGAAACAGAAGTCATGGTGGGGTAAGGAGGGAGGAGAGAGGAGAGAGGCGCCTACCTGCTGCGAGTTTGCGCCGGCGTAAATAACAGGTGACGGGAGGTCCAGATTGTAGTGGAAGGCGTGTGGAACAGCGTAGGAAATGTGTGAGCACCGCCTTGCCAATTGATCGAGTGGGAGTGCACGCAGTTGTGGCACAACATATGCCGCCAATGTGCTGGGAGTGTTGGGCATCGCAAAGTAAACAAAACCCAAAGCTCAGATCCGAAGCCCGAATTCGCGATCAAGACATGGTTGGATAGCAGGTAGAAACGCTTTGCTGGATCGGAAGAACGACTTCCAATGAGATAGAGGCCAAGTATCTCAACATTAGCACTCTGTGTGGTTGAGGAGGAGCAAGGCAAGCGGCCAACTTGCACGGGGGGAGAAGTACGGTGAGTTATTATGACCCCCATGTTTCTTTGATTCGCTGTTCTTGAACCTCTTGTATGGCCCGATCCTGCAGCTCTGATTGGCCACAAGCGCGTTTAGTTGCTGTGGAACCCAGCTTACGTTATCCAAAACTTGAAGATCACGTGATATTGAACTCTGCCAGATTTGCAGCCTGTTCACGACAGCTGGGCAATATCTGCGCTGTAATCAAGGGTTGGATTTGTTTTATGGACACTAAACTGTGTGGTAGAGGCCTAAAGAAGAAGGGGTGATCATAGGTGTTGATATCCACTGCTACCGATGTATAATGAGTGGGGAATACATAGACCGGAAATTGTCGTCGAACTCCTAGTGCCCGACGGGACATATACTTCACGGTGATCGTAGTGGTAGATTGTCATCAGCCCAATAGATATATGGTGGGTAAGATCCAGCACAAAGATCCCCAAATCTAAGTCTAAACAGAAAAGTTTGCACCAACATTTTCAAATTTTATTTGTAAGAAACGGATTTGAACCTGGAAATAGGTCTCGCAAGTCGTTCAGAAATTTTGTTTGGCTACAGACAAACTCCCTCAACGGGACACAGGACAGGGTTTCATTACATCTAGTATAAGAAAAACACCAAAACGGGCGTGTCTGCGGAGTGAAGACGAAGGTTAGTGACACCGAAGTCCTCACTTGAGGCAGCTGGGGGTTAGTTAGGCGGTGTCGACGCTAAACCTGATGCGGAACCCGCTCCAGCTACCCCCAGCTTATGTCACTAGTACGCTTTTTTGGCCAACTCTTCTCGACAACGACAAGTCTTCACTGTGCCACTAGATTTGCAGGATTGACATTGATTGTCTGCAAGAGTCGTGGGTTTGATTAGGGTCAGTCAGCATACTTTGCTAATGTGCCAGATCATTGACTGAAAGGCCCTGCATTTTCCATAACGAACAGTAGTGGTCTTGGTCAGGCTAAACTCCCGAGCATGTTCCCCTTGGTCAGAACCTTCGCTAATGTGTTTTTATATTCGAGTCGCGCAGAATGAATATGACCATTGGGCTTGAGAGATCCAATGACCATGATTCCCATGATACTCTAGAGCCTTCCATACCATTTTCGGCTCTTCAAGATGCCCAGAGCCATCCATCGGATAAGTATCAGAGTGGCAACATGGATGGAAAAAGCACCATACCAATCGCCGTAAATCCGGTTGAGTTGGTGACGACAGAATGTATTACAGTCACATCCTCGATGCGAAAGCATTCGAGATGGGCTCATTCTTCCGTCGCAGCTATTTTGGGCGGTGGTGGTGTTTCGCGAGCCTACGAACGAGAGCTTTCCGTCCAGTCAAGTGTCTCCCTCTCAGCGAAATCGCCGGCAAAAACCGCCCCGACGAAATTTGGAACTCTGGGTGTTGAAGGGGAACACGTACTCTCAAGTAGATGGGGCCTAAGGGGGAAGAAGGGAAAGAGCTTGCAGGATAATCCGTTGATGTCCGCTTTCACCCGTCTACGTATTGATCTCAAGGACTGTAAAGATATTCGCGATTTTGATACCCCTGCTCTTTTGCATCCCTTCCTTCAAGTTATTCGTTCGTCTTCGACTTCCGCCCCGATCACCTCTCTTGCTTTGGTTGCAATAACGAAATTTTTCGCCTACAACATCATTAACAGAGACTCTCCGCGCCTATCCATGGCTCTCCAGCTCCTATCAGCCGCCATCACACATTGCCGATTTGAAGCTAGCGACTCTTCTGCTGACGAAATTGTCCTCCTCCGCATTCTCAAGCTAATGGAAGGCATGATTTCCAGGCCTGAGGGTGAGCTCTTGGGAGACGAAAGTGTTTGCGAAATGATGGAAACAGGATTGAGCATGTGCTGCCAAGTTCGACTATCAGAGGTCCTTCGGCGCTCAGCTGAAATGTCGATGATAAATATGTGCCAGGTCATCTTCCAGCGCCTTTCCCAGTTGGGTGTGGAAGATATGGTAGACCACGATTCCCTGCAGGAGGAGAAATCGCTTAAAGAGTCTGGGAATTTCAAGATGGATCCTTCCGTTGACGGAGATACTGTTACATCACAGCACCCTTCAGCCCTCGGCATGGATACATCGAGTGCTGAAAAGGAACATACCGGTGGTGAGGGTGATTCAGTGGCTATTACCAACGGCGACTCAGCAGCTACCAGTGCCCCTGCACCACACGAAAACATGTCTCCCGAAGTTAAGCCCTATTCATTACCCTCAATCCGGGAGCTCTTCCGCGTTCTCATTGACTTGTTGGATCCGCACAACCGCCAACACACTGACAGCATGAGGATCATGTCATTAAGGATAATCGATGTAGCTCTTGAAGTTGCAGGTCCCTCAATAGCGAGGCACCCGAGTCTTGCGCAACTTGCAAAAGATGACTTGTGCCGCCACCTTTTCCAACTCGTAAGGTCTGAAAATATGGCTTTGTTGAATGGATCTCTTCGAGTTGCGGGGACACTACTATCTACCTGCCGCAATGTCCTGAAATTGCAGCAGGAACTTTTTCTCTCTTACTTAGTTGCGTGTTTGCATCCAAGAATAGAAATACCACGGGAAGCCGGAATCGATCCAAGCCTCTATGCTGGTGTTCCACAGGCACCCAAGCTGGTGAAACCGGCGCCGTCACAATCAAGTAGTGGACGGTCAACACCAGTTCCTGTTAAGGATCGTCAAAAACTTGGTTTGGAAGGAGGATCTCGGAAGCCAGAGGCCAGAGAGGCCATGGTGGAGTGTATAGGAGCCCTAGCGCGAATTCCCAGTTTCATGGTTGAGCTCTTTGTGAATTATGACTGCGAAGTCGACCGGGCCGATCTTTGTGAAGATATGGTCGGGCTTTTGTCCCGTAACGCATTTCCGGACTCAGCAACTTGGAGTACTACAAATGTGCCTCCACTTTGTCTTGGCGCCCTCTTGGGGTATGTGCAATTCATTGCTGAAAGGCTAGACCAGCCGCCTAACTACGACAACCTTCCGGACCCTGCACAGTTAAGATCTCAGCGTCAACGGAAGAAAATCATCATCCAAGGCTCCTCAAAATTCAACGAAAACCCCAAGGCTGGGATTGCTTTTCTCGCCTCTAATGGTATTATAGAAGACCCGGATAACCCTCAGCTTGTTGCAAAGTTTCTCAGAGGGACCAGTCGAATATCGAAAAAGGTTTTGGGAGAATATATTTCGAAAAAGTCTAACGAACCTCTTCTTGACGAATTCATCAGTCTTCTCGATTTCAACGGCAAAAGTGTGCATGAGGCTTTACGGGACCTCTTGGGCTCTTTCCGCCTACCGGGTGAAGCGCCCCTTATTACCAGGATCTTAACTTTCTTTTCGGACAAGTATATCAGCAGGGTACAGCCTGCTGGTATCGCAGATAAAGACTCACTTTTCGTCCTTACCTATGCCATAATAATGTTAAACACCAACTTATACAATCGGAATGTCAAGCCCCAGGATCGAATGTCATTTGAGGGTTTTGTAAAAAACTTGCGAGGAGTAAATGGTGGGAAAGATTTTGACACGGACTTCCTTCAAGACATCTACACTTCTATTGAACGCAATGAAATTATATTACCCGATGAGCATGAAAATAAACATGCTTTTGATTACGCTTGGAAAGAGTTACTCATGAAAACTGTGGGAGCTGGAGAATTGGCCATTTTTGAATCCAACGTATTTGACGCCGAAATGTTCGAAGTGACCTGGCGACCAGTGGTAGCAACGCTTTCTTATGTTTTTATGTCTGCGTCCGATGACGCAGTCTTTTCTAGAGTTGTCATTGGCTTCGATCAATGTGCCAAGATCGCTGCACGGTACAAATTGACAGAGGCGCTCGATCGCATCATATATTGCCTTAGCTCCATAAGCACCCTTGCACCAGATACAACACCCAATACATCTCTTAATACTGAGGTTCAAGCTGAGAAAAAGAGCGTCATGGTCAGCGAGCTTGCGGTCAAATTAGGCAGGGATTTCAGGGCACAACTGGCAACAGTGGTGTTGTTCAGGGTGCTGACTGGAAACGAAGCGATCGTCCGAGATGGCTGGACGTACATTGTCCAAATTTTACATAACCTGTTCATAAACTCACTCATTCCTCAGTTTGAGAGCATGAAACCGAACTTGAATATCCCTCCAATCCCGCTCCAACCTCCATCGCAAATCATCGACCGAGATGGACGAGGCAATGACACGGGTCTACTTTCAGCCTTCACGTCATATCTCTCGAGCTACGCTGCGGACGACCCCCCTGAACCATCTGACGAGGAACTTGAAAACACTCTATGCACAGTGGACTGCATCAATGCATGCTCCATTCCTGACGTTCTTGCCAATATAAGGTATGTAAATCTCTGTGAAAACTTGTGGTTTTCCAATTCTAACCTTCGTAGTTCCATGCCCGTGGAGTCAGTTGTTTCTTTAGTCAACGCCTTGCTATTATATCTCCCCGACACAAGCCCAGCTGTGATTGTTGTTAAGCCTGAAAGACCTCAGCCCATCACGTCTCGACCATCCAGCGGCAAAGTTGATCCGAATAGACCAAGCTACGACCCTGGAATGATATACGTACTTGAATTGGCCACTATTCTTACCCTCCGAGATCAAGATACCATTCGAGAACTAGGGGAATTTCTTACCAGCGCGCTACAGAATATTGTCCGAGACTCTAAAAGCTTCCATTCTCTTCTAGTTTCTCGAACAATATCATATCTTCTCAATTTACTCTGTAATGCTTACGTGCGTAATGTCCCCCAAGGAAATACAACTTATATCTTCAGCCGGCTAACATCACGTAGGAACATTCCTTTATGCGAGCACCAGTTGTCCTTCATGCGATATCAACTTTTGATCAACCTACGTTGGAAAACTCAGCCATCCCTACTATCAAAGGCCTCTCCGATTGTATCGCACACGCTGCTCCACTGAGAAGCGAAATCACCAAGTCACCAGATTTCTGGTCGATATTACAGCGGCTACACAAACACCAAGAAGGGGCTCCTTTGATTTTCGAGCTTCTTCAACGTGTTGTTCATTTCACTCCACCAGTAATTTCAGCCGACAACTATGAGTCAGGTGTAAGCCTTGCAAACGATTTCGCAAGTGCAGGAAGCATCGCTGCTGCACCTAATCCAAGGAGAGATCCTTTGGGAAGGAGAGTAAAACCTGTGAAGCAGCCTAAATCTCAGTATGTTTTATCCTTTCCTAGGTTCCCCTTTTCTTTCCGAAACCCAGCGCTAGCACTAACCCAGCTCAGGGACAATCCATTTGTGCAACGGGGAACCAAGGCGATCGGTCTCATTTATCACTTGACAGGCCGTGTGCCGGCACTTATTCAACAATCTCACCTTGAAAGAAATGAAGGTACGTAAGAGAGATCCCCTGATTCTCTGGGCATGCAATACTAACGTATTCGTTCACTGAAGCATGGGCTGCATACTGGTCTCCGATATTTAGCGCACTGACAACGCAATGCCTCAATCCCTGTCGCGAGGTTCGACACCAAGCCATCTCGGCGCTGCAACGATCCCTGTTGTCACCTGAGCTTGCCTCGACTGACCACACAGAGTGGATAGCGATTTTTGCAGAAGTGCTATTTCCGTTAATCTTACAGCTTCTCAAGCCTGAGGTGTATCGATCGGACCCCGTGGGAATGAGCGAAACCCGTGTTCAGGCGGCAACTCTTGTCTGCAAAATATTCCTTCATTATCTTGTCTTGCTTTCGGAATGGGATGGAATGTTGGATTTGTGGCTGAAGATATTGGATATCTTGGACCGAATGATGAACAGTGGGCAAGGAGATAGCCTTGTAAGTTTTGTTGCTTGTTTTTGATTCTACCGTTTAAGTTACGGAAAGCTTACGGAATTGCGTTTGAGACACAGGAGGAAGCGGTACCTGAAAGCCTGAAAAACATACTTCTCGTCATGGCAGACGGGGGTTACTTGGTTTCACCCGCTGAAAACCCATCTAGAGAAATACTTTGGGTAGAGACCCAAAGGCGCCTGGATCGATTTCTTCCTCACCTCTTCGCTGAGATATTCCCACCCAAAACTGACGAACAGCAGCAACAGCAGCAAACACCAACACCAACACCACCACCACCACCACCACACCCCCAGTCACCCCCTTCAACTGACCCCCCGCAGCATAAGTCTCCGCGCGACGGCGAGGAGGGAGGTGAAAAAACCAGATCCAGTAGTGAATCACCCGCTCCGGCTGACGGCGTCGATGACAATCCCGTTGATTGAACCAAGTAGATAACCGCCAAGTAGATAACCGCCAAGTATTTAGCCGCTTTGCCACTCATTGCGACAGCTACTGGACGTATATGGATGAATGCTTGAGCATCTGCATAAGAAATTCTTGTGGAATTCATCTTGGCAATGCACAAGATTGGTCAACGGTACACAATTTTCTTCCTGCCAGATGACGTGTGATATCTCTATATTGTTTATGGGAGTTTGTAGCGTAAACATACATGTCGTTATATACCTAGGTGTTTTAAGAGAGAATAATATTAAATCACTTAGAATATTCTAAAATTTAAAGCTTCTTTTTTTTCCGACTTGTTTTGATTCTAACAAGTCGTTAACTGCACGACAGCCTCACAGATACTCTGCTAGCTATTAACAATTCTATTATGGCTCAAAAATCTCACAAAGCTCCAAGAGCCTGCTTACTTCTACCCCATACTTTTTCGGCCAACTCCACCGAATCCACAATCAACAGCCGCTGCGGAAACTTGCTTAGCCGCAGCCCCACCTTTACCGTACTATGACGCTCACAGCTCGCAGCCGCACCGTCGCTTGTTTGGTTTTGCTCGCCAATCCATCCATGTCTTTTAAGCCTCCTAGCACTTAAAACGAACCAAGAAAGCGGGTGAGATCACCCGAGGATTCAACATGGTCCAATGATGGGCATTGTGGATGACAAACAGGCAAATGAGAAACCAACAGCTTCAAGTGTGAATCAGCAGTGGGGCCCTCGAAGGAAATAACCTACCCAGCACTTCCAGGCGGCTGATTGAGGATATGTTTCCTACCACACTCCGGGCTTTGATTCGCTGGAGAGTTTGTTTTGAGCGGCATCCGGTATTCAAGTTAGAAGTTCCAGTAACCCGCACGATTCGGCTTTTGAGGTAGTTCTAGACATCCGTGGAACAGACGGCCAGCGACGTTGATCTTCCGGGAATCCAGCGACGACAAAACATCCATCAAGGTCACTCGTTACGAATTTTGTTATAAATCCGGCACAATCTTCTCTCTCCATAAGCAACCACTCACACTGGCCAACGGGGTGCTATCCATTTCCAGCACACCTTTAATCAACATCGCGTTGATTCGTCCTCTCGACACCGGGCCAGACGAAGCCAAGGCAAGTGGGATAAATAAGCATAATCAATCTCCTGACCTTATAACCAACTGCAATTGAAACCCCCATTGACGCAGGCACAGCAAAGGTACAAGGAACGACAGGGTTTGAGACTTGATTTATATATATATATATATATATATTGGGCATTTTCGCCGGTACACGCACGTCAACCTCTGATTTGTTTTCCCACCCCGCAGTTGAAGACCTCAAGCATGTCAACTGGCTAGGGACGGCTGAAGCAATCTACGGAGTATCCTTCGTCCCAATATGGATTGCATCGGGAGCTGCTACAAGATCTGATTGGTATCATGCGCGGAGGAACCTGCATGTAAGCGGATGTGACTTGTTTACTTGGCAATGCTATCTGTCCACTGCAGAGTTTGAGCTTGGGCGGGAAGGGCTCATTCAACTCTTGACATCATTCCTCCGGATATCTTGGATCTTACAGTCGTCTCTGTTTACCTTCCGAATTCTCCAATCGATGCCTTCGAGTTCAATTTTGGTGAAACACGCCCCAATACCACCTGTCTGTTGCGCATCATTCCTCCTCCCATGTTAATGTCCTTTGTCTACTCGACTTGGCATCAGCAGTATGCACCGGTACGCCAGCTGCATATTCCCCGCTAGGTCTGCTAGAGAAGAGGAACTGGCGTGGCCTGGTAGGTTCCCTTGGTTATATGTGATTCTTCGGCGTGCCTCAAAACTTAGTTCGATGTCTGAAATCAGTATTGAATGGTTCTAACGTCTTTGAAGTCATGGGTAAAGTTTTAGTCGTTGAGTTTAAATGAAGTAGTTAGTCGGTAGAGAGGCCATTTCTCGCCTCCCAGGCTTGATCAGCTCTACTTAATTAGCCACATAAGCAGTTCCCGTTAAATATCCATGTCATCATCAAGCCTGCAAATATATATAGACGCTTATTCCTGTTCTTCTCCCAAAGCTGCCAACTTTACATAAACCCTGCCAATGCAAGAACGATCTCTATAATTCCGTATACTTCCAACACCTTTCATTCTCTCGTTCTATCATCTCTATACCTTCTTGAATCTAAAGGAGGCGCGCGGATTTCACGGCTCTTTATCCTTCCAACTTTTTGTTCCGTTCAGGGCAAACTACCAGAGTATCTACTTAGACCTCCACAACTCCCCCAATATGGCAGACGTAGACCCTCACACAAACACCGGATTCACGTCAGCGATGGATGGTATATTCTTCCCCTCTAGTTTTGGCCCCCTCTCCTGGAAACAGAGAATACCATCACCCCTAGAAGTTGTTGAAAAATGAATATACTAACCAAAACGTTTTAACTGCCAGAAGCTGCCGCTGCTTCCCAGCAGGAAGGGTTGGGCAGCGCGAAAACCGAACGGTCTCAAAGCACAGGCGACCCCTTCGCCAGTCAGCGGACACCTGATAACGATCCCTTTGCGAGGACTGCTTCTACCGAACTGTCTCCTGTTGCCACCTCTCCCTCTCCACAGCAATCTCCCATAGATAGACGGATGAGCAAAGAGTGGGGTATGTACAAAGCCATTTTATTTTCCGGACCTGGAGGAGAAATAATGGATGCACCAGTGCCTCTTGTTTCATCTCAGGGAGGATAAACTTCAAAAAGTATGGCGCAATAAAATGTGGGGCTGACCGACCGGATGCTTATTCCGGGGCTTCTATGAGCACAGACGCCTCGAAAGTCCCGCCGTCAAGATTCCAACGAAGGGAAGGGAGTATCTTTTCAACGTCGAGCTCAAGAGATAGCCATTTGAGTCGCAAGGACCGCGATTCCGCGTTCCACGCCAAACTAAAGGAAAAGGTTAGTTGTTGATTTTTTATTTTTTTTATTTTTTCCGTCTTTGTTTCTTTAATGAACCTTCATTTGAAAGATGAGAACTCCTCCTCCTTGTACTGACGGGGTTTGATTATCTTGTCTCTTTGCAGGGCTGGTTGTAAAAACACACCCGTTTCCACGGACCGCCAGTGATGTCACCGACACGCAATCGTGACCTTGTTTTGACGTCGCTGCCTTGGCTTATTGAAAGTCCAATGCAAACTATAGTTGGGAAAGAAAATTTATAAAAAAAAAAAAAAAAAAAAATTGACAGTCGCCATTTCACGCACATCTAACAGACCCAAATTTGAACAAGCAAGGGGAGAAGCAGCAGGCAAACGGTCGAGTTAACGTGAGCAACCGAAATTCATACCAGGGCCTCGATTGTACGGACCCTCACACTCACTTGTTATGATGGAATGACAACCACAAACATCTGGCATGGCTCTGCGAAATAGGATTGCATATATTCAATCCTCATGTTGTAACGCATATGCATCGTTATAACAGTTTCCTCTTGGGTTGTTTGCCTTTGTTTTCCCTTTAGACGAATTTGAACCTCACCCCTTTAAATTAAATTGTTATTATTGCTTGCTTTTACATTTTTTTTTAATCTCCTCTTTTCTTCAATTTGGCCTCCATTACTTTTCCTTAAATACTCGAGAGCATATTTTATATGTAAAGAATGTGACAATGTTACCTTTGGAGCGGGCCTTGGGAATCTCCGCCTTTGAGCTGGCCTGTTGACCCTAGGTGTTGTATAGTTACTAATTACTACAGGGGGGACAAATCCGCTGGAAAGCGCTTTTCTTGGATATCAAGTATCCACTTCTTTGTCCCCTTCAATTTTAATTACCATGTACTGGTAGAGCGGACCAAATAAAATGAGAAAGGATCTAATTGGGGACACAAACCCAAGATATATATATATGGATGGCATCTAGAAGCCCTGACAAGTGTTTGTTAATGTTAAAATCCACTCCATGTATCAGAACTAGAATGATGGAATAGAGACAAGTAAGGGAGATTAAGGAGCTCGAGATTATCCCCGCTTGCTAACCTCTGCCCTTGTCTACTCAGACCATAAGGCTGGAGGTTGGGCTGTGGCTAGTTGGTGAGTACTTGTATAGCCTTCGGACCCCGAATGATCCTCTGCACAAAACCCTTTACAAAAATGTTTGAAAGAAGCCTGGTCATGTCATAAAAAGGTTCTTTTTCCTCCTAAAATCGTACATATATAACTATACACTTGTCGATAATCATCCCCGTCAGTTTTCCAATATGCCCTTTACAGAGGCCAACTGAAGAAGACACCAGCGTTTTGTGTATGGATATATATTTTCATGTCGTTAGAACCGAAACCCACTCCTCCTCCTCCTTTACCAATTGCATGAACCATGTTTCCAAGACGGCGGAAGACATGAGAGGAGGGGTAGCCACCAAAATGTCAAAAGCATGGGTATCTGAGGCAGTGCTTAAATGCCATTTCCGTCACTATAGGGTAGTTAAGCTAATTGTAGCTTCGTTTTAATCGAGCTCGGAAATTCGGATGGTGTCGCGTGCTCTCTTCCCCTCCCCTGCATGAGGCATTTTCATATAGGAGTTCAGGAGCAACATTAAACAAACAGAACAGAAGAATGAAATATGTCACGAAGTTACAGCTCACTACCTGGGGATCGGCTGGGATGGTGCGTTGGTCCTAAACCGAAAAACTTCAGATTGCAACTCAGCCTCCAGACAGAACAGAAAAATGCCGCATGGATATAGTTAGTTACACCTCTGGTGACAAGTGAAAACATCAACTCCTATCAGCTCGTTTGAGCTGTCTGACGGAGTATAATTCGAAGACTTCATGACCGTACAGGACCAAGTAAAGGAGATTTCGTGGGTCACTGTATTGCATGCAGCATGTCCCACAACCGGGTGCCAACGTAAACGTAATTTTATCGAAATTTATTAATTAGAATACAGGAGCATATTGTACACATATGTCGTGGAAGGGGAAGTCGATAGGTAGATGGTTTGATAGGGAAGAAGAAGCATGGATGGAAACGAATGAGCTGCAAAGCTCGAGATGCTGTAATGCACACTATCTGACAGAGATAGATCTTTGCAAAACACGACTTTGAAGAAAATTCAATAATATGTTCAATCAAAAGGGATAGCGGGTTCCCACATCGGTCAGTCTATTTGGCCCATGAACACCGACTAACTCCAGTGGAGAGATTTTTTTTTCCTTCCACCCCCCCCTCTCCTCTCCCCTCATACTGACTTTCTTCATATGATTGAATCATCCAGATGATTCTGAAAATTTAAAGGAGCGGCGAGCGGAAGGATTTTGCTCGGGTTAAGGTAAAAGGAAACCTAGTTGGGCAGAGAATGAAATCAAAGAGCGCCACAAAAGAAAAGAAGACTAATGAATGATGAAGGTGGAGATAAAAGGGGAGAATGGCAGTTGTACAAGTAAAGTAGTGGGAAATAATGGCCTGAGCTGACAACCCCTTCCAGAATGCACCAATAACATATAAGGAAACTCCATAAGTAAGATAATGGAAAAAAAAAAAAAAAAAAAAAAAACTGAGCGTATGGTAGGGTGAAAAATGTGTGGTGTTATGTAACCCGCAATTTTGCATAGCGAAGGGTATCTATTGGTGAGTGGAGAGCATTTATAGCGCTCAGTCATCTCTATCCATATCTTCGTCGAGATCAATGGCATCAGGATTTGCCGGAGCACTCTGTTGTGACTTATCACCATTAACAGCTGGTGGTCGATTTCCTCCTTCTGGTCCGGTGCTTGCGGGTACGAAACCCATGGGGGCGCGGGCCTGTCTTTCCAAAGCCGCCATCGCATCAGCACGCTCCTGGCTCTCCTCTTGAGTACCTGCAGCTTCTTTGGCAAGCTGCTTGCTCCTAGCAAGGGCCTGAGAAGCAATGAAGTTAACGTCGGTACTAAAATTGGTCGAATTAGTTTCATCCAGAGAAGAGAAGGTAGAAGGATAATAAAGATAAACAGGGGAATATACTTGTACTGAGCCTGGACACTGCGCTTGATACGCAGCATTTCCTTAAACGTATCTTCATTACCGTGCTGAACCTCGAATCCCTCCCACTTCTGCCAGAATCCTGCATTTGTGCGCGGGTCACAGAATTGAGACGCATGGCCGTAAATAGCGCGAGCTCTATCGATCTCACCCAGACGACGCTCCATTTCGGCAAATTTGAGACACATTCCCTTTGCTTCATTGTTGGGCAAAGCTGCGATGGCGCGTTCGTAAATCGGACGAGTCGATGTCAAGCCGAAGTTGGAGGCCGATTTTGTGATATAGAAGTTGAACATTTCAAATCTATCGGAATCAGAGACAGCACGTGTTGCGCGTTCATATATTCTCATAGCGTGTCGAGCAAGCCCGCGTTCTTCTTCCAAGTTGCCATACATCAAGTAGAGAGGTTTGGCGAACTGGGGTGGGCACCCATCCACAGCCTGTTCGAACAGGTCCCGTAGGCGTTCAATTGAGATTTTCCGATCAACAGCCTTGGTCAAATATAGATTCCAGAGCTCAAAGGCCACCGGGTAACTGAAAAGGTCAAGGCCACGCTCGTAAATCTTGAAAGACTCTTCGTAGTATTTGTTTTCTTCCAAAAGGTTGGCATAGTTGACAACTGTTTGGGGTGTTGCGATTCGTAGTTCAAAAATGCGTTCGTAAACCGTTCTTGTCTTTTCGAGAGTCCCAACACTTTCGACGAGATCAACATAAAAGCTCCATAGTTTCCAGCTCTTGTGGATGCGTTGTTGTGGTGAAAGGGTTTCGTCGAAATAGTCGACTGTGGAGCGCTTGGGAGCTTGTGTAGCTTTTGCCATGATTTCAACAGCTCTATCAAAATTTTCGCTGCGAAGCTCCATCTCGGCCCATTCGCACCAGGTTTCTGCAAGTTCCGCGACTGTTTTAAAGGGAACCTTTACAGCCTTGTCGAAGATCACCCTAGCAGTATCCAAATCTCCACCCTGCTCATAAAATTTGGCGTAGTTGACCCAGAGTTCATGGAACTTACCATGGGCTTTTTTCGGTTGAATCTTTGCAATGGCCTTGGTATAAGTTTGAACAATTTCGGCTTTATTGTCACCCCACAGGGCAACACGTTTGCCCCACTCGATTACGTTATTAGGATTCTGTCTGAGGAGGACGTCGTTAACTAGGAACGGGCGGCGATCCATAAGTTGTTCAAATCTCAGCATTCGAAGGTCTAGGTCGAAATCCGCGGCCTCGTCAGCCCGACCCTTGTCGGATCGCAGGGCAGCTTCTTCCATTAGATGGCCTATGATAGATTCCTCAAATTCCACGTAGGCATCAAAGATCATGGTGAAATCTCGAACAGTCATCACAGTTGTGATCCCTTCCTCGAAGACATCTCTTGCTTTTTCGAAATTTCCACGGGTAGTCCAGTACGTTGCCAACCCAGCCCACAGCTTGCCTCTTTGGTCGGCGAACCTATCGATCCCACTGCGAATAATCAAGTCGATATCGATACCCACTTCTGGGCCAGCCTCGATATCCTTGGCCTTGTTGACGAGCAGTTCAACCATGTCAGTCCAAAGCTGGAACTGGCTTTTGCCGTTTTTCGATTGGAATCTAGGATTATCCAGAATCCACATGTACTTCTTGACAGCTTCAGTGTATTGCCCCATCTCGACCAAAACGTCAATGTACTCCTCGGCATTCTCCGGGTGGACTTGCATGTATCTACGCCAAATCTTCACTGCAGTCTCTCCAGATGCAGAGTAGGCGAAGGCCTTGTAGAGTTTCCAAATACGATTATGCTGAGTAACTGGTAGAGCGCGGAGAGCCCGATCGAAAGTGCGACGGGTTTGAGTTATGATCGGCTGCTGTAGCAGAAATGAGACAAACATCTCCCAAATTCGAGGCATCTTGTTGAGCAAGATGACAGCCCGTTCGAAAAGGGCGTTGACTTTGAGGTACTCTGCGCGATGGATCGATGGATTTCGGCCTCTCACGTGTTTTATGCGAAACTCAAGATACTAAGAGAGAGAGAAAGAAAAAAAGAGGAGTGGGGTATCAGTGAATGGAAGCTTTATTGTAATGAGGGTGAATTTCGGAACTTACCATCTTCCACAGCTTATATGACCTAGGAAGTTGCTTGCATGCACGTTCCATGACCTTAATCAATCCGTTAGCTGTGCGCATCATTCCAGAGGAAGATTTGAAGAAGTGAAAGCATCTACTTACGAAGGCTTGTTCATAGGGATTGCCATGTTGCTGCTTGAATTCAATGTAAGAGAGCCATGGTTTTATGCTGTGGGGATCACGAAGGAGATCTTGTTCGTAGACAGCATCCTCACTCCCCTTCGGAAGAAGTCAGTAAATGCCCATAAAATTTAGACCAAAATGAAGGAAACAAACGGAATGGATGACTTACAATCAGGTAGAAATCCGGCTGAGCGGGAGCCAGCACGGGCTTATCCATCTTCAGCTGATGCCCTTCCGGGGCACTTCTATCCAGGAGAGTCCCGGGCATCTCACCATTCACGGGAGCGGGACCTTGCTCAGGTCACCACTGGGCTGATATACAAAACACGGACTGCGAGAACCTTGCAGAGTCATTCCTGGCGTGTTGGTACTTTTCTTCTAGGGAGTGTGTCGAACGTTCGGGATGTTCTTGATTATGCGTCGAGGAGCGCCCTTCAACGTCGTGTCATGTCACATGATGGCGCTATACTGTAAATGGCATAGCACACTTTAACAGCTCCATTCGTGGATTGTTGGCGTTGGATGGGGACCAAGCGTCCTGGGCGCTTAATGGTGGGTGACGATATGACGAACTTCAGACGAAGCAGAGACGAAGTCCCAACCACGAGCATATAACACGTCGAAACAGCTTAATGCAAGTTGTGCGGCGTCATTCAAGGGCCCCGTCCTATGAGCTATATCCATCATGTCTGGAACAGGGGTGCGTCTGTCTTAGCGTTTTCTGTCGAGTTTATGCTTATCATTTCATGTTCTAGGACCGAGAAGCCGTGTTTCCAACCCGGCAATCACTGGGGTTAATGAAGGGGAAGTTGAAGGGTGCAGAAACAGGCCACAGCCTTTTGAAGAGAAAAAGCGAAGCTTTGACTAAGTAGGACTGTCATTAATCTATCAGATATTACTAGTGTGCTAATATCATCTTCCACTCCAATAGGCGATTCCGAGGTATGAATTTGCTACGTTTGCCTTGCTCTAATTCTGCTCTAACCTGTCTGCCAGAAATTACAAAACGAATCGATGAAGCAAAGCGGAAAATGGGCCGTGTTATGCAGATAGCTGCCTTCTCCCTGGCAGAGGTTACCTATGCTGTTGGAGGGGATATCGGTTTCCAGATCCAGGAATCTGCGAAACAGGCTAGGTTCCGCGTCCAGACAAAGCAAGAGAATGTATCAGGAGTATTTCTACCTCAGTTCGAGAGCGTGACCGCGGAGGGCAGTAATGATTTTGGCCTGACTGGTCTTGGGAAAGGTGGGCAGCAAGTCCAGCGTTGTCGGGAGACTTACGCCAGGGCTGTCGAAACGCTTGTCGAACTAGCCAGCTTACAGGTACGGTATCGTAACCTCCATTTCTCTGTATAGTCAGCAGCTCACCGTGATATTTTATTTTTAGACTGCATTTGTTATATTGGATGAAGTCATCAAAGTAGTGAACAGACGAGGTATGTTGCCCTATTTGCGTTGTAGGGCGGTTAAGTTGCTAATCCTTGCTGATCTAGTCAATGCGATGTATGAAACCCCCCTCATATTAGCGTTTGGGCATTATTCGCAATACCCTCAAGCAACGTCCGGAATTTCCTCCGTGCTTTCTGGCGTCCCCTCAACTTGTTTACCTGATGCGATTTTTTTATTTGCAACAGAGCGGCTGATTATCCATTTTACTTCTTTAGTGAACATGTTATTATCCCCCGAACCGAAAATACTATCAAATGTAGGTGATGCTACATGATATGCATAACTGCGTACGGGAGCTGACCAACCATTAGACATCAACTCAGAACTAGATGAGCTCGACCGAGAAGAATTTTACAGGCTTAAGAAGGTAAATGCATTTTGATCTACTTTGTGTGTCAGACTGGATCAGTTAATACTTAATAAATACAATAATAGGTTTCGAACAAAAAACAAAGAGATACAGCAGCAGCCGATGCCGAAATGAGGGCAAAACGAGCAGCCGCAGGAATGGATGGAAAGACAACGCCTGAGTCAGCAGATACCCCAATCCCCGATGTTCTTGGAGACCAAGAGGATCCGGACGTAATTTTTTAGGTCCATCAAGTTGTACAATTTCACACACAATATTGTAAAAAATATTATGTAGTATCGTTTTCTTCACGATAATATAGCTAGTTATGCCGTGATGCCTTGATGCCTCGATAAAGCGAGAAACGAATAAAAGCTCAACGGGTGCATTTCAAAACCGAACGCCTAAAGCATAATACGTCATAGATAGCATACTTCCTGCCACAAACAAACATAAAAGAAATAAATGAGAAAGATAATAAAGTTCTCACTGTCTCTGGTATGTCACTCTAATAGGCATCCCATTCTCTCCCAGAGGCATACCAGATGTTGCTTCCTTGGCACTGATTGCACCCGTTTCCGCCTCATATTCAACGAACGCAATCCCCTTCCGGCCGGGCACCATACGGACTTCCTTGAATCCCTCAAACCGGCCAAAGACCGCAGTAAGACCGTCCTGGTCAAGTGAATCGGGGATCTCCCGCAAGAAAAGAATCTTGTTCGGCGGTAGGTATTCATCCGGTATAACTGGGGCAGCGGCGGCGTTGGAAGGTTTCAAGCCAGCACCTTTGACAGCCTTTGACGGACGAGCTTCCGCCCCTCCGGGTGCAACGACTCCGCGTTTCAGTTTCTTCTGCGCCTCCAGGGCCTCCTGTGCTTGTTTCCTTTCTGTGACGTAGATGGGGCGGTTAGCAACGAACAAACGCACACGAACGCGATAAGAGATAGATAAAAGTAACCCTTCTCCGCTAGTCTCCTGCGCTTATGAGCCTCCAATTCACCCTCCCCCTGCTCCTTCAGCACCGTCGCATCGCTTCTCGTCTTCGCATAGTCCAGCACCATAGGCTTCTCAAACAGCTCAAAGCCATTGATTTCCTCAATCGCACGCGTGGCGGAATCCACATTATCAAAGACAATAAAGGCCTGGCCCTTGGCCTTTAGGTTTGTCTTTGCGACGATATCGATAATGTTGCCATATTCGGAGAAGATTTCGGTCAGAGCTTCTTTGAGCGGCTCAACTTTGATTCTTTCTTCGAGGTTCTGGACCTGCAGAGATGTATTCATTCGTAAGTTTTCTGGGTTTCTCTTGCTATGCGGGGATGATTTCAAGCTTTAGATCCACTGCTTTCATCGAGTTGTTGGGTGAAGATGAAACGTACATAGACCCTGCGGGGGAAATCTCGTTAGTATAATAATGAATCGTTTCGTCAAAAACTGTGATCGCAGGGCCTCTCACGTTGAATTTGGGGGTATTCCGGATGCCGAAGCAGCTGCTGCTGCCATTGTGAAAAGATTAACGCTCCACAAGCTGCAATTTGGTCTGATTAGACTTGGGATCGCTGCATTATTTATTGATGCTGAGTTGTTTAGGTGGATTTTGAAACTCTCGGCAAATATTTAGTCCGGCATTCGCACTTTTTAGTTCACTGTGAGCTTTCACTTCTAAGTTAGCATCATTGGTCTAGTGGTAGAATTCATCGTTGCCATCCATCTGGAAATTCGATGAGGCCCGTGTTCGATTCACGGATGATGCATCAACGGCTACTCGATCTCTTTTTGAGCTGATAATTTTTTGCATATTAATTAAAATCTCCGGATAACTGCAGTTCTTTTTGGCTGGTTGGAGTGACTTTTAAAATGTTTTCTTTTCCTCAGATATTTATTATGTCGGATGCTTCTACACCGCGACGGATTCCAGGTGTGTTCCAGATTGAATGACGTCGAAAGGATATTCTTTTCATGGAAGTCATATTGTCGATTTCTTGTATATTTTAGAGATCCCCGGATTCTTTGCCATGAGATAACTGACGAGCTATCCTAGAGCTGTGAGGAAGCTTAGTTCTTCGTTGGGGTAACTTAATGCGAAAATATATGAAAGAAATATTTTGCTCTTTCGTGTGTAAATGACTGTCATTCCTATATCTACATCCAACTGCATATATGCATCCGTCCATGTCTAAGCCATTCAAGTTACACCAAGAGCCACTCGCAAATCATCAACTTTTCCCTTCAATTCCTTGGGAGGACTCGACCAATCCTCGCCCTTCATTTCCTCGACACGAGTTTCCAGATACAAACAGTCCGCGGCAATTGTGCGTATCTATTTGTCATTAGCAAAGGAGGAGTGGAAAGCAAGAAACTGGAGTTCAGAAGCAGAAATGGAAACCATTCCTGCATGGCTAAGACGAAAAATGCACGGAAGGAACATAAAATTACCATAGGATACGGATGCAACAGCATGCCCGTTAACTTTTTCATAGAGTCATTTCGAATAACACCCATTCTCCAAAGAAGAGCATATATTTTTATCGCAGCCTCGATACGGGACACATTCGCTGATTTAAAATGGAACTTTTGAACACAGACGAAGATTTTGCGGTAACTAAAAAGAAACAGGGACAAAATGGGTTAGCTAAACCAGCATCATCGTCATTCCTTAGTTTACAAGACTTACTCGATGTTTGGATCAGAGGAGCTATGGGAGAAGCAATTGTCAAGCAAAAAAGCAATCATTTCCACAGCTGGAATGGCATAACGATCATCAGTGTTATCACTCTCCACTATCGATATCCAGTCCCCGATAAGCTTCGCGGATATCAGTTTCCTCTGCTCTTCACTCTTATTATTAACATATTGTAGAAGCGCGAAATGAATGGATCGAACTAGCTCCTCAGCACCAGTGCAAGCGGAAGTTATCATGCCTCTAGCGAGTGGATAATGAAGCCAATCAACTTGCAGCAGGTCGAAAAGCTGTAGGAAATAGTCTGCACAGGAGACTTCGCTAAAATGCTCATATTTTCTGGAAACATCGTTAGTTGTCATTTCTTTTTAACTACTGTAAGAGAACTTACCTGCTTAAGGGAGGTAAATCCGTGGATGTCTCCCAGAAGGTTTGTAGACATTTCCATGCCTGAAAGCGAACTTTGTCGAGTTTTTCGGTTGCAAGTCGCACAATGCAGGCCATCAGGTCTTTGATGTAAGATGGTGAGGAACCAGGAGTCACCTTCGATTCAAGAATCACATTAACAGCGTGGATCGCTTCGAGTCTGATAAAGGATCCAATGTCTCCCCGCCTGTCCGTTGTGTAGTCGTTTAGAAACTTTGTAAGGTGTCTAGCAAGGGACTCCACCTCATCTGTTGCATCTTTGAATATTAGTTATGGCTATCTTTAATCTTTAAGTGAGAGAGGAAGAAATAAAAGAGGAAGGAGAAAAAAATCCTTATAGTACCAATTTCGGGCAGAACACCACTAGCAAGACATTTCACTGCGGCTGATCGTTTGGCAATTTCCTCTTCCACCCCCGTACACTCGATGAGTTCCTTAATGATAAATCCTCTCCCCTCTCCAGATTTCGGCATCCTCTTAAAAACCGCACCTAAAGCGGCAATTTGTCCACGCCCCGTCACCTTCTTCCAGTTCGCATGGATATCATTGAACCACTTTTGAACAATTTCCAACTTTTTGGAGTCGGGAAGTAGCACGAACAAGTCTGATGCCGCTTCTGATGATGCTTCAATAGGAATGTCGTCCGATCGGCACACGCATAACAGCAGGACTTCAGTAACTTTATCAAGCAACTTTAGAGGTGGCGGTGAGAGTAATGGATGTATATCACCATGCTGCTTATCAGGGGAGCAAGCACGAGCAAGAGAGGAAATGAGGCGCGCCACAGCTTCAGCTGTAAGATCCGGACGTAGGGAGGCATTCGTAAGAACTTCCTCATTAGGAGCCATAGATGAGTCAAAGGCACTTCTCCACAGACTTCCAACTTCAGCCATGACTTTATTGGCGTATGCGGAAGCACAATATGCGCCATCTCTATCCCTTCTATGCCTGATGAATGCATCAATAGTAGCGGAAAGCGATAAGAATATACCATGCCTGGCCTCAACAGCATTTACTGGCGTTGTAGATAGCTTCTGGAAAAGCCGCTCAAACACAACACTCATGCTCTTATAGGATTCCTGAAGACTCAAACCTCCTAGCGCCTGGGAAGCTATTCTTCGCGATTCTGCATCAAGAGATCCAATGCCCCTCCACTGTAGAAGGCCATCTACGAGGGGACTCCAGTAAACAGTTCCAACATCAGAAGCACCCTTCGCGACCTCAATCATCGCCCTTGACCTTCGGGCCACTGCATGATAATCGACAACTTGGACCAAGGGAATGGCTTCGACAACCGTATCGGGGTGCCGGCCAATTAGTTCTTGCAATGCTGCGGAAGCGCCCCGTCGAATATTACCGGAGGGGTCCAAACAAGCAGCGCAAACGAGTTCTATCGCGAGTGCTTGTAATACACTCCCGCCCTCTTGATTCGTTGTCACTTTCAATTCCTGAGCGTCCAGGTCCTGGAGTTCGCTTGTAGTGTATTTCCTAGATAACCCCCAAATTCCAAAACATGCGGCGTCTCTAACACTGGTTCCGACAGAACTTCCGGTCGATGAACGCTGCTCAAAGTCTAACCCCGATACCAGGGACTGAAGTACTTGTGGAAGTTGGATAGTTGGCGGAGAACGCCAGAATAGTAGGTGTGCGAGAGTAAGCATAAGTCCCTGCCAGCGTTGTGGGTCCACGGCACTTATGTTGCGCTTCCGCAGCTTGATTTCAATATCGCGAGCTTCTAATGGTGTTATCAACGTGCCATCCTGCTTTTCATACAAGATATTTTCATTCAGAGAACCCAGGACCGTGTCGATAACGTCAGAGGCTAAATTCGAGTCGAGTCTGACGGTAATCATACTGAGAGCCTTGCTTGCGGCAAAGCGCACAGGGGTATCCCTATCAGCGAGCGATACGAGGAAATGATCAATAGAACTCTCTAGAATCATTGATGATGTATTTTCTGAAATTTGAACAGGTCCAGCTCCGTCTTCCAACGTGAGAACAATAGTCGTAAGAGTCCGAAGAATCTTTATCATAGCCTTTCTTGCGAATGCGGATGACCTGATAGTCTGAGCAACGGATGACTCTCCCTCCGATATTTGCAGTATCGCATTGAATATCGGTACGATGAAAGGAGAAAAATCTGCCACTCGCGCAGACACCCCAAGCCGAAAAATGAATGAAAGTACCCCGATGCAGGTGTATACTGGTGGCGCGTTGCCTTCCGGCGTCGGGCGCAGAATACCCAACGCCCATCGTATTAGGGAGTTCAAGAGCCCAAGCCGCTGCATGTCTATTCGTAAAGCAAGTCTTGCCAGCAATACAGTTGCAGCCTCTCTCTCCTTGCTCGGAAGCACAACATACTTAAGACAAATCGAAAGAATCGACAGAGACACATGCGGAATATCTGGTGACAGGTCTGGTAGCGCTGGGAGATTATCGTATGGTACAGGTAATGAATCCGAAGAAATTGAAGCCAGATCGAAAGGCGCAAGGAGCAAATGTGATATCCAGAGAAGCATTACATATCTCTCCTCCCAGATTAGCGACTTGGGCTGATCCTTTATACTCGCTTCTCCTGTAGAGATTTCTTCTCCGGCCGATGCACCGCTGTCCCAGTCAATAAATTCCTTCAGCATAACTTCCAGGTACTTTGGCTCATTGTTCAGAAACCGACTTATAACTTTGACACCACGGATTTTGCACAGGGTATACAGAAACTTGCAGATTGCTCGAGGAAGGGGATACACGGCGCCAACTTTTTTTGAGCCTTGTTTCACCGACGAACTTGACAACGGAGCGAGCATGTATTGTTCTCGATGTTCTTTCAGATATGCTAAGAATGCATCAACCAGTTTTGGTAGTATTTCCTGCAAATGTGGATCTAGAAGTTGTGGCCATTCCTGAAAAGGTTCCAGCTTTACGGATCGACAAAAGAACAAGGCAGCAAAATGATGGTTAGAATGCACAGATTATCTCATATATATTTAAGGGATAAGTTGACACCTCTCTTCTCGTGAGACGGGGTTTCAACATACAAGATTGATCAGTCTCTCCGTTTTGGCAACTTGTGCCAATCGATGGACTCGACGCTCATTATTGTTGGTATCTAATTTCCAGAGCAGTGGGATGAGTTTGGATTTGAAATCTTGTAACAGATCGCCAGAAACGCGTTGAAGTTTGATGTCTCTGTCAATTGGGGCATCCATCTCTTTATCTCAATTTTAACTATGCTGGTATCTTCCTCCATATGAAGGTCTTCAAAGGGGTAAACACATTGTCTGTTTTCTCAGTTAGACAGCGGGATGTCGATGTTTGGTCACGTGATCTTCAAGGTCTCCAGAGATGGGGGTATTAAGCCCCCTTTTTAAACAGGTACTCGAGTATGAAACGGGGAATAATAAATATGAAAATCAAAAGTTTTTATTTACCATAAATTACCAGTTGCGAACTTCACTGTAATACACAGGCAACAGCGAGGATCACAACTAGAAGCAAGTAACTATTTAGTTATTGCAGACTAGAACAGGTCCAGAGCAAGGGGTCAAACAGTAGGGATTCAAGGTATCGCTTGGTTCCGTTACATATCCGTATCTTCCTTTACAAGTACATACATAACAAAACATCCATAAGACAAAAGGAAAAGGTGAAAAGAGAAAAGACGGCCGACGTAGAGCGTCGAAGTCTGGAAAAATTCTCTCAATCACCCCTCTCAACCATCAGCGGAACGATGAATTTCAAATGCCTAGGACATCATCAGGTGCTGCCGCAGTGACCACCCAGTGAGACACTGCCCATCGCCCAGCCATTGCCAGAACCGAATGCCCCATACCTAACGAACTTCTAGAAATCTGGATCCGTGTCCTCAGCAAGGTCGCCAACCATCCACGTCGACTTCTCCTTCCAGTCCGTCTCCAACTGAGCCATCGTCTTCCGCATACGGACAACTGCAATAGCGACAGCTAATGCATTCCATACATCCTGGCCCGGCTCACCAAAATCAAACTGAGAGATGAATTTCGCAGTCGTGTTCGAATCCAGAACCGGATGCGCTTTGGGGTTTGAGTCCAAGGTAAGAACGGCAACGATGGGCCCGCAGATCAGAAATCCAGTGATAACGGGAAACGAGTGAGTACCATCTCGATTGGTGCATGCATCGCCCTCATTGTCGTTATTGTTCTTGTTGAAACTGGTTTCGGTGTTGATTGTTGATTTCCAGGCTTCACGGTAACGATTCGCCAACGCAACGAGACGGCTATTCAGGGTCTGTACGGCATAGCGAGTGGTCTCAGATGGTTTACAAGTATGCACGGCATGAACAGGCATCGCGTTGGGGTGATTGGAGAAATTGGAATCCTGCAATGCCCATTTGATGTAGTTATCAATGCTACGATGCATCACTGGCTCCGGATCAAGGCGGACAAATTGGCGATCCCTCACTTGATTTCCAAGATTAAAAAGGTCGCTGAGAGCTTTGATGGCTGGTACACAGTTAGCATCTAGTAAGTGGACAAAGAAGGACAGGGGCCAAAGCATGAAAAATGAAATTGATATACATACCACGGAATTCCAGCTCCTTATCTGATTGAATAAATGGGGCATTGTCCCCAGGGTAAGAAAACAGAGACTCAGGAAGGGTGCTGAAATCCAGCTGCCAGCTGCTAGGCACGAGCGGCTCGAATCCCCGCATTGCAAGACGAAAGTAAAGGTCCTGCTCAGCTTCACCCCAGTGGCCATTAGGGAGCTTGACAGCATCCGCCCAACGTCTCGCCTTCTCCATGTTGAAATCAAAAGTCACCTCCTTACGGTCATTTTTCTTAACGGCGTACTGCTTCCCCATAATTTCCTCTTCACTGAGGTCGCTTTCGTGGTCAGCGCGGGCGGTGTCCTTGACCAGATTCTTGTCAACGATTTCTGGCGAGGGACGGTAAACATCATCTGCGGCAGAAGAGGCCTTCAAACCACGGCCTGCCTTAACTTGATGGGGAGAGACAAAAACCATACCATCATCAGACTCTGATGCGTCTGAACCCGTGTGCGCATCCGTCTCCAGATCTTCATTGAGATCGGGAGCTGCATCGGTTTTTTCCGAATCTTCAACTTCAGTTTCTACATCCGCATCCAATCCTAATTCCTTTTCTTGCTTAACAAGCGTATCAGCCTCAACCACAGTCTTCTCCTTATTTACCTGAATGGCAGACGTTGGCGTACCCCAAAACGCTATGTTATCCATAAGCCTCTGTCGCTTAGCCGGGGTATCTTCATCCACCACGATGGTATCACCATCAAGGTTATCACCACCATCATCAGTAACTTGAGTTTCTGCCCGCGGATAATGACTGTCGAAGCTCAACTTTCTCCTCAGCCCTGATCCACTAGCAAGGGTTCGAAGCTGCATTAAGCGTCTATATTTTTCAGTGGTGATAACCATAGTTCTTGGGTTCCTTGAAGAAGTCAAAATACGTTTCCTTCTCATTCCTTTAACATATCTAACCCTCTCGAAGTCTCCTTCAACAAACTGGCCTGATTGTGCGCTAGAAAGCCAATCCTGCGTTTTGGATGTCGGGCTCATAGATCGATGTCCCAACACCCCTTCGATAGATGGCGAATATAACTGTGCTGCACTAGTTGCAGGAGTGGGAGTAGTTATATCAGGAGTAGTGGTGGTGGTGGTGGTGGTGGTAGCAGTAGCAGTAGTTGAAGCTGGAAGATTTGTCTGTTGTCCCTCGGGAGCGGATCTTCGAGGGATCCAGAACGAAGACACCGTCTTGCACAGAGTCTTGAGGTACTCCATCTTTTATATGCGATCGGAGTTCGCAAACGCTAGTTAAGGTATTCGGAAGAAAACTAAAGAAATAAAGAGAAACAATGGAAGAACTAGTTGGATATCGCAGTAGAATAAAGGAACAGTTCGAGGCGCATAGAACTAATTCACAAAGGAGAGAACTTAGGTTGATGAAATGCTTTGTCCGAATGAGAGTATCGGACAAGAGCTGGAAGATCGAGGGACACGTTCATTGTGAGAGGGGACTGCGTTGCTTGCTCCGTTGCGTTGTTGATATAAAGGAACTGTAGGGGATTGAGCTGGGAGAGTGAAGATGGGGAGTGGTGATGGAGTGGAAGTGGACTCTTAACCTATATCATTGCTTACATACCTACCTCTCTGAGGTACTCTGTATAGTAAATTGCTGTGGAGGGGACTTTGCGGTGGAGCGCGCCGTGATCCCGTTGAATGCGGGAAGGTCAAACCGCAGGAGTTCAGCAACTAACCTAATCGGGTCTAGAAAACAGATCGGGGAATAATTTAACTGAAGGACATCTCCATGGGTACTTCTCGGGGTTATTCAGGGCGTTTTCTGGAGCAAATGGAGAGTTATTAATAAGACTAAATCATATTAGTTATTAATTGAAAGCAAGGAGGGGTATATTCAACAACTGCATAGCAAAAACAACAACGGCATAAGTTGAAAAGATAGCACATAAAAAGAACACTCTGTTTCTTTCTTTCTTCCAGCCTTCTCCATCAGCAAGATACCACCATTCAATCTCCCTGACCGACCCTTCACTTGGCAATAACACATTGTCATTGTTTGGTGAGTTACAATCGAACATGTGAAACTGGCGCACCAGCACCTAGTTCCCTGGAATTGCGCTGGCATGAAAAGGCCCAGCCAACTTTTTCTTTTAGTAATCAAGAGGGAATAGAGAAAATGAAAGGAAAAGATAAGAAAAGACATGAGGGAGATGAAATATATGTAATTATCAAAGAAGAGGTGAGATGGAAAGAATTTCGCCCGTGGATATAGAGGGAAAACATTAAAGCAAGAAAGAACAAAAGACAAAGATAAACAATATCAGAAGAACCCACAATCATCATCACTTCTCTAACACAAGTTTTCACCACTAGTTCTCTCTCTCTCTTTTAAATTTTTTTTTTCTCTTTTTTCTTTTTTTTAAAGGGGTTCCCTCCTAGGGTTCAGCAACATAACTCTTCAAATAACAAATATATTACCTGCATCCATCCTCTCCGCTCCTATACACCGTTACTAACTCAGTTGAGAGTATGCAGGCATGGATGCTTTTGTTTCATTCAGAAAAAATAGTCGTCGTTCAAGGGAATGGAAAAATAAATAAGTAAATAAATAAAATAAGAAAACAGAGGAAAGAAAAAGAAAAAGAAAAAGAAAAGAAAAGTGCATGAAAGAAAGAGAAGAAGAGCTCATCCATTATCACCTGAATAACGGCATTAGATCTTGGCCGGGAACATGATAGAAGGGAGCGGTGCCGTCACACTCATTCCAACCAAAGGAAGAGTAAGAAAAATAAAAGAAGATAGAGAAAATAAACTAGGAAATTCCAAAACTCTCCACACTCACTCAAAAAGACACCATACCGGGAAAAAATGATTTCATTGGTTTGGCAATCATACGAAATCAGCGAAATATGAAAAACCGCGGAATTCCTCCTGCATCGCTTGTGAGAGGACTGTAGATAACGAAAGGGACAATTATTAGCATATTTATCTCAATATCCATACTTCAATGTTCGAAGAGTGAGACTCTTGTCGACTTACCGGATTGCACAGGTGTTAACACTGGTGTTACGCTCGTAAATTCTTGGTCGAAGTTATTCGTGTCCGTAGGACTAGAGATGGTCGGGCAGAATGGCGGGGGTACGCGCTTATGGTATATATCATCCCAGTTAACATTCCGGAAGAAAGCATGAGACATGATCTCCTGAGCGTCGGTTGGGCCTGATCCAAGTCTCATCTCCGGCTCCCGAGTCAATAGCTTTTGCAAAATCGACACTGAGTCGCGCGGCATGTGAATGGGATATAGCGGCTCATCTGCCAAAATCGCATCGTAGATTTCGTCCTCGTCTTCACCACGGAACGGGGATTGTTGGAGAAGCATCTGGTATATGAGAACCCCAAATGCCCACCAGTCAACTGCGCGGCCATATTTTTTATCCAAGAGGATCTATAAAGTCTGTGTTAGCATATCCTTCCTATCCATGGAAAAGTGTAAAATGGCGAGACGTACTTCTGGAGCCATAAATTCAGGGGTACCACAGAATGTACTAGTGGTACAACCGTACCACATTTCCTCTTTACACAAGCCGTAATCTGCAATCTTGATGTGACCATCAAGCGCCAGGAGAATATTATCGAGTTTCAGATCACGATAGATCACACCGTTCTCATGGAAATATTTCAGAGCCAAGCAGACTTCAGCGGCATAGAACCTATAAAATGTTTTATCAGCACTGATAAGCTTTAGTATGCGAAAATATCAGATCAACTTACTGTGCCCGCTTCAAGCCAAATTGGCCACGTTGGATATGAAGCATGAGATCACCACCAGAAATATACTCCATGACGAAGTACACACGAGTCTCTGTCTGGAAGCAGGCATGGAGATTGAGCAAGAAAGGATGTCGTTCTTTGTTAGCAATCAGAAACACCCGTTTTTCTGACTTAGTGCTCTCCACTTCATCATGTTCAATGATAAATTCCTTCTTCAAAACCTTGATGGCATACAGCTTCTTGGAAGCCTTCGTCTCAGCAAGCATAACCTTGCCAAAGTTTCCCTTTCCAAGAACAGCAAGGAAGTTGAAGTGATCCAGGCCAACCTTCGGCTTCGGTTGCTGAGGTTGTGGCTGCTGGGTAACAACTGGTCCTGAGTGGGATTCCTTCATTGGAAGCCCTGCCATAGAGTTCTGGTTTGATATTGGGGTGTGTTGAGCTAGGCCATAGGGAGTAGATTGTTGCGCAATCTGTAACGGCGGTAGTTGTGGCTGCTGGCTGTACGTGCTTACACTTGCATAAGCACTAGGGTCGTAATGGGCATGTTGCAGCGGCTGCTGGTGGGTTTGTCGGCCAGCCTCGACATCGTTACGAGGATCCATTCCATGACGCTCCCCTGATCTTCCACTGGTATAATCTGGGGCTCTGTCGTAAGATGATGAGCCCTGTTGTGAAGATGGACGCATTCCTGCTACAGCAGCGGCTGCTGCTGCTGCCGCGTTCGAAGTAGAGGTGTGAGGTTGACCCTGTCTGGGCTGTCCAACAGGGGTCTGAGGGGAATATGAGCTATGGGCTGCGCTGACCGCATCCGCAGAAACTGGTTTTGGTGGTTGTCCATATGCAGCATCCTGTGGCTTCTGGCCACCTTCACTTCCTTGTTGCGGGCGACTACCAGGACGTAACGAGCGGGAACTCATTCCGGTCCCTCCCGCTGAGACGGATTTATTATGATTCTTGGTCCTAATGAGGGTCTCCAAAATTTGGTTCGCAACTTCCATTGACATGCCGCAGAAGTCAGGTACAAGATGCGCACACTGTGCGTGGCATGTAAGATTACATTCTAGTGAAAATGTCAGTAACTATACACTAATAAAGAAGCAGAATCGAATTACCTGAGCACTTTTTGGCATTCTTGCGGCCAAATGGTAACAGATAGCCACAGTGGCAACACCAGCTGGCAGAGATATTCGAATAACCCTCGAAGCGGTGGGGAATACGGTGGTTGATTTTTTCTTCATCTGGATCCGTTTCGTAATTCGCTTTGCTGATACATTTGGTGACGACTTTCGGGTAACATTTCTTGTGACACGTGTACTTGCAGTCTGAACACTGCATACCGGCGGCATACTTCAAGAAATCTCCACAGAGAGCGCAGCGCATAATGTTGTAGAACTGCTGTGTGATGAACTTATGTCCCTGCTTCTCATGTACCTCTTCCTTCTTCTGACGAACAGCACCTTGCCGATTGAGACCGATATCAAATGGCCGACGATCTTTCAATTGCTTTGCTATAGATTTATTAGCAAAAGTTTTTCAAAAGGGCGTTTATTGCAACTTACCAAAGCTCATTGTAAGGTGTATTCTACCGACTGGCTCCAGTGCAAACCACGAGTCAATCATAACTGTTGCATTGGGATTCATCTGAGTATTGGGTTCTCCTCCTTTTTGTCCAACAGCAAACGTCTGTGAATTTGTGCTATGGAAGTGACCATCTGGTCTGATAGCACTACTACCACCATGTTCCATTTTATCAGCGGAAACCCAACCAGAAGCATTAAATTCTGACTCGATCTTTTTCCGGCGCATCTCTTCCGAGATGTCAGATATCCGAATCCAAAGCATTCCAATTGGGGTTGGTCGATCTCCAGATTTGTCATAAACAGTTAGCTCTATCTCGTTCGCCTTGTCAATATCCACGCTGAAAGTCTCTTCTGTCCATCTATCAGTGCGGGTTGCTCTAGTTTTTGCCTTTATGGCATCTTCCACTTTCATAATAACGAATGTTTCGGGACCGCGTGAAAATCGAGAGCTTGCAGCATGATCGACATCTTTCACCGCGTGGATACGCATTGTTAAATTACCAGTGAGCGGTTTTCTAATATTTGGTGAATTCAAACTCTCGTCTGTAGATCATGTCAGCTAATCATAGTAATAGAAAAGCAAATTAAAACATTTTCTGGAGAAAACAAACCGTCAGGATGATCAGTAGAGGACGCAATATCAATGTGGAGATCCTCGTATCGTTTCAGGGCCTGCTTCAGAAGCCTGATTTTCTGAATGCTCTCAATCCGTCGTCCCTCTGCATCCGCCTTGCTCTTTCGATCTCCCTCGTCTTGGTATAATCGTACCATCTTCTCAATTCCATCTTTGTACTGTTTCTCAACACTTAGCTTGAACTCTAATTGCGATAACATAAGTTGGATCTTGGGGCCAAGATATGGGGTATCGTATTTAATCAAATCTGTATCCCAGAAAATATAACTGTCAGTACAAAAAGTGAACAAATAAATTCAGTTTTGATCCGTAGCTAGTTTCCAATGGGATAGTTCGTTAACTTGCCTAATTTGCTAAAATTTGGTCGTGCTTTTGGCACAGTATCATCAGGTCTGGAGTCACCATATGGCACACGGGAAGACATGGCTCCAGTTCCACCCAGGTTATACCCGCCCGGACCAACGCTCCCATAGTCAACTCTATCATTTAGGATATAGCGACCAGTATCATCCTTTGGTGGAAGTGGGGGTCCACCGATGTACCCACGGGGACCGCCTCGGGGACTCGTTGGAGAACCAGGCTGTTCGGAAGGTGACTGGCCATCATCCCGACCCATTTTGCGAAGCTGAAGTTCCCGCATCTTCTCCTCTAGATAGACGATATTTTTACGGCTGTCGCGGATGTTTGCATCGACTCTTTGCTGCACAGCGGGGTTATCTGTCGACTGCCGCATATTGGTTGCAGCGTTGATAAGGGCCTTTTCCCGCTCGATCTTGCGGTAGACCGTGGCCATAAGCTCATCGTCCCCGTCCATGATTGCGGGGTTAATTTCTGCTTGCTTAAGATACGGGGGTCGTAGGAACAATGGATGATTTAGGTTGAAGACAAGTTGGAGGAATTGTATCGAATTCCCTTTCGGAGCTTGGTTTCGGCGGGGATGAGGGGAAGGGGCACAACAATGAGAGTGACAGGATTCACTTTCTTGATAGGCTTTTAACGAGTGAAAACGGCGAGAGGAAGCTATATGGATCACCAGGTTACAAGGGTCCAGGGGAGCGAGTAAGACGCTGCGGTGGTGATGGCGTTGGGCTGCAGATCCTTACAGTAATGAGCAGTGCTGCGAGGGTCCGGTCCGAAGGGTAAAATGAAAGGTTCCAACGATGGACTGCACCGGGTCGTAGCAGGTCCCAGTTGAGCATAGGATATGATAGACAGGGGGAGTTGAATATTCGATGATTTTTGACGCGTGCTCGTGTGCCTGGATAAGTGAGGGTGAGTGTGGAGTGAAGGAGAGGAAGGATGCGTGATGATTATGATGGTGTCTAGCTTGTGACTGACGAGAGAGGGGAAAAGAGCCGCAGTGGGGGAGAGAAAGTTCTGCTGCGCAAGGCAACTTCAGTCAAACAACAACAACAACCATACACATATGTGTGGACAAGAACAATAATAAATCATTAACAGTGCATGTCTCCCACAGTTATAATGTGAACATTTTCAGTCCACGGTAACTTATATAATCTATGAGTACAATGAATGTTTTTTTATTTTTATTTTTATTTTATTTTTTGTATGATCATTCCAGATCAAAGTACAGTTTACATATTAAGAATCCCCCATACTACACATAACTACCTCTTGAACAACTGAAATATTCCGATTGAAGATCAGACGTATATTCAATTGCTGAAAAGAGATTAAGATACAACTATTGTGCACATTCTTCCATTTTGTTGATTTCATCCTCCTTGTTCAAGCAACTCGTAAGGTGCTGCAAAAATACAACGACTGTTATATCCAGCCTAATCTTACACCAACACAACTCGTATCCCTCGCCATTTCTCCCTCGTCTTGAGGTCACTAATTATCAAAAGTTCTACATGGGTAGTCATATATATGCCCCCCTCAAACAATTCCCATCCACTTCTGGCAAAGACATATCCAGGTCTAACAAGAAAAATAAAACCAATGAGAAGTAATAATACGTTCCGTACTTTGACGTTGAAATCATGTTTCAAATATTTCTAAAAAAAGGGGGGATTAACCAGCCTCGGGGGGCTGTTACCGCAGAACTTTATCTGAACGGTCTAATCTGCGGGAGAACTGAGGTTCGCCTGAGAAAGAGTCTCTGCAGAAAACCCTCTTTTTATAACTCCTAGTTAGTCATCTAAGAAGAAACTTTTTTTTCCCCTTTCGTGTCCTTGTGAATTTAGCCTCAGGTGGCTTTTCTGGACAGATGGATCATTAGGCTCCTCATTGTTCGCAATCCTGGCGGAGTCATTTTATCAACGCTCATCTAACTACCTGTTTACAAGAGCCACATGTCCCCCAAGAGACACAAAAGAATACTAAGTGGGAAAGAGAAAAGTTCCTTCCACCCAACTCTGGGAAATTGTAGTGGAAAAGCAAAGGGACAATACAGCGGCTTCATATAACACTTGCAGTGCAAATTTGTTCAACAAAAAATGCCGTCTGTAATGGTTTATCCACAGTCGATCGCAGCAGATCTGCGGAATTGAATGACCGACTGTTTCGACGCCTGGAACTTGGCGTCCCGATGCTTAGTCCACGTGACCACACAACTCACTAAAGCTTAATGTAACATGCAACGACTATGAACTTCTATTATTCTCCACACCACCGAAGCCTCCAGATCGATGCAAATATTGCCGGCAACCAATTATAAATTTTTTCTTGAGGCATAAGAACTTCCTTTTCTCCTAAAGCAATTTCACGATGGGCCTGCCACGGAGAAAACTGCTGGCAACAGTAGAAGAGACGTTAACTGTGCCAGATTCATTATCGGAAAGCCAAAAAATTGTTAAAGTTATCCGGGCCACAGGAAACAATATCTACTCCGTAGAGCTGCCCTCGAAGGAAGCCATACTGGTACAGCTGCCTGCTAAATTCCGATCCACCATCTGGATCAAACGGGGCTCTTATGTGCTCGTAGACATGGCCGCACTGGAGGAAAGGGAGAACAAATTGTCCGGAGAAATCATCAATATCGTCAGAGATGAAAAGGCATGGCGAAAAGCCCCGTACTGGTTTGTTTGACCTGTCCATATACCACTTGTTGTGCTGCCGCTGACCGCCTTGTACAGGCCCAAAGAATTTGCAAAATCTTCAACGGGAGGGGAAGATGACGATGAAGACTCGACTGTGGGCAAATTACCGCCATCTGATGATGAATATGAATCATGATCAGGACCGGCAGCATTCCGTGCAAACACCGGTCCGACTCTGGAGCCAGGGGCCGATTTCCCTTTTATAAAAACTAGATCGAGTGCACAGATTCCCATCAAAAATAAGTCGCAATTTCTTCCGCTAGAAATTCCCCAGTTAAGAAGTATTCTTAACCACAATCGACAATCAACAGATAGCCCACTTTAAACTACCCAAAAACTCCAACAAAAACTAGAACCACCATTTAATCCTTATGTTCCTTGTTTGAGAAACGCATTTGGTAACCATTCCAAAATACCCCAAAAACCTGGATTGAAAGACCCGAAACGACAGTGATCGAGCTCACAGTTGTGCTTGGATAGACGTTCCAGGCCCACTCCTGCGCGGCCCAAAGCAAATAGGTAATCACTGGGTGAAATCCGGATTTCCAAAGAAGGTAAGGCGTCGCCCATGAAAGATACGCAAAAAATTGATAATGCAAACTGCGAGCACAGAGCAGGCCTATTGCAAGGGAGCTCAACATGGTCGTCATGATGAAGGAGTTGACGATTTGAATTGGCAGCTGTCTCCCACGGACGATATTTTTCATGAGCTGTTCTGGGCTGGTGTTCAATTGACGGATCCAACAAAAGATTAAAAATAATCCGAGTAACGATGCATGTACAGCCAACAATGCAACCGCAAAGGTATTGGAGGTGAAGACTTTTTCTCCCACGAATCGCCAATTTACCGTCCATCTAAATAAAAATTGACGTGTGAATTCGAATGATCTTGAAATATAGCTCCTGGGATTTTCTTTGAGGAAAGGAAGAGCAAAGAGCACCTAGATGTAGATTGTCAGCCATAAAATGGGGATTTAACTGTACCTCCTTCCAACGTCACAGTCTCATATACGCTGAATCTTCCAGAGCCTTCCTATCTCCCAATTGTAGATTGAGGAAACGCACCTGTAGCCATAACGCAGTCGCCCCCAGGCCAGCAGCCCTAAGGATACCAACACCCAGCACCGCAATCACCGTAACAGCCGGTGCCACAAGCAACAACGTCATTTTAACTCCAACCCCCATAGACCACAATATGACGCCCGCAGACCACCGCCTCCTTTGTAAGGCAAAGATGCCAGCCCACAGAAAAAATGTGGCAATCCCATCATTGAAGAGTCGAAGGAGGAACACGCTGTGAAGTCGTTTAGACAACACAAGCAGCGGAAATAGATACGGAGGCGCCTTCACGAAGCGATAACTCCACATCACAATCACCAATGTTGCCAGGTATAAGATCGAAAAGAGGACCTGGGCGAAGAATATATCCCGACCGCCGTCGCAAATGTAGTAGAGGGCGGAGTAGACGTAAACGTGCCCAGCGGGGTAAACGAGCGGTCCCGTAGAGCCTTTAATGAGGGCATAGTCGCGCTCACCAGACAGGAAAAGGGACACTTGCTGCATGTATGTTGTCCAATCGATTTCTGTGTCTGTCTCCGTTTCAATGGTTAGTTGTATCCGTTGTTTCATGTCAATACAATTAATTATACAGCTGTGTTCTCAGGTTGGTTCGTACATGGAACTTTCCAAACAACGAGTGCGCAGAGGAATATGTCTGCAATCAGAAGCAATGACGAAATCCATTTTGAATGATTTGGGTTCGTAGTGACGTCGATGGCGCGCTCATAGATGTTCATCTTGCTATGGTGGGAAGGTTGCTATCATTATTCGGTGAGTTCCAAGTCCGAGGCCGAATTTAAATATTTAAGCTCAACCCTGACGAATCTGAGCTGGATAGATAATCGCGGTTCCAGTGGCAGCCCGCTCCCAACCATCCAATCAACCAAACTATGGTTTGGTCTCCCGAATCTTTTGTTTCTCATTTAAACGTTCTGCAAGCTGTAGTTAACGTGACTTACCACTAACTACACCATAACTGCAACCTATGCAGCAAAGGTAGATCACACGACTATTAATAGAGCTACCTAGATAAAATTCTATACAACAACAGCCTCAGAGGTCGGTAGTTTTCAGAGCTCCTGCTTATTTTTCAACATCTTCTACATCTCCTGTGACCCAGTGGATTCTCATGATGGAAGTTATATTTGCTTAAATATTTTGCCAAGTACGTTGCACATACACTATAGGGAAAAGATTGATACTCGATACGGAATCAAGATTCAAGAGTTCAATGACGGGATATGGTCCTTTGGATTCTTGCCATTTGGAAATATGTGCAAAGGACTTCTGATGGGGGGAAATGAAGAATAAAAGAGAAAGCAAAACAGGGCGAAAAAGAAGAAGAAGAAGAAGAAGAAGAAGAAGACAAAAGAATTAAATCTATGTTTCACACAGATATTACCTGTTTCCCCGACTAATTATTGAAATCGCCTCGATATCAATCATCGCCAGTCGCATGTATTTATCTCCCAGCGAACCAACAACCTTGGAATTCACCCCTCAAGCTTCAAGCTCATGGATCCCGCGGTAACGAAGCGCAGCACCAGAAGAAAGGCATTCCCCTCCCAGTTCTGACATTGAGCTACAGTTGTCTTGAATGGACTCGTACTCCGGAGGATCTTGAGGAGAAGATACCACAGAAGAAGCTGTAGAAGCACTGCCAGTGTCTTCGATCTCTATCACACCAAACTCGAGTATTTCTTCTTGGCCTATTGGTTTTCTAATATCCTCCACCATCAGGGTATAATGTTTCTCCAACCTTTTCGCCTCCAGTTTCTCCCGCCTCCGTCTTGCGGCCACCGATTCCTTTGGCTCGACTTTGAATCCCGGCTTGGAGTCTGATTGACGACTAAGCGGATGGCCACTTTGAAGGCTGGGCTGAGTGGAGCATGCAGAGGCGGTGTCGTTCCTGTCGTCGTTGTCGTCTCCCTCTTTACTCTGTCTTTTGAGGTTTCCCCCCTCCAATCTGTTCTGCAACTTTTCCTGATCTTGCTTGGGCAAACGCAGCCATACCCTGAAACCCTTGTCTCGAAATATATTCTCATTCCAGGTGCTTAATGTCGTTTCAAGCTCACCTTTCCCTTTTAGGCTCCGTCTCACCTTCTTCGCTACACGGCTGTTCTTCATGCCCTTTCCAGCATAGTATCCAGGGACAGCTCCCAGAACAGCCAGGGCGCCCGAGGCGACTATCCAAATACTGAGGCCAACTGACCAAACGGCATATTTTTCTAATGTTGTGAGCCTGGCGGCATGAGCTACATCATTGCTAAACCGCGTCCATTCATCTGGAGCGATGTGTAACTCGAAAAGTCGTTGGTTATACGGAAAACCTGAAGATATTTCCGGTCCAACTGTCGGGATCTCTAGAGTCGGGAAGAGCTCGACTTTCGGAGGGGAATGCGGGAGGATGCTGTTTTCGCTGGGAGGACGATCGTGTCAGTAATAGGATTGCAAACTAAGAAGATTCTCAGTGCCAACCTTGAATATTGCCGACGCAATGATAGATCTTGTTTCTGTTCCACGAAAGGGACAGTTGAAGGAATTGGTGCTGCCACCGGTTTCCGAGAGATGTGATGCATTTTCGAGCAAGAGCAAACTAGTTCAGGGGAGGGGGGCCAGCGAGGGACGGGTAGAAATCCACGGTTCCGTCAGATGCTCTTTTTCCAAGGCTGGAATGGTTTATAGTCTTTTCTGAAAGAAATTCGTAAAAAAAAAGGCATCAACTATGCATGTAGACATGCCGTAGTTACTGCTTTCAATCACATGCTGAAGCTCTATTCAACCATGGAATAGTCGAACAGTGCTTGGTGAGGTCAAAACCACGACCCTCCTAAGTAGTTCAATTCGTTTAAATATGAACGGATCGACCAACTTAGCCAGGTCAATTGGTAGTTAGGAGCAAAAAAATATCCCTGAGGAATTCATGAAAATTTTGCTCGACGTGACTGTGTCGAGGATCTCTCTTGCTTATTTATATTCGTGTGCTCACTCGACAAATCCACAGGAGAACAGGGCTGGTCGTATAGCACCAAATTAACCCTGCATTTGACAAAATCTTGATGGATCCGCATGGTTTATTTGACGTTTGTTGTTCTCTCTATTTCGCAGCTCAGGCATCTGGCCATATCAATTCCGGAGTTGACGGAGCTAACATTCTTCACGCTCCTTTTAAATTTCCCCACGATAGTCCGTCTCGTATTTGAAATCAGGACCCGGTCATCTCAAGTGCCAGGGATGGCCAGTAGATTCGTCATTCTTAACTACGTAATTCAGCGCTGAAACTGTCGCCATGCCATGAGCCTTGTAAGGCCTCGTCATCGCCGAGTCGTCCTACACGTCGAAAGCCTGGATGTTTGTCCTTACTCTGCCAATTATTGGAAGGTAAATATCGCGTTTGACCTGCTCAGCCCCATTGGTTCGAAATCCGAAAATACGATGCTGCGTACGTATAGTTAGCAAGGAGTCTCGCCAACGGGCGCGGAGAATTGATGTCTCAAACAAGCTTTAGCTTCATTTTTCATTCGTAAATGCGATTGGTCTGGTTTTTCTGCGAGGATTCTTGTTGTAACTACGCCGTAAAGAGTGGTCCTGAAGGAAGCTATGTTGCACATCCTCTTACTGATCTATTGTTAAAATTCGAAAGGAGTGAAATGTAACGCTTAAATTGGAAGCTTGGTGACTTGAGCTTGTTTTAAGACTGCTTGTGGTCAGCCAGGCAATTAGCATGTAGTTAGGATGAGGCGATGATCGAGCGATAACATTAACTATACACAGTCGGGACAAACAAGAATAAACCTGAGAAGGTTTAAATGAGTGCAGTCAAAGAAATGTCTCCATGCTGTTCCATTTTGGATGGGATAACGGGGGTAGCAGGAATCGGTCTTCGTAGCTATCAGGATCTAGAAAAAGTATAGAAGAAGCATATTTGAACCCTTGCTCTATAATATTCATTCATAATTGTTAATTTGTATATTTGCAGCAAAAGAAACGTTATGCAAGTCTTTTTCACAAACACTCATGGCATATAACTAAAAGCAATATGGCAAGTCGGAGGAAAGCAGTCCAAGCAAACCATGTCTGTACATATTTTTAAGCATTCATTCGCATATGGGAACGAGATGGTGTAACTCTGACCCAAAATATATCCGACTCCTGGATGAAATCATGACTCCCCTTCCTGACCCGGAATATCAGCACTCGGGATGCCATCCCTCCCCCTCCCGTCATCCCGCTTCTTAAACCCTAACAGCTGCCCGACCATAACCCCCGGTTTCGGCACAGGACATTCTCTCTTAACATTCGCCAAATTTTTCGCCTCCTCCTCCATTTGACGGAACTTCACAATCTCTTTATCCAATGAGCTTTGCAGTGAATTCCCCGCCATGGTTGTGGGAGGTGGTAGGGTTGGAGTTCCCTCGCTCTCGGTCAACTGTTGAGGATCGACGGGTTTCCTTCTTCGTTTGCGTATCATCTTCTGTTGCCCATCGGGGGACATGATCATTTCGGAATCCGAGAAGGCGTGTCGGGGTGCAGGGCAGGGGAAGACATGTGGTATGCCCACAATGACGAAGGAGGACATGAGGGTCAGAGTAAAGAGGGAGATTGTTGACCGCGATCGCGGATGAAGATAAGGAGGCATTGTGGAACGGTTTGCCAATGGGTTACTTCCTCCTTGCAGTTGCGGTCAGGAATGTCTCGTCATAGGACGTGGTATGTCTGGCTTTTGATGCCTTCGTTCTTGTCGTGATCAACCCCTCCCAGTTGTGCAATTGGGATATCAGCAGCTGCCGTTGGGACCCGGTGCTCGCAGGGGCTTTAGGTTAACACACCTCTTTGACCATTCAGCTGTCTAAACGAGATAGTTCAGAGCCACATGTTGTTCAATGGCTAGAAATAAGATTCGTACCTTGTCTTTCGGCTTGATATGTTTCTGGAGAGAGTTTGGCGAGTTTTGATGGACAAGGAGGTTATGTAATAACTAACTACCAAAAGCCAATCGAACCGCGACAATTAGCTAGTTGGTTTGACTATAATCCTGCACGGATTAACCGAGCCCCGGCGGCCCTTTTCCACAACGTATGTAGCCAGCCTTGTCATTGCTACGAACTACTGGAGATCACGTGCTCGCACCTTCCTCTTCATGTTGATCTAACCAAACCAGCCTTTCCAAGTTGGGTTTGAATCCTCTCCAGGAATCTTCCTTAAGGCCGATATACACTTAGGAGAGCCAATTCCTCTGGCATATATATAACCTTACAGAGTACAAAACACTCGGGAAAGCTCAGCAATCTAGGCTGAAAAGGGCCCATCCAGTTCCCCGACCGAGATGGCAGATTTCCCGAAACCCAAACCAGTCCGTGTTGATGACCCGCAATCCTCCAGAACACAACCCTTCACTAACTAAGGATAAGGCTTAAAACTCAGAGAACTCCTCTCATGTGTTTGCTAACGGTTTCTGCTTTAAAATCTGTTTTGGAGGGTTATCTCTTTGCCATTAGCCTTCCAATCAGATCATAGACACTTGAGTTTCCTGGTTAGCAACGGTAGACAAAGCACACATGATTGATAGGCATTGCATTTGCTCTTGTCTGGGGTCTTATTCTGGCATTTCAAATTAAAACATTGATAACTTGACTGTTGCATTGTACGGGAAAGAGTTTCCCTTATCCATGTATATATTTTTGTTGAAATCTCCAGCGAAGCATTCAGTAAGTTACTTGGCTTCAACTCTTCCTAGCTTAGAAAAATAGTTTTAATTCTAACATCCAAACCATCCTCGGTTACAATGCCCATTTTTTAAGTGATTCTCATCGGACGAAGCATATATGAGACTTCCCATTGGGAAATGGGTTTTGATAGGTACCTAGAGAGTTAAAAAATATCCCGTAACTGGTGCCTGATACCGACCTCGAAGGATCAGGAGATAAAATTCGCGGACCAATCACAAGCGCACAGATCAGATCAATCTAATCTTATCTTGCGGCTAGTTAAACTAGCCTAACTGTGTTAACAATCGCCCGTCTTATATAAGCTAACCGCCTCGCAAAACCTTGGAAGCTCCCCATTTCCCATTCCAACTCTTGCGAAACAACCCACCGCAACCCCCCAGTGAGAGTGTCCATGGTCATCTCCTGAGATAGTCTTTTCTAAGGAAGATGAGTTTCGTTCTCTTGCAGACATAGACCAGCCTCGCCTTCGCCTGTGGCCGTGCGCACGTCGATCCTAGGCTGTCGTGCTGAGATACTTCGTCTTTCCGATACTGGAGCGATCACGCGACTTGATCCCGCCTCGAGTTACCCTCCTCCTTAACCTCAACCAGTCGGGTAGGATACGAACAGACGACTGACAAGGCGTCGCTCTCCGCAAAGGAAAATTCACCATGAGCGATTTAGACAAGTAAGTTTGATGTCCCTCAACCTGACGTTGCTCATATATCGAAACTTTAACTAACCCGCCATTCCTCCCTTTATCCAGGGCTATTGCCCAACTCCGTGAATGTCGGCCCATTCCGGAACATCAAGTACGAGAACTCTGCTACAAAGCACGCGAACTTCTCATCGAAGAAGGAAATGTTGTATCCGTTAACGCACCGGTGACCATCTGCGGCGACATTCACGGTCAATTCCATGACCTGATGGAACTATTTCGCGTTGGCGGCGACGTCCCAGATACAAATTACCTGTTCATGGGCGACTTTGTAGATCGCGGCTTCTACTCACTTGAAACCTTCCTTCTCCTCCTATGCCTCAAAGTTCGATATCCCGATCGCATCACACTGATCCGCGGCAACCATGAATCGAGGCAAATCACGACTGTGTATGGCTTTTACGATGAATGTGTCCGGAAATATGGTAGTGCAAATGTTTGGCGTTATTGCTGTGAGGTGTTTGATTATTTGGCGTTGGGCGCGTTGATATTGGGTGCCAGTTCAGAATTGGAATCGTCGGTCCCGGTGGTGAATGACTCCACCCAGTCCACCATGGGTACAGGAGATGAAGAGATCGAGTCTGAAGTACTAAATGCAAAAGGCGAGGTTACGTATTCGACATATAGACGAAAGGACGGTAGCGATGGAGGCTCGCACGATGGTTCACATATAAGGGACATATCGCCGTCTAGATACTCATCTTCCTCAGCACCTGTGGGTACTCCAATGAGAACCGGTCCCGCGGGCACCAGCGCCACTTCAGATAGCATGGGTAGTATTGGGAGTAGCACCGGCGCCGTCTTCTGCGTCCACGGCGGGTTGTCCCCACTGGTAGACAGCATTGACAGGATCCGTCTTATCGACCGAAAACAAGAGGTGCCACACGAGGGTCCCATGTGCGACCTTCTCTGGTCCGATCCGGAAGAAATTGAAGGTTGGGGTCTATCACCGCGGGGTGCAGGCTTCCTCTTTGGATCTGATATCGTTAAGAACTTCAGCCACAAAAATGACATCTCACTCATCGCACGTGCCCATCAGCTTGTTATGGAAGGGTTCAAGGAGATGTTCGACGGTGGCATTGTAACTGTCTGGTCTGCGCCGAATTATTGTTACAGGTGTGGCAATGTGGCGGCAATGTTGGAACTCGGTGAAGATATGAGTCATGGAGGCACAATTCCGAGGAGTAATGGCGACTACGGACGGAGCTCTGGTGTTATAACTGATTTAAGACACCAACAGCAACAGAGAAGGATTTTGGGGCCCGGAAGGAGATATAGGGTATTTGATGCGGCGGCGCATAATACAAGGGGTATGCCGGCGAAAAAACCGGCAGCAGATTACTTTTTGGTATGTCATTTTTTCTATTCTTTACCTTCTTTTTTCTCCATACTGCCCTCTCAGTTCGTTTGTCGTCTTATCTGCCACTATAAACTTTGTCATCTTCATGGAAAACACTGTCATCTAACAAACATGCGTTAGTGATACCATCTACTACATCATACCGAAAGAGATGACAAGTGCCTTTTACCTCTCCTCGCTTCAGCATATGACCTGCAGCACTGCCTTACATTGTTGTACTTTCACCTCGCCCTTTTGTAACTTCATTTTTTACAATATACCCTTTTATTCTTGGTACATCCTCTGGTTTCTCAGCGAAAATTGCGTAGAACAACAAGTATTTAACCTCTGCAGAAGAGGGGGAGAAGGAGAGTGAGAGTATGGAAATGGAATCAAATACTCCGTTCTCATTTTCTCATTTTCCCTCATTTTTACACCATCCAACGGCAATATATATAGCTAGCCAGCCGAATCCAAGTTCGGAGTAACGAATAACAAAGTATAGCCCCAGCCAAACCACCCTTTCCCTGCCTTGTCCGGCTCCCTGATCGGCTGATTTCGCAACACCTTCTGCGCTGGCTGGAAAAAAAATTGTGGATGCTTGTTAGGCAGCTCTTGATAAAGTAAAAAACACACATATTACACACAATTATTAGTTATTAAAGGCTCTCATTTACTCTCATCATCACAGCTGAGTGAGAAATTATTGTTAGCTAGGGGGCTTTTGAGCCTGAGATAACAGGATGAATAGTTAGAAGAATAAGCTCTTACCGCATAGACAATCAATGATTGCTCTTCAATGTCTGGCAGAGTACGCGAGGGTAGATAATAAAGATGCGCTGCTAGAAGCGTGTCTATGAAAGGGGAAGTGCATGGATTGCTTGACTCCGTCCTCGAGATGGAAATACATGGATCTTCACTCGAGGCCAAGCTCGGAGCGGGCGTTCAGAAAACTTATAACAATAGATTGGTAAACCTGCACTTTATTCTTATTGCTTTCACTGAGAAGTACTTGAAAGTCACCTGGGGAGAGGTAGTTTAACGAAGGCTATTAATCTCTAGATTCCCTGCCAGAAGGGAAACGCCCGCCAGAGCAATTTTGGCACGGCATCAAGTTCTTATGTCCCCATATTTTGCAGGTAGAACAAATCTGAAATCGAGAGGCAACTCAAGCACGAATTCAGCGTACAGCAAGAGTGACACGTCTGGGAAGAGGGTATGAACAACCTAAACTATCCAAAGATGTTGGGCCTTTTTAGATGCATTCCAGATTTCTTGGGTGTGGCGGAGTCCTTCCGTCCGTTCCAATATAAAATGGAACTTCAAAACTTACAGTAATATCCCTCGAACAGAACGATAGACGGAAACGAAGTAAGTAAATATAGAAACATCTATCTACATATATATGCACAGGTTTATACATTTATATATATATATTGCTTGGCCAATTTACGTTTGAGAGAGGAGAAGAAAGAAAATGAAAACACAAGCAAACTCCGCTCCAGTTCCCCCTTACAGCCAAATAGACCAAGCTCACAATTGCATGTGAACAACCAAACAAAAATGCAAAAAATAAACAAGAACCATGAGAATGGGAACGAAAAAATGCAAATGGCTTCGTCGTGATCATGACATACCCACCGTTACACTGATATCCAGGCAAATGAAGTAAAAATGAAAGAAAAATTATGTGCAAATGAAGGTAAAGAAAGAGTGGAATTGAGGAAGCTAGCCTCTGAGTCCTTCATTTGGCCGTGTTAACATCTCGCCAACTGAGGAAGAGAAAACGAGTGAGTAAAGAAAAGATGCAAGACAGTTCTAAACTGAAAATTCAACTCACTTTCCTTTTATATATATAAACCCTCAGTAATATGATTAGTGAATATGCGAGGGAACTATTCGAAGGATACGTTTCACACCGGATATGCTTCCCTAAAACTTTTTCGTTTTTTATGAAAGGTGGAGACTGAGGTCAATAATACAGCTGACTGTGACTTTCAAATCCCGCCATTGTCGTTGGTAGTTGTTGTGCCGGATTGATTTCCTGATTATCACCAGCTCTCGTCTGAGATAATTGGCTTTCCTCCGTCAATTCAGCATCGTAGCCTGGAAGCGTCAACGGCATGTTTGTTATATCCATGCCAGTATTAACACTTGGCAGCTGCCCAGACGCAAAATTGTAATTGCTACCCCCGATCATCTGTTCAGTGTCCCCGAGAGCAACCGCTGGTATACTGGGTTCAAAGTCTAGGCTCGAACCAACCGGCCTGGCAGCACTATCCCAACCATCACCCCAATTGTCTAACCCCAATGCCAGGGCATTTTGATCTTTCAACCACCAGTCTTGGCTTGCCTCAATTAGATTTTCCATACCTCCTAGTGCCGATGGTTGCGGAGTGTTCATAACAGAGGGAGTATTGCTTCCAGTGGAAGCACCAACAGGAGACTGTCGTGTACTTGTCCAGGTATCATGGTTTTGGGCAACATTGAGGTTGGCACGGTAGGGGCTTTGTAGAGCTGGCACAGAGAACGTATGGTCGGGAACTGTGGCAGAGGGAAAGTGGGTTGGATGCGCAGTTTGTGGCTGCGGTGGTTGTGAGGGCTTAGAGGGCATCGGGGAAAATCGCTGACATTGTGAAAAGGAAGGATTCGGTATGGGAGGAGGAACAGTTGTTACAGGCACAGTAATAGCAGGCTCCGGGGGTACTGAAATGGGCTCAGGAGTTCCAAAGGTTTGTGGATTTTCAGGCTGCAGTGCGTCCTTGTGAGATGTGTCTGAATTTGATGGAGAATGGGCCTGGTCACAGGATCCCCAGGGCCCGAATCTTGTATGTGAGCGCTCAAGAATTACCACGGCTTCATTTGGCAAATCAACATGCCACTTCTGCGCCGAGATTTCCAAGATCCGTAGAGTCCGGCGGGCACAGAGCCAACTTTCCGCAATCTCTTCTAGGTTTTTGAGACCATGAATCAGGTCTCGTTTGGCGGTTTTGTCTGGAAGGTTAAGTAAATGAATTGTGCAAGCTGAATGTCCAATGTATACAGCAATATTGCAGATTTGGCGGAGTCCATATGTGCGTTTGTAAAATCGAAGCAATTTCGAAATCATAGATGCAGCCTGTGAGCACAGTTTTCTAGGAGATACATGGCTTGGAAGAGGAGAAGTTGATTTTGTATATTTGAGGAATGGACGGTAAAGATGGATAAAGAGCAATTGAAAGAACATGCTGAGGTTTTGTCAGTCGGGTCCGGTTTGAATATTTCAAGTCACTGTGGCGTTGTTTTGAAAGACTCACTGCATCAGCAATACCTGGGGTAGCTGGCCTTCCTTGGGTTCCATTTCTTTGGGAAGAACTTTGCGCCAGGCTTCTAACCTCGTATGAAGCTGGCTTAGTCGCTTCAACTCCTCTTGCTTTCCAATCTGCCCTTCCAGAGCCGTTGGGTGATAGAAAGAGGCCAGTAAATCGCTGCTTATCTCACATAGCCGCAATATACGAAGAGCAACTGCCCGTGTTCGAGATGGTTGAGCGTGCTCATGTGTGACGCCTGAATCTGTGTACGGGGACCACATTTCGAAATCTTCATCAGGGAAGACGTCAAACTTGGGGACACTGATACCAGTGGTTACAAGCTGGGGTTGACGTCCTAGGTAGTTAGACCAGCATCTGCAATTACGCATATTAGTCTAGTCAAACAAGCATTTGGGATAAGATATATGAATAAACTGACTTGTCGAAAAGGAAGCATCCCCAAAATGTTATTCTTCGAGCGTCGATATCCTCATCAGGAAGAACATAAGAAGTGATCCCCGTACCATCAACATTCAAACCTAAATCGTAAGCCATTCGGAAACTCATCCCACTATATACCCAGCCTGAGCCTTCTCGCCCGCAACCAGCCTCGCGTACTGACATCAATGCAAGCGCTTGCACCGTGCATAGCTTGGCCTTTTCATGTTCATCGTTCTCCGATAATAGCCTTTTAGCCTCCTTGAAAAAATGATCTCCAGCAGTTGCGGAGTCCTCCGGGTTTCTTCGTGCGGCTGGCCATGAGCTGAAGTGGCAACCAAGGGCTAGCATAGCATTAACAAGGAGCGGCGAGCAATGTTGGCTGGACCGCCCCTTAACAAAATCACGATAGAACAACTTTTTCGATAGGGTAGTAAAATATGCGTAGTGCCATGTAAAGTACATGGTCAACAGATGGCATATCAGTTCTTTGCTTTTTGTTACCTCGGTCCAGCCGGTAATGAACTCGTCCGCGTCTTTGACTGGCTCAAGTAGCCCAAAGGAGGTATCCGGCTCCTCTAAGGAGAGCTCTGCAGGTAGAAATATTAAATTCGAAGTGCCCCCGACAAATCTTACTGAGCCGTCAAGCACCAGTTTACTCATCTTCCCTGCTAGCTCAGACTCGAATTTGGGAACATCACTCGCTTCACCGACGTCCTCGTCCGTAAACACCTCTGGAACGGCAGTCCTCCTTGCCTTCTTTTCTCGCTCTAAAATAGTCTCTGCTACTTCCTCCAGATTTTCGCTCGACCGTATTTGTCGAATAAGGTCTGGAACATCCGCTTCATCGTAGCTAAGGATGGCCTGAACCAGTGTCTGGAGAGTGCTGTTGCGATTTTTTAAGTTGTCAATATCTTGCTTGTAAACTCCCTTTCGACGGTGGTCCGAATTGGGATCGTATATACCTAAGGATGGATGTCAATATCATATCAGATCTTGCGATTTCACTTGGTGGTACATACATGGTGTATGATATACGGATGCGCAAGCGGCGCAAGTAGGTGTGTTTCCATCGCACTGTAAGCGCAGTCCGTCAGTCCAATGAATAATCGTTGCAAGAATATGAATTAATGTGGACCTGCCAATACCTTGGACTTCCGTTTCCTACAGGCAATGCATGCGCTGCTAACACACCGTCGTTTCACTGCCGTTGCGCTGTCTTGAGATTTTAATCTCGACCTTGGCTTCCCCGCTTGAGCATTAGGTACTGATTGAATGGCTTGCTCCACCTCCCGGCTTTCGGCACCACTCCCTCCCGCCATTGATCTTCAATGCCCTGTCGGTTGAACAAATCAACGGCCTCGGGGCATAATTGGGGCGAATATACCAGATTGCGTAACGCACAATAGTAGTTGTGTTGGACAAATGAACTCAGAGAGTTGAGATAAAGTGGTTCTAAGTAGAAGGTTAATCAGTATTTGTATTCCTAGCTGTTGACGAATATCACCCCTCACTGTCACCAAGAACATGCAACAGCGCATCACAATTATGGATTAAATTCAGAACAAGCAGTGCGCAGACAGATTGATTCTTGTGAGACGGAAACCATGATGTAGAAGAGCTAGAACCAGAAATACCTAGACAATGGGCAACAACTTCAGTGATGCGAACGGCACAAGAGAGTGCGCGGAATGACTGTTTGCAACAGAGAGAAATCGTCATCAGATGTGGAATGTCGCTTAGGGGAAAGAAGGGCGCAGAGTCGTTCGAAGAAATAAGAAACCCTGCTTGGCAGTTCGTGGACCAGATCTGTCGAAATCTCCACTTATTCCAGATCTACGGCTACTTAAATAGATGGGATTAGTTACTATCGCCCGGGTTCAAGCACCCAAAACTGTGGTTTTTGAACTACTGGTGAGTTGCAGAGCAATGAAGAAGGGCGGTTTAGGCCACGCAAGATATCAGCCCACAGCACGTCCGTGGCAGAGCGAGAGAGGATATGGTTGAAATGATGAAGCAGGAGAAAGATACTTCCGCATTCTGAGGAGGCTCAATGGTCTGGAGGTCTCCCATCCCCGGTCAGGTGACATGGAAGCGCGTCCCCGTCCGCTTGGATCCCTGTCGTCTCTCCTGGGCAGTCTAATCATTCTCTGCGGTTGTTTTATGGGGTAGTTTCTCAAGAACCGTAGTAGCCTTGGAATGGATGGCACCCACTTTTTGAAGTCGAACGAGATAACAAATCGACTTTCGGTTTGGCGTTGTAAGGAGTCCCTACCTATGATCCTAGAACACGTGAATCGGGCCCCATCGAATCTCGCCTTGGACAACGGAAGTGGAATGAATCGCTTCAACGATTCTGATGGCAGCTGGTGCAGTTTTTTGGTAACTCTGGCTGACGTGCCCATGTATCAGAATTGTACTTCGCATTTCAAGGGTGGAAGCTAAATGGCGAAAAATAGAACGGGCACACTTGTTTTGATTGCGATTAGTTAATTCTTTGACCTCTGAAATTATCCACCTTTCAGCTCTTGACCGGTGGCTGCCGTGGAGATTTGCCAACAATCCGGGCACGCCATGTCTAATGCCTCCTGCCTCCGGTCTCCATACACCTGTACGGTTGACTGGGCGGTTGTGCCAGCGATTATGACACTTCCTGTCTGCTGCTGATTGCGTGTTAAAGCTCATGCCGATCACTGTGTCTGGCGCCGCTGACGCTGCATGCCAAAGCAGAAGAAGGTCTAGTTTGCCGGGAACGACTTTGACCGAGTCCTATCTCCCTGGAATCCCACTCCCATGCGTTAAGGGTGATCGGAATCGTCCTTCTGCTATGGCAGCCTTGCAGACAGATGAGTGATAGCAAAACCAAACTGGTGATTTTATTTCTCAGACATGAAATGCAATAAACTCTAGTTAACCCTTGTCCTAACCCCCTAATCTACTCCTAACCCTGGTGTTGAGGGTGGTGAAAAAGTACCACAGATGGATATCAAACAAACTGTTCTCCAGAATGTTGGTACCTTGCACATGACTCCGTACAGATCTCCGGTTTATAGGAACCATTATCCAGACTTTTAATGACTGCAAGCCCTGACGAGCCAATTCAATCATTCCCATTCAAATGCCGTAAAAAAAACTCTATGCGCCAGAGTGAGCAGCTGCCAGTCACCTCATCATTTTGCTCATTTCGAATCTCCAACATAAACCCAATTCGTTTAAGGTTAGAGTAGTTTGGTCCCTGAGTATTTATTTCCTCACTCTCAAGGTTTCAAGGTTCTCTGGTTTGAGCCTCGATCCATCGAACCAGCCGATGACAACGCTCTTCCCTTGGTTGAAGAATGGGTTTCAAACCCACGTTAACTACGCCTAGGCAACTTTGTTTTCTCCGCTTTTTCGTCCTTGTAGGCGTTACAGTACATCCAGAGATGTTCTCGCTCCTCCTTCCCCATTTTTCATCCCCACATCCAGAGCTTCGGTAACGGTAACAGGAGCAGTCTTCCATATGTAGCATGGTACGGAGCAACCCAGGCGCAGACATGCTTAAACCCTTTCGTTTGCTTTGACACATGTGGGGGATCATCCCATCCATGGATAGATGGACGGACCCATGGAGCAATGTTTTAATCAGTCATATTTTATCTTGACAATATCTTATCTTACCTGTCGTTCCTTAAGACCTCTCTGGGGTCAAGTATCCCACGTCTGCCAGACTTGCATATTAGCGTGGTTTCGTTAGTGTAATTTATTTATATTCCCTCGTCCGTAAGTTCTTGCTCAATTAGCGTGGTTTCAATCAATGAATGGACTTTTGCACTGACGCCATTCAGTAACCAATAAGATCCCATTTCATTTTTTATGGATGATAATTGGGTATTTATATCCACTGATTTGCGATTCCTCATTGAGCTAGCAGATGCGTATGGAATTCAACGTTCTCAGTTCCTTCTCTTCATGGAATCCACCAAAAAACTTATCAAACCATTGGTAATACTCCATATAAAAATTAAATCTCATGGACCAGCTAATTAATTTATTCTCTAGATCATACAAAAATACTTAAGATATGAAAATGAGCAGTTGAGGATATTATTGCGGAGATTCCATCATTGAAGTTAGTAAAATTCTATCAATGCAGCCTCTTTTGCAAGATCTAGTTTTCAATTTTCCTGTCAATATTAATATTGATAGTCTCTGTCATAGCTAGTCTAGAGTCAAAATGATAACAAAATAAAAGCTTCAATTTATTTATCTAACCAGGTAGTTGCGACGAGAATACTAAGCTGGAGATTAGAATGTGGAATGAATGAGCAACCAAATATAAAGAGGTTGGGGATTGGAGCAGATCAACCTTACTTCATATTACAAGCAGCTGCGCCGTAACATTACCCCCTCAGTTTAAAAGAGTGTTTGTCCTCAAGTAGCTATATTAGAAGTTAGAAAAGGTAAAATGAAAATCTATCAAGCTCATTAGAAGATCAATTACCTTAGCTATCATTTACTAAATTCTTATATGTTATTCTTCATATTTCACTAATATTAGAATCATTATCAGATCCATGTTTAAAGGCTAGGATTCATTTGAGTAGTTTGATATCAGTGATAATAAAGCTTCAGAAAATGAGGACGAAAATGACAATTTTTGACTCAATGATCATGGCGAGCAAGATGATCAGGGTGATTATAGTGAGCAGGCTGAGAAGCATGTGGTAAAGAAGAATAAGAGGAATTAGAAGCTAATTACTGGACAATATATAAGAATTCCTTATAGATCTGAAGGAGGTTTACTGCTGAGCTAGACAATTGTGAATTAATATACTAAGACCTTGATAGAATTGAGATATTTTTAAAGAATCTAGCCATCCTGGGCTCTGATCTCATAGAGAATGTGTTCAAACTTAGCAATATAAGCTGCCTTCTCATAAGCTCTCATGAACAGCTCTTTACTAATAACTCCTTGAATATATATCTAAAATTCAAGGCTTATCTTTCATCTCAATAATTGAATTCTGATTTATATCATCAATAGATTGCTTTACCAAAGCAATCAGTGTGTACCTGATGTCAGTATAAATGAAAGCTAGGTCAGCAACCAAATAAACAGACACTAAGATCATATTCTGGTTGCTCAGCATGTCAAAATATGCCTTTCTGTTTGAAAACTCAATGTTGGGAGGAATTCCATGAGATTACCCAATCTATGGACAGCGTGAATCCTTAGTTAGGGCTTTAAATTACTTTAATACACGCTAATACCAAAGTTACCTTAATTATTCAATGAGAAACCGTATAATATGCACTAATTGAAACCACGCTAATTGAGCAAGAACTTACGGACGAGGGATAGTACAATGGTAATTTATTGTTATTCAAATGAAATTGATAATTCACCGAACCGCACTTCACACTAGCCTAGTTAGGTAATATAGGATCATTCCTCCATAGTATGAAATTCCTCCCATATTGAGATTTCAAGCAGGAGCTGCCACCTACACATGCTGAACAACTGGCCGACCCAACTCTTTTTGCTCTTCTTGACCCCTTCTTTCTTTTATATTGACACCACAGACAAGATAGGCGCTTTTGGTAGGGAAACCAGGATGTGATTCAATGAAGAGGCCAAGCCTTCAGATGGTAGATCATGGGTTGAGCTAGCAAAGGCAAAGAGTTGTTGATAGAGCTTCTCTCAGAAGTCTATATGCTTGGGTAGCTAACTAGCTATAGGAAACTAGTTGCGATATGTAGTTCTATCAATCTCATAGGATTCCCTATCCTGATTTCTGGGTCAAACACGTTCATATTGTGATTATAGTTATCAATAATCAAAGGAATTGGCAATTCCTTGATATACTAGAGGTTTAACCAAGTTTCTCAGCTTCTTCCTTAAATGAAAGTTTCTTCCTTTGTGAGTTCCATGCTGACTGAGTGGTAGGTGAATTCTGTGGGTCTTTGATAGGTAACTGAGCCAATAGATTTCTCATATATATTTATATAAGGATTCTATCATCGAGTCATTCAAACAAATCCTTGTAAATATTTTAAACTATTTGAAACTACGCTAATTCGCACAAGTCTAACAGACAAGGGGATAGTTCAATGTGGGTTAGAGTAGACAAGTGGTAATTTTCCTGCTAATTTTTGACTTAACACTTAACTTCGCTTATTCAACCTAGCCCTTAAAACCTCATCTAAAATGCATATCAGATAAGTGCGCAAAACCTGAGATCCGAAGGGTAATCCTTTCTCTTCAGGATGAGTGATCAGAACTCGGGGCAGTTTTTGAACTCCTCTGGTCACGCTAAGCTATGGCAATAAAATTTCCAAATTGGGAAAGAATATTACTATATTTGGTTTAAGTGTTACAAGATGACACGGGAATTTACTTAATGCACAGTTTACTATCGTGTATATTTCACAACCTCTCCTGTAAAATGTATAGTAGAGATATATAAATGATTTTAAGGATCCGTTCTATTTTAAGTATGAAAAGTAGCTCGCCGTGTGAAAGTCACGACACGATAACAATGCAAATTCCTGGCTTCCTTACTAACCTTCCCAATCAACCGTTCCCTTCTTCGTTGACGACTATTACAGGTCTACGGCCTGACCCCATGAAAGTATGGGGCTGATCCTCTATGCGGGGGGGTATCGCTACATTAACAGGACCGGGCCCGTTCGTGGGTGATGTGGATACAGATAACGGTCTCTTATCAACATCGCAATTGAATCCAAAGGTGGGATGGGTTGTAGAGGTTTATTTAGTAGCAATCGGGGAGCCTCGAGATGGATTTCCGACTGGTACTCTTCCATGTTGGGCTCTCTGTACTCGTACATACTTTTCTTTTACGAGGTTTTCTTCTTAGCAATCCACAATGTCTCGAAAACTGAAAGTCTTGGTGGCTCAAGTGGGCTCAATCCGTATAGATTCTGACCGAAAAGAGGCTAAAACAGCTTTAACGACATTTTTCCCGCGACACATCTTGAGTACGGAGGAGGTGGAGAGGTTTTTTGAGAAAGGCGATGACATCATCAATAGCGAAAATGTCAAAAGGATTCTTCGATGCGGCGCAATCGCTTGGTAGAGATGTCTGCATTGGGTACGCAGATCTTACCGGAGAAAGCTATAAGTTAGTTAACCAGTTAGTTAACTAACGCATGCGTGTATGACTCAGTAAAGGAAGGGAAGGTGATTAGATTAGCAAGAACCGCGGAACCGCAAAATCCACCTTCCTAGCAACGATTGAGCCTTTTGATAACTAAACCCACTGTTATTAATTAGTTAAGTAGTTGGAAAAGGAAGTATTTTTAGGCTTCTGCGCATTCCGGACCCCAGGCCTCGTATAAAACGTATAAGATGGCCGATATTCGAAAGGGGTTGATACGGCTGAACTAGAAGAGATAAGTTAATGCACGAAATAGGAAGGCGGTGAATCCAAATAGGTAATTAGTTAGTTAAACCCCTGTGAGGGCCAGAATGATCATATAGAACTGGTATCAGCGAACAGAGGATTTCACCCCCCTTTTATAGAGGTTGGAGATGACTGATATCCTTATGCTGATACTGCTCATTTTACATACAAGTCTAGCCTAAAAGGCAAACAAAGACATAACAATAAGAAAGATATCCCTCGATAGGAGAACTATCAAAGTAAGGCAAAATTCTTTGAGGATATCCATCAATAGGAGAATTATTGAAGAAAGGCAAGTTCTTTGAGGATATCCATCAGTAGGAGAACTATCAAAGAAAGGCAAATTCTTTGAGGTGAAAAGCAGCTGGTAAGCGGCATGCAAACGCAGCATGTTGGAACCATGGTACGGTCCGTCACAGGCGCGAGATATCTGCCGCGCACCGTATCTAACTGACCCGTCTTACAACCTCGTGCCCGGCGCACACTGGAAGGATGAGGCAACAAGTGCAGACACGGGTGGGAAAAGTGATACAATCGTCAGCATGATGATATGCAATGACCGCTGCTGGCCGGAGTCCCGGCGTGCGTACGGGTTGCAAGGTGTAGAGCTTGTGCTGTGCGGATACAACACACCCGATTTTGGCCCTGATCTATACGGGGAGCCGAATACGGATCCTCAAACTGCGAAAAAAGAGGCATAAATTACATCAAAAGCTTGTCATGGAATATAATAGTTATGCCAATAGCTGTTATTCTATTTCTTCCGCACGGGTGGGTTTAGATAATGGCAAGTATGGGGCTCATTGTGGGGTCTTCAATCGTGAATCCAACTGGGCATACAATTGCGAAAACAATGGGGACAGGGGATAAGGTGATTGTGGCAGATATCAATCTTGCGATTTGCAACATGGAAAAGAAGACGGTGAGTGATTTGTCTGCTCTTCCAGTATTTACACATGGGGAGCAGGATCCCTCCAGCGTGTTTGTGAGAAGGGAATGGTTTAACTAATCTAATTGCCTGGTTTTGCAGGTTTTCGATTTTGACCGGCATAGTAGAATTGAGGTGGAACTATGGCATCATATCATCGCAGACGGGAGTGGTTGAACCACCCCTCCTATATATTGCAGAACCGGCCCCGCATCAACTTTCACAACATAATGGAGTTTTAATGCCATCTATATCATAGAACAAAGACATTGCAATTGTTAGACACCGACATTCAGTGGTATAGAGATGCTGGTCACATTTCCTGAACCTGACCTCCCCTCAACGTTCGCAATAGATCCTCCATGTATTAGTGAACCAATATATATAGATATCATCAATTTCCAAAAAGATATCCAAGGTGTACTAAATATATAGAATAAGATTTGCACTGTTTCCGGTTTATTACCAGAATAAAAATAACAGTAGAAACAACAATATTTTGATCATGTTTAGTTGACATAGAGATAACCATTAAATAAAGTTGTCTCCTAACAGCACTTCCCAGCACGGTTTTTGGACCACACAAAGGGAACTTTAATAGGCAGTCATGATGCAGTGAGATAACGGGCATGCGCATGTTGTGCTTCTGCCAGTGGTTGGCTCTCTTTTGCTCAAGCTAAATTTACAGAGTGTTGATTGAATTGTGAGACGAAGTTCGTGTTGTTCCGTGGCACCGTTTGGGGTAGCCTATCCATGGATGAGATGGCCCTTTATTAGGTCGGTGCATTGGTGGAAGCCGAAAACCTCCATTGAATAATAATAATACGGATACCAGAGAGACCACGTAGGTAAACCCGTAGTTCGATGGCAACACGGGCATTGAAACTCATCTTGGGGACAGGTCACATGTTGACTTGAAAACGGGCAGGATTTGGAGCAAAGTTTCAGTGCTTTGTGAGCAGTTTAGTTGACCCTTATGTTCCAACTTAAAACAGGCTCCCGAAGAACAAAAGTCTTCTTTACTTTGGAAACAAAACCGTGGTTGAGATAAATCACACCCGCAGCAGACACTGAATCTTTTTCCCAAGTTCCAGAAAAATTATTTTGCGAGGCTCGTCGAGGGCCTCAAAGGGTGTATTCAGTTATGTCATGGATTAGTCAAGAAATCCTAGCAATATTTCTAGGGATTACATTTGGCTCAAAAGGATTAGTCAATTAATGTCCAATATACATCTCAGTTGAAAAGCTTTTGAAGAGAACCGTTCAGCTGTTGTCGCAATGGACGAAATATTTCTCCGTGGCTGGATGATGAAATCCTGCCAGTCGGAGTCCTGGCTGAATCGTGTTCAGCGTAGCACTATTCTACGGAATGACCTCGTGTGATACATCGTGTGATTTGCCAACAAAAATTTCTCCTGGTAGAGACAGAATTTATTTATCTAGCTCATCCAGCGCTGAAAAGCTGGTCATTGATCCGTGGTTCATGGTTCATGGAGCGTGGAGCAAGGTGTAATGGGAGGAATATGTCGGGTGGATTGCTCCGTAGTTAATTGGGGGGGGGGGGGGTTAGCTTGGCCGCGGAGCTCTTGTGCATTCCGCTGCAACAATGCACCATGATGCAGAATACGTTGTGCTGTTGTTGATGTTCAGTCGTTTTGGTTTATGGTGAGATTACATGTCGTCGATAGGAATACGAAATAAAAATACCCTGTTGGGCAGCAATCGACTCCCTCGTTTAAATCCAGACAGATATTGGTGGCTATGGCCCTTAGAATCATCTGGGGGGGGGCCAATCATCGCGTCTCCCGTTCAGCCAGCAGCGGCTAGTTAAGTGGAAGGTACCGCTCCACCGTTTGGATGCGGTGACGATACATTGCCCTTTGTTCTTACAACCTAAATCCGGAATACAACCAACCCTTTCAACCTCGCCTTTCCGTGAAACCTACGCTATCCTCCAATCCATTTTCTCCCTCTCCCGCCTCTTCTCGCCCACTTCCTTTTCCTCTTCCTGAATATAACTATATTCTTGAGTTCGGCTTTTGCTCCCAAGCCTGTGATGTTTATACTTGTCCCCAGTCGCCTCTGCTCTGTCGTTGTTGCTCTCCGCCGCTATGTTTTAAAGAGTTGATCCGACACGAATACGGAGGAGTTAGTTCCATTGATTGTATCAAGGACTGCTCTTTAAAGTCATCTACACCTCTCTATGTTGTAGTCAACAGCTTATTTCCAGCTTCAGTTCCAACCATCACCACCAAAACGCTATAGTTCTTCAGCCTGGCCCGGGGAATGGTCATGAATCGTGACGATGGTGTTCCGAACTTTCCATTTCAACTCGAAGATCCAAGATACAGCAGTATATTTGCAGGATGAAAAGGCAGTCCCTGTAGTCTCGTCGGGGACTTCTGAACCATCGTCGATAGCCTCCACAAACCCAGTTATCGTCCCTCCAAGGCGGAGTCAGAGACCTCCTCCTCTCACCCCCCTTAAACCCAATTCTAGCAGGAATAGTTTACAAGAAGTGGCAGAAAGGCCTTCCCGTTCGTTGGCAAGGCCGGAAGTTCCCGTCTCTACGCGTGTTTCAAACTTGCTAGAAGCAACTGCAATTCCTGTGCCGCGGGCCTGGACGACTAGGAAACTAAGTCGATTCCTGGAAGACAGCAATGAGGAATATCTCAACTCTCTGCTCACGGATGGGAGGAAATCGACAGAAAGCCCCAACACACCCGGAGTTTTAGTAAATAGGCCACTTCATGTTCTTCTCAGTCTTCCAAACGCGTTGGAGGATGACGGCGTACCAAGCGGTCCCGAGACTCCCACTTCTGTAGGATCTCTATCCTTACATTCCGTTCCATCTTTGGATACTGATTACAGTATCTCGACACCGTCCAGTGATCCAGCAACACCGTCTTTTTCGGACCATCGAACACCCCTGATACGGAAGCAGAGACTATTTTCACCCACTGAGGCTTGTCCTCTAGATCACCCTCTCCTTTCGCCTTCCATTTGCGAAGAAGATGTAGAAATCGATGAAACTCCCTCTAAACTCCCCACGGATGATTCAAATCCATCAAGGCCATTTCCAAAACTGGGAGCAACAGTGAAGTCAAATCTTACAGCCTCTCTTCGAGCACTCAAATCAGCTGCTCAAAGCGTTTCGAACTTCACAGCTCCTTCAATCCGATCCGAAGACTTTCTTACTCTATCTTTCTTCTCTTTTTCTCCAGAACTGACGGATGATAAACACCCTGTTCCAATGAAGAATCCACCCTCCCCGGCACTCCGGCGCTATTTAAATCCCTTTACCGCCTCGCCGGCAAATTTTCATACATACAGCGAATATCCGCGGGAAATCCGGGACCAACCCAGCAGATGTACTGCTTCAATTCAAATGGAGACGTACAGTTCAGAAGTTGTGAAGAAAGCATGCAGATGTAGCCGATTTTCCCTGACCGGTGAGGATGATGGCGCGACTGATGACGGCGATGATCAAAACTTTCCACAGCAATTGCCTGTCCAACGCCAGCGTGAGCCACGAGAGAATGGCGATTTCCTTCGAGTGGTTGTTTTGGAAATGAACATGCGACGTCATGGTAAACTACGAAGTGACATCCCCGGTCGAGCCAAAATATGGCTTCCTCCAAGGAAAACGGTGTCAACGTCTGATGCTGCCTATATGAGTGTGGGATGTGGCTCTGCTGGCTACAAGATCCCACGAAGGTGGGTCGCAGTATCCGCAGATGAATGATTTTACTATTTTCTTCCGCATATTTTGTAACGTTAGCAAGCGTCTGATAAACGTTTCCTTCGTCTTGAGCGGTTTTGTTTTTTATTAGTTTTTATTTTGGCATTATCCCTTGGAAATACTGCGAGCTCATTTTCACCTCCTTTTGTAGGTTACATTGGTGCTTCTGAGTTTTGGTGGCGGCGGTATTGGATTGGCTCCACTACATTATGGTGATCTTACCATAAACGACTGGACAGGAATATCCTTCACGGAATATCCTTACACAAACCAATAAATATATAGTCCAAATAACTATAGATGCATGCTCTATTACAATATATTATTTGAAAAAGCGGTCACCCCATCTCACAAACTCATAAAAGTAAAATTTCAATGAGATATGATTCGGAAATGAATCGCAGTACTACTTTACTTCCTTCAGGCCGAAGGAAAAATGGTATCATCCCATCGATGAGTTTGCCCGCTCATCACATGAGTGCGGCAAATCGTAAATCCATCAACATTTGAAGTTTCGAGTAACATCTATAACTTATTCAAAATTCCAGGACATCGTCTGATCATTATTCGGAGCTCAGCTCCATCCATATTCACGAAACATGGGTCCTTAGTTAAATATGGGTCCTTTAGTTTAAACATGGTTTATATGAACCATCCCTTTGCTCTTTGCCCCCCGTAGATGAAGTCTCTAGAGATCGCGAGGGAAAAAAAAAAAGAAAAGGTCTCCGTATGGATAATAATGAAGATAAGATTCTAACGCCACAATTTTCCGAGGCCCATCGTTTAGTTTCACCGGATTCGATTTATATCCTCTTACTTGGGTGCGAAGCCTAAACAAATGGTAGGTATATCAGTTTTCCTTTTTGAACTTTATATAAATTACGGAATAAAATACAGCAAAACGCAAGTAGAAGGGGGAAGAGAGAAAATATTGGGGGAACGGTAGGACACATACGATCTTCGTCCACCAGAGTTTTTTTCCTCCAACTCTCCTCCACCCACTCCACCCCAACCAGATGCGGAATACGCTTATTGATCCCAGTGCGGGTTGCAATTTTCCGCCTGATCGCAGAAATTTCCGTTGCCATTATCGTTTTATCATCGGTATTTGCGTCGATTACGATATGCGTGATGCGTGGGTCCGTCATGTCGTTGTCGTCTGTTATGACCTGGCCGCCAGCGAATTTTACGAGATTGGAGGCTAAATAAAGGCATTGAGGAAGACGCTGTTTCTCTTCTTTCAAATTATCGTTTTGTAGTGAAGAACATAGTGATGGTGAAGCAGGTTGTGGCGCAGCAAAGTAGATGACCAGACCTTTGAAAAGCCACCCTTTAGAGGAGTTGTTGAAACTTGCCGTTTGATCTAGCATGTGCCCGATGTGGGATTCCAGTTGGGATATGCTAGAGAAAGTTGTATTAGGGACTGTGGGCATTTCATCAAGGAGCTGTCATTGTTTAATGATATTTTAGTATAAAGTTCCTGCGGCCGGGTCATTACATGCAGGGTAACGGAGTTGGAGAAATACCTTTGTAAGTTCCGAGACGTCGACGTCTCGAGCATAGCTATCGGAGTACTTGTCTACATTTCCGGCAATTTCCTCTTCTTGATCTGCAGTTGTGAAGAACATGTGTCTTATGAATTTGAGATAAACTGGTTAGATGTCTTGTATACTGAAAGAGAATAATAAAGAACATCATAGACTAACTTTGGCTCCAAAGGGATAAGCAGGTCTGGGAGACCTTGGTCTATTTCGTTCTGTTTTAAACAGTCAAAGAGCCATGATGGGCGAACTACGTTTTCCTTTGCGTTCTTTTGTAGTGAAGCTACTTTTACTGTCCCTAGGATGTGTCAATATCAATCTGTTAAGCTGTCTTTTTTGCAGACTCACTGTGATCCGCAATGCAAATTGTATTTTCAGCCGCTGTGTTCGTCTGATACAGTTTGCCGCCATTAGCTTTCACAAGCTGTTCGAGCTGAGCCTTGGTCTTTTTGGGTTCTTGCATGGACTCGGTTATGATAACTAGACAGAGTGTGAGCAATTCATCTAGAACCCTGAAGAACACATGATACACACAGAAATTCAGCCCATCGAATAGCTTCCCGGAGGGACTAGCATATGCAGTTTTTTTACCTCCTTCGTAGCCAGCAACTGTCAACGGCTTCTTCGTAGATTTTTTATGCCGGGGTCTGCGAGTATCGTCAAACCTGAGCTCCTTTTCCTTCACCTCCTTTTCGACGTTTGACTTGAAATCCATAAACTCCTGTACTGTCAATGCACTCTGCCAATTTTTGTCCATACGTAGTCGTTTAAAACGAGGAAATCGCAGGGTGAGACCAAGACGGAATTGGTCACTTGGGGTAACTTGTGCAGCCTTTATACATAGCACAACCGAATCCTCGGGCTTTATCCATACATCAGGACGTTCATGCTGTGCATCATCTCCACCAAGCTCAATATATTCAGTGGGGGGTCTTTTGGGATCCCAATCCATCCACTTCCCATCGGTGTGATGGCGAATATTGGCATAATCAGCTGCAGTGAATCCTCCCCCAACCTTACAAAATGAATAACATTTTGTGGGTTTATCTCCCTTTTTGGCGTGCGCACCATCAACCCTTAGTCCACATAGAAAGCTTGATAAAGCGCCGCCTCGACGGCCGGAACCGTAATATCCCCCAACGACAACGCAGTCAAGAGACTCGCCAAACTCTGTCATATAATCAGGTTTCACCTTCATCCAATCATCATGGCGCTCGTTTAGTCGGTAAGGGGAGTTGGGGTTCTTCAGCACAAGACCTTCAGATGCTTCAGCAACAACTTTCCGAAGTAGAGGTTCGATATCAGCTGTGCTGCGACCTATTTCATAGGTGTGTATTTCAAAACGACGATGTACTGGAATGACACTTGCTTCAAGGGCTCTTCTGCGGTCCCGTAGAATGTATCTTGTGAGGGCTCGACCGTTCAGATATAGAATATCAAATATGCGAAATAATGGTCTCTGTCCTGTCGAGCAGGGATTCCTTTGTTCTGCCAGTGCGGCTGTCTTAAGAGCGCCAAACGGAACAATCGCATCATGCTCCGGATCCCATGTGATCATCTCTCCATCTAGAATGATGCTTTGGACTCCATCAGCGAACGCATTCTGAAGGTGTCTCGTGAGAGCACCATTCTCGTCAAGCAATCCATTTCCGTACAAATAAGTGTAGTCTTTTGCCTTCCGAGACCAAAAGACAAACCTCTTCCCTCCGGGTATCGAGTCGTCTGTTTGCATGTGAAGCTGCATACGTTCTCCGTCTAACTTTTCTTCAATCCAAAATGTCGGATCGTCCTCAGCTAGCCTCATCCTCTGAATCATGCGGTCAAACGACTGCACTTGAAACTGCGCGAGCTGCGGTTGAAAACATTGCATCAGCGTGACTTTAGCCTCATCCCCTTCAAGACGGACATTCGGATTATATAGCTCCCAGCAAACTCGGCGGAGACTGCTAGAAATGCTAAACAGTGCTTCTGCATCGGGATGCCACAAATTGAAGAGCGTCCGTTCTGTGGCACCAACTTTCATTTGCCTCAAAATAATCCGGATAAGCCACATCAACTCCTCGGGATTCATCCTTCTATAAAAATATTCAAGAATTGGGACCTGTTCATCCTCTTTCGAAGCTGCAGAAAGTTTATCCAGTTGTTCGTTAACTTCCTCGATAGTCATGTCGCCCACCTCAGTCCTCATCGGCCGCTTTGATATGATTTCGAAACAACGACCCGCAAAATCACCCGCCATTCTGCTTGCGAAAGTCTGCCCGGGTAATCTCCAGTTCAACAAACTAAACCCATCTTCAGAGTTCTTATCAATTTTCATAACTTTCACTAACAGTTTCCCAATGGCTTTCTCCTTCAATCCATACATCGCCCTGTACCGATCCTTCTCTGGAATGATCAATCGAAAGGCTGGGAATACATCATTACCTACTTCCTTTCGCCACCGCGAAATAAATCGCTGAATGATGTCTCTTCGCAACTCTTGGGGGCTAAGATGGACGGCTGCACCAAGTCCATGTGGTCCCACTTTCCTTCGAGCAACTGCTGGTCCAGTTGGACGCTTTTTGTTCTCATTAAGAGGGTTAAATAGAGTCAGAAATAAGTCATGGAAAGGCAGAGTGGGAGAGTGGTTCCGAGGGCGATTCGGATATCTGGGGGAAATGTTTAGGCAATTTAGTCAGGTACAACTATATAACCAAGTAGTTTAACTATTTGTATATGAAAAAGGAGCTTACTTCTCATCAAGGTCAGCTTCAGTGTCAGCTCCCTGTCGCACATCATCTACCTCGTTTTCCACATCCGAATCCATTTGTAGATAATTAAGGAAATCTGCAATCCACTTGATTTTCAATGAACAATATCTTTCTCAGGTCGACAATGTGTCACTTTATATAACGCGAGTTTCTAGGCAGCACAATCACGAAGGTTGCGCCAATGCACGTGACCTGATGTCATCCTGTTGCATTTAAGAAACCCCGATGGATTCGTTCAGAGAACCAAATTTCCAACATTCCACATATATTTAATCTTACACAGGCTCCCGAGGTAAAGTGTGCAAGCATTGAGGAAATATAGTTTGAGAAAATTTTATAGCTTCGCAATAGGGGTTATTTCTTGCGTGCTCCAGCTATTTTATTTTTTTATTCACTCAATGCTGATGTTTGCAATGCCTCCGTTATAACTACCGCCCAACATCCTGATTAGTTGCAGCGAAAATGGAGTAGGTGCATTAAATATAATTGAGAGAGTAAATACTGAATAACCGAAACAGACTGATATAAGCCAGATATCGTGTCCGAATACAATTCCATGTCGTGGGTTTTCTTCCCTAAATTGGAATTCGAGAGAGGCCAAACGGCTAATAACGAGTTGGTTAACGGTTGGTTACTAAGAATGGGCACTGTTAACTAACTTAACTAATTAGTTAGCGGAATGGAGCCGCCACAGGCTAACACACCAACGCCCAGCCACCAGGCATCCAAGCCTCCAACTTGCAGCCCTCCCAAGAAGTGACAACTTCACACCTTGCCTCGACGGTATGGTGCCCTTTGAAACAACCTCTTGGGTGTCCTTAGTTTCACGTATAAAATGTTTCCCACTTTAAGCCGGGAAAGTTTCTCCATTTAAGGGAATCTAATGTCAAACACGACAATCATATTTTGATGACAACGTGAACTAGATTACACGCGCGAACAGAGAGGGTGACGGAATATCAAGCAATGATAGGCCAGTAGAAGGTGCATTCGAATTCTGGAATATTTTCTTGGAGAGACGTATCAAGTACGACTACATATCATATTCCCTAATGACAGACGATCCAAACCGAAACTCCGGTCAGAGAGCAAGATCTCAAAGATCAAAGCCACGAGTCCAATCAAAATCCCATGTTCAATCCGCAGCTCTCCTTGGAGCATCACTAGCTTTCGATGGACAAGGAGCGAATAAATCCACTGCCGCTCAAACCCCCAACAGCCCAAGGAATCCAAGAAGCCTCGCCACAATGCGAGCAGTTAACAATAGATTCGAACCCGAAGACGATGAACCCGTGGAGCAGGATACCCCTTCCCACAGTTCTGCAGGGATAGTAGAAGACCGGATTAAACTCTTTACTGAAACTCACGATCCTAAGGCATCACAGGCTACATCTAGCCGTGGTGCAAACGTGCCCCGTCCAGGGATGGCTAACCCCCAGCATATGGCTGCGCAGCTGGCCGTGGGAAGATCTGCAGTACGAAAATCATTGACACCGTCAACCAAAGAAAGTGGAGGAGTTAGTTCACTAGGCCAGAAAACTGATCAAGAACCAGGTCACCATGATCGTATCCCCTCCCCCAGTGCATCCCTAGATCTGGTAAGACGGAATGCTGCTGGATCAATGTCAAAGCTTGATGTGATTCTGGACATGCCGTTGGCAGATCCTCGCGTTAGTCGGGCTCTTGATTCCAAGCTGTCGGGTACATCGTCAAGGAATGAGCGCACAGGCTCCTCCCTATCTTCCAGTTCTTTCACTCAGGAGATGCCACACACACCTCCCGCAGAACACCAAAGGAAGCCTTCTTCTACACAAGACAAACAAGGTCCACCATTACCACCAAGGCTGCCTGCGATTTCAATAAATAAGCCTCACCCATCTCAGCAGGCTGTCCCTGCGAAAAATCAAATTAAGATGTCTACAACTTCTGAGGATAAATCAACTTCACTATTGCCAAGCATTCCCACGAACAACTCTACCGCCACAACAAGGTCCACGAATATCCAAACTACGACACCAACTACTAAGGCTCCGCCACCTCAAATACTCCATTCCCGGCCTTCCCGATCTAGTTTACTACCGCAACACTCAGGAGTGTCAGACAGCTCATTGGCCGGGGCGCTAGCAGCTTCATCAAGAGCCCCATCTCCGGCCAAAAGGAATCCTCCACCGCCGCCACCGCCTCAGAGAGGCTCACGCTTTCGTTCCTCGCTAAACCCAGTACATAACATTCCAAAGGGCGCCTCCCGAACACCCAGTCCGCCCAAAGTAATAAGACAAACAATGCGTCAAGATCCCAAAACCGATGACGAAGCCGAACGACGGAAAAAGCTCCAGCGGAACCGTATCATCAACACCCATCCAAACAAGCATCGCGAGGGCGATCGAAAACGTTGGCGAGACCGAGTCACTGAACGGGAACGGAAACGGTATGAGGGGGTATGGGCTGCTAACAAAGGCCTGCTGATAAATGAGATCCGCCGGCAGGGCAGTTCTAGCCCATCCCCACAAGATATGGTATTGAATCTCGTGGTACGGGATATATGGACTCGTAGTCGACTGCAGCTCAGCACACTCGAGCACATTTGGAACCTTGTTAGCCACGAAAATAGGAGAATGCTCACTCGTCAGGAATTTGTCGTGGGGATGTGGTTGATCGACCAGTGCTTGAAGGGACGAAAGCTTCCAGTGAAGGTTTCGCAGAGTGTATGGGATAGTGTGCAGCAGCTACCCGGCGTCCCAGGCCCCCCATCCCAGGCTCTCCGTAGTTAGAAGGTAAATCCGGATATCCAACACGTATTCATACATTGTGTCGGGCGCCAACCCACCAAATGCATGCATAGGTGGATCAGCTGTTTGCTTGAATTTAAAAACAATTAGTTACATATCAGTTATTTTTTTATTTTTATTTTTATTTTTATTTTTCAATCCTTATACACCATATCCTAGAATCTTGGTAGTTGTTTCCAGCCACTCTCTTTGATATATTATTACCAGGCATATTGTCATCGAGTTCGACATACTTCTCGACAACTACATATATTAATTAATGTTTCCGTTGCAAGCAAACCCTGACAACAACAAGCTACGGACGAAGTCACTGACTGGATCGGAGCGCCAGCGTCTTGGCGCCGATGAATAAGCGCCCGGGCTGTGTTGCTCGATCACTTGAAGATTCTACGGACCACTGGAGAGCTTCTATGTGGCTATAGTTACATCGTTCACTTGTTGGTTCTGGTCTGTGTTGTGATCGTTAGAGGGTTGCAGCGGAGCTCATGACAGCGGAGGCATAACTACTGCTAGACATTGATTTGGCGCACTGTTTCCGGGAGAGCGGGAGCCCCAATCACCTAGTCTTGTCTTCTCCCTCCAGGCCCACAATCCTTGGACGGTAGACGGATCCCGGCCAAAAGGATCAAGATGGCTTCCCTCCAGGATAGCCAAAATAATAGCCAGACGCAATTTGAAAATATCCAAAAACAAACGGCGCGCAAAAAGTTTGCAAAACCCCCTGTCAAAGTAGCTTGTCTGTCTTGGTGAGTGAATTCCAACGGTTTAACGTAACCACCACCACCACCAACAACCACATGTTTGCCTTTTCTTTTTCCGGCTTTCCCCACCCACACTTTGACCTGGACTCTCTTGAGTAACATCAAGTTCCCATTTAGTCGCGCGTCCAGGATAAGATGCGATGGGAAAGCGACCTGTTCAGGGGTACGTGAACCTGCCTAGTCTAAATGATGTTGAGAAAACTAGAATACAAGAAGAAGAAGAAGAAATTGGTTCCATGTGCTGAGAGTCAGGATTTGAAACTCAGTGCGCCAGCAAGGGAAAAGAATGTAGCTATCTCCCCAGCAAACGGGGAGGCCCACGGAAGAAAAGAGTAGGACAACCTTCAACCTTAGGCATAGAATCCTACGATAAAGCGTGGCCTTCAAATTTCCCTCGCCTCCATGAAGGTAATCTATCAACTCTCTGATTTCGATTAACTTGCACGCTTGAGAAAGAAAAAGATTATTTAATGGCCTGTCTACCTAGCAGTGTTTAGCCAATTCGACTCGATTGCCGTTCCGGGAGCTGGAATCAGACAACTTGACTTTCCCACCGATGTTCAGTCCATGTTTGAAGACTTATTTGTGCCTCCGAATGTAGATGCTTCACGGACTCTGCTGGGCGCCCCACCTGCTCTTATTCATTTACCCAACCCGGATCCTCCACGGGTAAGGTTATACGGCAGTGAAGCTGATATGTGAGTTACTTGGCCAACTTGGCCATTTCTAGATGATGAGGATGGCAAGATGATCCATTTATCATCCTACAGAAACTTTGTTGGATTCCTGCTAAGTTTCCCTCCCAGATTAAATGGATATTATATATTCATTCATCAATATTTTCCAATATTCCCACCGTCACATACCCCCATCACGGCGGACCGGCCCTTAGCTTCCCCAGCGAAAGTTTCAAACCCGAAATCCACCACCGAGACACCTTTGAGCTACACGCCGAGATCGCCCATCACGCTAGCAATATCAGCAATACTGGCACTTGTACCCCATCCAAAAGACCCAAACCCATCCTCTCCACAGTCAGTGGAACTTCGAAGGTTCTATGCTCAATTGTTCTCACAAGCAGCTTTTGAAAGTGTTGAGAGTGAATCTGAACTTGCGGAATCCAGCGCCAGTCCTTCGCAGGCCCTCCTTAATGAAAATCCTATTCCTAAACGATCAGTAGTTCACCCTCACGTCCCCGTCGAACTAGAAGCCATTCTAGCACTTCTAGTTCTTAGTGTTTATGAATATGCGCAGCGAGGAAATCTAGCCAAGATGCGTAATCGTGCAGGCCAGGCTTATGTTATGGCGATGAATATGTCACTGCATGCTTTGCCACCAAAAGACAACATTTTCGCTGAAGCAAAACGGCGAGCTTGGTGGATGACGGTTTGTAACACCTACCTACCCTCATACAAATCATTTTGGCGATTTAGCTACTAATAACCGCCATAGTATTACTCCGTTTGTCAAGGTTCAATCGTGAGCACGACTGTAAGTTTTTAACCAGAGAATAGGAAAACCTTCGAACGCTATAGCTGAGATGTGTCTTTTGATTAAAGCCTCCTACAATCATTGGCGACGACAGACGTTTTGTTACCCCCTATCCACGCTTTGCTTCGGATCCGGATGTAAGTTGGTTTTCTATACCCATTCATGCTCATATTGATCTGTTTTGTAGGGCTGGTCAATCCTTCTACGAACCCAGCACGCGCTTCTTGCTGCAACTCAATTCGTCATTGAGCTCAATCAAACTCTAAAGTCCAAAAGCAATATGTCGTACGTCTACAGGCGGATGAAAGAGCTTGACACTTGGATTCGGCCCGTTTTGGAGCAGGCCAACGCTCCTCTGCCTATGTCTTCCGTGGGAGATATGAACGACTCAGAGGCAATAACTGCGCAAAGCATCCGAAAGATATCGCTTATCAAGCTTTCCAGGTAAGAATTCCGAACTTCATTTTCTCTCCTCATACATATATGTATAGATGTATAGAAGCACGTTTTGACATAAGCAGCGCACATATCAAAACCCACCGTTTCCGAGCATTCTTAGACATTCCGATTTTCCTTAAGAAATACTGTGATCTTACCTGCGCAAGTTTGGGTTATCCAGAAACGGGATCCGATACACAAGAAAACTCGAGACTCTCTTGCTGTACCAGCCTGTCGGATGTTCCAGCAGCCCCTCCAGGAGGCCAATCACTACCATCTTGCTCTCCAAATTCTGACGCATCCGGCGCCACTACCTCATCCTCCTCCTGGATCATGGACGATGCATTTCCATTCACAAACCAAGAGTCAACTGTGATATGTCTAAACTCCTCTCTCAGAATCTCTCAAATGTTCTACAGCCTTCCTTACCCAAGACCAAGATATGGTGATATCACTCTAGAGAATAATGCTCCATCGCCCTCAGATGATGGCATTCCAGCTCTTCCGCGCACCATGCCATCATTTGCCTGCTGTGCAATGCAAAGTAGCTATGCGATGCTCATGCTTTATTATAAATTACGGACCTCAGACCAGGCCAGTCCCGCTCCACACAACCCACTCAACACTTCCATAGAATTAGTGAGGAAGCTCAAGCACGGTTTGGAAAATGTGATTGGTGCTGTTAGAAATTATTCAATTGCATTCGAAGCACTAGACGGAATGAGAGGTAAGTTGAACTCTTAGAAAATCCTTTGCTTATGCCCAGAACCTAACTGTTGCTGTTGCAATTTGTTCCATTAGAAGAAATCGAGGGTGCCTACATGACAGCTTTTCCGCAGCCATAATCATCAATTCTGAACGTTCCACGATCGATGTTGTTCTCCTCGACTCTGCTCTCCTACGGCTTATCAAACCCTCAAGCGAGCAACATGTTTGAAAGACCGATTCGTTTCCCTAGACCAGTTATTTTGACAAGCGTGCCTTGAATGACTTCTATTTCTACAGGTTTCTTTCGCGCTCCCTTTTTTCCCTTTTCATCAACCGGATCTTAATGACATCACGATACGCTTTCGTTTGCTGTCCCATTTTCACCTTGCTATCACACATACATATATCCTTCCACATATACAGCCATTTTCGATCTTTTTTTGACATATTTGAGTCTTAAAGCTACCGGATTCTTTTATCCTTTGAAATCAAGTCAATACATTCATTCACATTCCGTGTGTAACCACGTCTCCCTGCTGTGCATTGCCTTTTCGTCTCATACGTATATCCCGCCAAACAGCGGCATCGAATTAAATGTGAAATGCGCATGAGTGTCGTGCTCTTTTATATCTCGGGTTTTGGACATCCTCCTTATATCTTTCGTCTTTCGTTCAATATATTTTTCAAGTCGCCTACGACGTTTTATTAGCAGCAATACATACGAATATTTCTTGGTATTTGGTTAGTTTTCATTGCTATCAAGTTAATTAATATGTAACGCCACGGCCAGACTCCCTCATCCAACGAGCATAGTTTACTAGATAGAAACAATCTTCCAGATGGACACAATACTAATAAGCAGATAGGATCGATCTATAACATCGCTAAATGCAACGAGGAAACATGAAAAGGGAGAAAAAGAAAGCATCACGTAACGCCAGAAGAATAAAAGGGATCTTAAAGCTTTGATCTAATGCCTTCAAGACGAAACTTGACATCTTTCAGCACCTTGCTGGTAGGTTTCCAATCATCAAAGAGTCTTAGGAGCTCCGCGGTCTCCTTAGACAACTCGCGTCGCACGTATTCTTCTTCGAGGACGCCCCGCATTGCGAACGGGAGTATGTATGGATTTGGAGTCTGTGAACGATGGAATTTTTTTATTTCGAGTTTGGCGTTGGCAACTGGAAGTGTTTCGAGGGTATATTCGACAGCGAGGCTACAGCAAAGGAGATTTTATCAATCAGGAAATCCTAAGTAAATCTCACAGAGTCCTTTTTGGTGATGATTGCTTACAGGTAGACTGTTTCGTCGTCATATAAACGGGAGTGCCCTTCGCCAGAATATAAACTCCCAGCAAGAGGAGAGCTAAGCTCCCGTATGAGTCCGTGATCGGATATTCCTAAGTTGCGTAGCTTCATTGCGAAGCCCACGAGGTGTGACAAACTGGATGAAGTGAGCGCGTTAGTGACTTGTGTTTTTGCACGGGGTATTTAGGGAATAACTTACAAGCTTGGTGCATGGACCCTACCATCCACAAAGACAGCTCTATATATGTGAGGATGGGAAACGGAGGCAAACGTAGATGACTAGGAGAATAAAGGCTCAGCGGTCCACCTCACAGATTATAGAAATGTTTCTCAAGCACATACCTCCAATGAAACCAACTGATCATCTATGCTCCCCACATACACTATCCTCACGCCAAAGTCAAGTGCTGCTTCAAGTGCTGCGATGTGGTCCTGCGAGACTTTGCTATTCGGATTCGCAAAATCAAATAATTCACCAGCTGATCCACTAATCCAGCGGGATCGATAATCTGGAAATGGCCCCAGATTGACACCTGCCATCGCACATATACCAATACGGGCGTAGTTCACACAACCAAACGCTATCAATTTCGCAACCAACATGGTTGCAACTGGAACACCCTGGCTATGGCAGGCTACCATGATGAAATCGGCTTTCTTGATGACTTCGATGTAGTCGAGGAGCAACTTCCAGAGTAGATCCACTCGTTCTGAAATGCGCCCCTCACCTTCAAGTGCTATTTTCTGTATTTCACAGGAGTAACTACGAGATTCAGCCCATGAAGAAATGGCCTCAGCTGCTAGAGTTGAAAATTTGACGGAGGTTCCTGTTGGCTGGCCGAGCACCGTGCGAATTAACGGAGCAGGGAAGTATCCATGCACCCCGATTGCGAGAGCACGTTTGATACGAGGTGGGTCAGTTGTGCGTGTTACATGGCAGTGCTCAGTGTTCCTAGTATAGTATAGTAGACGACCAAGCTGCTGAATAATACCGGGCTTCTGTTGGATGGGGAAGCTGTCCCTAAATGTCGGAAGCACCTGATTGGGAAACACAATTTTAGCCGTTGAGGTGCTGCCCAATTTGTCTTTAGTCGGGCCAGTAGACTTTTTAGTGATACTTTTGGATGGCCCGTCAGATGTTATGGATTCAACTTTGGGCTGTTCACGTTGGCTGTCTGTGTCTACAGACCCTGGTTCCGGTTTCGATACTTCAATCGACGCCGATGATTTATTTTGAGAACGGGTTGAATCCTCTGCTGACTCTAGCCGTGGGGCACTTTGTTCAACATGCACTGTCGAGGTCTCTCGATACCAAAAGAGCCAACTGGATGATTTTGTTGTGTTGGTAGGTGCACTGGTCAAATCGGTATCCTGGGGTTGTGTATCGGCAAGGTCGGCTTGGGGATCTATAGCATCATTCTTTGCCGTAGAGTCTTGAACACCCGCACATTCTTCGCACTCCTGCACGCCGTCCAAGTCGTTTCTCGGCTGGGGAGGAGCAGGACATCCACCCCACATAAACGGCCATGATCTCTTTTTATAATTTGGTGCTCCGGAAGAGGTAGAATGGGCATCGATTTGGGTTGCAGGCATTTCCGTATCTTTTTGTTCCGGTTCTTCCTCCACTTCTTCTTGTTCTTCTTGACTTGACGATCTAGGCGCTTGCGTTACAACCTCACTAGGCAGTTCTATTTGATCTATTTTGGAAGTGGATTCAACCCCAGTCTTTATGAGCGGAAGCCAGCTAAGCCAACCTGAGGCTTGATTTGACTGACTTTCTTGTTCTTTTCTCCCAGGACCATTACGATCTGGAAGGATATCACCCACAATCCTCTGGCCAAGTTCCTTTGCACTCAGGCTGTTTCCGGAAGTTTTCGGCAGTATAGGTGTCGAGTCATCTTTGATGCCATCCTTTTTGCATACATCAATAGTTTTATCAGATTCCTGCATATTAGAAACGGCGGGAGAGCTAATTGAAGCAATATTGATTCGTGTGGTAGCTACTTCTGCCGGCAACGACCTCATAGACCCTCCAACCTTCTTCGTAAGTCCGATAGAGGGCGATCGGACGGACCTAGCTTGGCTAAAAAGCGTTGGAGTCGACTGTTTGCGTTCTAATGTCCGAGGTCCTTCTGCAGAAATGCTCTCACGCGCAACTTCGGTCACCGCTGGTGCCTTAGATTTGCTAGGCCAAGGTTGAATATACCAGCTCTAATATTAGGCATCTCTTATCAGCGAAAGAGATCTTTAACATAATGGGGGTAGGTATATGGGCTTCCTACCGCGGCTTTCTCCCTTGGCTTGTACGGAGTCCCCGTATCTGTGGCAATTCCCGGGTTCATGCCAGCATTCAGCAAAGCATGCACTGGCTCTGCGTTCTGGTTGGGAACATTTGGATTCACCCGCTTTCGCAATCCCGCGGGAGCCATAGATAAGCAAAAGAAGGCATAACACTGGGGAACGCTATATTGGTATGAGAAACGTCGGAGAAGTTGATACAAATAAGGGTGAGTTGGAGTGGCAGTTGGAGAAAGATAACAGAGAAGAATAGTAGTAGTAGTAATAGCCTTCGTCTCGCTGTCCGTTGATGTTGTGCAAGTGTCGGTGTTTGTTTGCCTTGGGCAATTGATACAAGATGACGTAAGGCAACTCTTATCCCGTGATCCAGATCTTGGCTGTGGAGTTGACTAGCCTTGGCAACTGCCACCGCCTCGTGTGGGAAAAAAAAATACATACATCCGAACAACAGCGGCAGAAAAGAAGACGACGGGAGCAGAGTGAAGGTGAAGAGAAGACAACTACGGAGCAAACTGGAAATACAGTATCTTGCAACAATTAATCTGTTCATCTGGGCTGATTCGGTGGGATGAGTCTTGCTGTCTTTCTTTAGCTCATATGTTACTGGTCTGATTGATCAATTCAACCCAAGTTAAGTCATGGCCATCCAGAAAAAGGTAAATTACCCGATGCCAACATATACCCTTTTGTCGCGTTCTAACAGTGGCTATTAGTATGGCAAAGGCCGTTTGGATAAATGGTATAAGCTGGCGAAGGAGAAGGGTTACAGAGCTCGTGCTGCCTTCAAGTTGATCCAGCTTAATAAGAAGTATGGCTTCCTAGAGAAGAGCAAAGTACTCCTTGATCTTTGTGCTGCCCCCGGAGTAAGCTATTGAAATCAGTTTCCCCCCTCCTTCCCTACTGATAACCATATTCTGACGCATAGATCTGGGTCATATAGTCTTGGTGTCAAGTTGCTGCGGAATGCATGCCCTCGCAGTCTCTCATCGTCGGTGTCGACCTCGCCCCGATTAAACCAATTCCCAAAGTCATTACTTTCCAGAGCGACATTACAACAGACAAGTGCCGGGCCACAATTAGACAACATTTCAAGTCTTGGAAGGCAGACACTGTCCTCCATGACGGTGCGCCAAACGTTGGTGTCGCTTGGGTGCAAGATGCTTTCTCACAGGCAGAGCTGGTGCTTCAGTCTTTAAAGTTGGCGACCGAATTTTTGGCCCCAGGAGGAACATTTGTTACCAAGGTGTTCAGATCGAAAGATTACAATCCCCTGCTGTGGGTATTTAAACAGCTATTTACGAGTGTGAAGGCCACAAAGCCCCCTTCCTCGCGAAATGTTTCTGCTGAAATTTTCGTCGTCTGCTTGGGTTTCAAGGCTCCAAAACACATCGACCCGAGGTTCCTTGATGCGAAACATGTCTTCGCTGAATTACAGGACCCTACTCCAAATTACGAAGCAAAAGTGTTTAATCCGGAGAAAAAGAAGCGGAAGAGAGACGGTTATGAGGAAGGAAATTACATACAATTCAAAGAAATCCCCGTCAGCGAGTTCATAAACACTACCGATCCAATCTCCATTTTGGGAGAATACAACAAATTGAGTTTTGAACAGTCTACAGGTGCAGATCTTGCTTTGGCAACCCTCAAGCGGCTTCCCGAAACAACGAAGGAAATTCAATTATGTTGCGAGGATCTCAAAGTTCTAGGAAAGAAAGAGTTTCGTAATCTATTGAGATGGCGAATAAAGGTACGGGAAAAGTTTGGCTTAGCCGTGAAGAAAGGGTCTAGTAAAGCAGTCGAGAGCGAAGAGGTGGCTGAGGTAGAGCCAATGGATGAGGAGCTGGCACTTCAGGAGGATCTCCGTCACTTGCGCGAGAAAGAGACATCGAGGAAAAAGAGAGAACGACGCAAGGAAAATGAGCGGAAGCAAAAAGAAATAGTTCGCATGCAAATGCACATGACAACCCCCATGGACATTGGTACCGAACAATCTGGACCGTTCGGAGAAGGGCAAATGTTTTCTCTCAAGCCCATCAACAGGACTGGTGCAGTAGCAAACATAACCAGTGGTAAAATGGTTAATGTTGAAAGTGAGGACGAAGAGGAATCAGCGACCATCGATGAAGAGTCCGATGAAGAGGAGGACCGTTTAGAGCGTGAGTTAGATGCTATGTATGAAAGATATCAAGCTAATCGGGAGGAGCGAGATGCAAAACTGCGTGCTAAAAAAGCCCGCAAGGACTTTGAAGCAGAGGAGTGGGAAGGGATATCCGATTTCGAGAAAGAAGGCGATGAGGAGACAGATAATGATGCTCCTAGATTGGTCCCACGACCAAGCGTTGATAGCAAAGGCTTGTCCAACAAGGCCGCAATGTTTTTCGATCAAGATATATTTCAGGGATTAGGAGACCTAGGTGAAGAGGACGATGAGCAGGATGATGGCGAGGGCCACCAAGATGGAGATGACATTGCGGCTCCCGAGCAAGATAACATTGAATCAGATGAAGGGGATTATTCCGATGCTTCAGAGAGCAGCGATGATATTCCCACAACCCAAGAAAAGCCCAAGCTCAACAATAAACAAACCGAGAAAAGGGGTTCCAAACATGAAAAGGCCACGAAAGACAACAATATCTCCCCTGATTTTGAAGGAGAGAAACAAGATCCTCGGAAGAAAAATGGACAACTTGGTGAGCTCTCTTCCCCAGACCTGTACCAAGTATTGAAAAAGTTTAATACTAACTATCCCCTCCAAGATATCGACATAATAACAGCTGAAGCTATGACCCTCGCCCAACAAATCGTTACTGGCGAAAAAACATCCCATGATGTCGTCGACGACGGCTTCAACAAATTCACCTTCCGCGACACCTATGGGCTCCCGGAATGGTTCCTGGACGATGAGAGCAAGCACTCCAAACCACAACAACCCATAACTGCCGCTGCAGCGGCCGCAATCCGCGAAAAGCTTCGCGCCATAAACGCACGCCCCATCAAGAAGGTGCAGGAAGCCAAGGGTCGCAAGAAATTCAAGGCTGCGAAGCGGTTGGAGAAACTGCGCAAGAAATCTGCACTGCTAGCTGAAGACGAGGCTATGAGTGAAAAGGATAAGGCGCAGACGATCGCGCGGATGATGAGTCGGGCGATGAAGAAGAAGCCAAAGCAGAGTGTGAAGCTTGTTGTGGCCAAGGGATCTAACAAGGGTATTGCTGGTAGGCCAAAAGGCGTGAAGGGGAGGTATAAGATTGTCGATGCGAGAATGAAGAAGGATGTTAGAGCGGAGAAGAGGCTGGCGAAGAAGAAGAAGAAGAAACATTGAGTCTTCTTGGTCATTTTTCCAAGTTTAGGAGGTGACAAATGACACGCGCGTTGCTAATATTTATGTTGTGCATGTACGGTAAACTTCAGGGAGGAATCCTGGATATAGGTTAGATGAAGTATAAAATAAGATATGTTAGTTTATATTCTGGCTTGAGTCTAAGTATGTTGTCTTGACAATATGCATCTACGCTGGTGAGTCGGCTACTCATCCAATATTTATGCTGTGAAGGCATTTACCCCCCCCCCCCCCCCCCCCCCATACACCCAAAACATATAATATGCTCGTTTCATCCATCCATCCATTATCCATTATGCAAAGATCATTATGTAGAATGGATCAAATGAAAAAGATAGAAAAGGGAAAGAAAAAGACAAAGAACAATAAATACATGGACAAACACCTTTTCCTTCCTGTACGTTGCGCTCATAGATACCTCTCTTATGTTATCTCCCGCGTCTTCCCTCAAAAGCTCTCCAGCTGAGCGGCTCTCGACGGACGCAGCGGAAAGTGTGACGATGATGCGTGTCATGATGCTAGGCAAATCGCTGGGTGTTCGAGATACTGCTGGTGACCAGGGACACGCCTCTTTGCTAGTGCAACCGCCTAATAAGTCCATGAGTTTGAGTCTTAGGTTTCGCTGGCACTTCGTTTGAGCGGGTTGTCCATGTTATGCCCCAATTGTTGCTTCCCGAAATTTCTATCTAGCATTCTATCATCTACATCAGATTGAAAATAAACAAATTTTATGTATACCACTTTTCCAGAGTGAGTTTTTAGAAAAAGAAGAAGGAAATAGAACATAAATTCCATGGCCTCCAAGATCGCTCGAAACAAAGCTTTCCAAACATTGCTTTCATTGCATCAGTCCTCCTTTCCCCCCTCATGATGAACCACCAAGAAAGAAACGAACATGACAGCTGCTCCAACCCAATATAGCGCGCTAGAGTACTGTCCCTGGATGAAAATCTGCGCCACAAGCGAGAGCGGGATGGTCAGACTGAGACCAATAGTGACCACCAAGGGTGTTGTTAGAAGCATTGCATACGCCCAGAGGATGTCGGAGACGAGTGAGACAACGGAATTTAGCTGGTACATAGAGTTAGCGCTTAACTTGTTCACAGAGACTGGCACGAAAATGAGAAGAATCAAGAAAATGAAAAAAACATACAACTACAATTAACCATACCCGCCCCGTGGGCGGTAGTTGGAACCTCTCCCATCCCGCCAGGTGCAACACAACTAGAACCGGCCACAGCAGCACCGTATTGATGAACCCCACCAACCCGAAAAACAGCACCATGTTAACGCGACTCTCATTCCCTATCTGCTTCTTCATCACGATCGTATACACGCCGTACAGTATGGCGCTGAAGGCAGCCATGGCGTCTCCAACGGCGATCTCACCCGTTGACTTGTGTGGGAAGGAGCCACGGTTTTCGTCATTGTTGCCCGATAGGTCGACGCGGGAGATTAGGATGATTCCTGTTAGCGAAGCCAGGACGCCGAGCAGTTTGCGGAAGGTGAATATCTCGACGCCGATTACGGTGCCGAATATCAGGGTCCAGACCCCTAGGGGAAATGGGAAATCAGTGGATTGGTAACATGTAGAGTATGGTGAGAGGGGTAACTGAGAGGACAGTAGCAGGTATTAGATATGTAGCAGTCAATATAATACGTACCACTTGTGGATGTTAATATCGTCGTGCTTCCGACGGTTGTGAATTGCAAGCAAGCTAGGGCAAAGTAGTTCGCCTTTGGGTTATCAATGTCAGCAATTGAACATAGTACGAAAAAAAAAAAAAAAAAAAAAAAAAAAAAAAAAAAAACTCCGAAATGGATGTCTGGAATTTATAAGTTTTCCGCATACCAAAAACTAAACATGCCAGTTAGCAATCGATTGCTTCTAAACAAAACAGCCATATAATGGAGAAGCGAGAGGGGGTTTGTCATCCTTACCCACACCAAACAAAACTCCAAGCTCAATCTCGCAGTGGCTTTAAATTCCAGTTTCTCCGACATCGGGTCAATCTTATTGTCGTCGCCCGTCTCGACATTGTCCCCACATAGTTGATGGTACCTACCTACCGGTCCAGCATCCGCGCTGGCATCAACGTGATCATCCGCCGATAAGAGCGGGCGAGATCCGTCCGTTATCTCATAGGAATCAAGGTGGTCAAGTAGGGTTCGAAACGAGGTAGCCTTGGACAATTTCCCAGCCCTCCATAGGCTAAATATCCTTTGTCCGAGGATTACAAAGAGGGGGATGATGAAGAAGGAAGTATTGAGATATGTGACAAAGAACGGTTTGGAGTAGGTGTTGTCTGCTAATATAGTCTGCAAGAAGAGTGAGAGAGAGTTATAGAGTGCAAATATTTTCTAGAGTAAATGTCGAATGGGACCATGAAAAAAATAACTCCTGAAATAGTGCTTTTACCCAGTAACTATTTCAAGGTTCGATTCAAATCAATTCAATCCGAGAGAGAAAGAAACAAACGTGATGTAACTCACGCTGGCCAAAAAATTAGAAGACGTCCACAGCACAACCACGATCAACAGCAATGTGATCCCCAGCGTCCGTCTTGCGATTCCTAACGGTAACCGGGAGGAGCCAGCATTGCTCCGTTTCCAGTCAGAATTCTCCGATCTTGACCTAGATCCAGATGGTCGAGAAGACGTGATGCTTCTCGAATGTCCATCGTTGACCTGCATGTCCTCAAAGGAGCGACGATAGTGCTGCTGCTGCTGCTGTTGTTGTTGTTGTTGTTGTTGCTGCTGCTGCTGACCGTCTCCGTCGTCCCCTAGCCGCAGCGAAGACATATTGTGCTTGGAAATTCTTCCAGCCCTACTGTCCTAGAGGGATCGAAGAAGCAGGAGGAGGATAGCCTCTAGGAATATATGTATTAATTGTTAATTCGGGGTCGCTTTCAACAGCACGGAGAGAGACAAGCTTATGATTTGTGCTGGCTGTTTGTGGGACGCGTGACATGGGTGAAGATGTAACGCTGATGCATAGTGAGCAAGCAGGGTAAGGCGGGGGATGATTTCTCTCTCGAAGAGAGATGGGGCATCCGGCTTAAGCTGTGCAATTCGTTTTGCCGAGCTCTGCATCAAGTGTGCACCGGGATGGAGGTCGTTGGAGAGTTGGAAATAGTACTGGAAGCTGACTGGTTTCCTGGTCAGCAGCAGCGTATCCATGGATGACATGGGATGTGTGTGGTTGTGTTGGAACTCGGGGGATCTGCAGGCTCCTGGGGTTTTTCTACGGAGAGTACCTTGAACTAGTTAGTTTAGTTAGGGGGCTTGACCTTATCTAATCTGATTGACAAAAGAATCTTGGAACCGAGGCTCGTTCCCATAAATAATAACTCGGGAAAGGGGAAGTGCGACCATGTTAATTTTAAACTGCTGGTGAGTGTTTGATCCTACCTATTTTCGGCCCCGCGATTTTCGCAATGCTTGAGGTTGAGGGTATTGTAGTATTATATTATATTACCCCCAAGTTTCCAACACAACCTTGAAACCGTACAGAGAATTTCTAGACACACTCTCTCGCGCTCGGTTCACGTAAAATTTACATATTGTTATTGTTATTCTTTTATTCTTTCTTGGCTGTATGCAGTCTGAGACTATGAGAGGCCCAATATATGTCATTCTTAGATGAGGGGTTTCAACCAACACACCCATTTTGATGTAGTCTCAGGGGAGCCCTTAGGGCCCCGTATCATCAATTATCTACAACTGACCTTATACTAACTAGGAGAAAGTCTTGAAAAACATAGGTGCAGCAACTAGATAAATCATCTATACACAAAATATCAATAGAAACATGTTGAAAGTCCTGTCAATCATGAATCATTTCTATTGGCCAGCTACCCTCCCCTTGTGATAAAATGTCATTTTGGTTGAAAGGTGGGATTTGGACTGACAACCTTGCGTCTTGGCAGGAATGCTCCAACAAAACATTCAGTGCCTACTTGCAAAGGCCTTCTGTCGACCTCCATAAAATTGACGGAACTATGAACAATTCTTGCAACAATCGCTCAAAACCATGCGTGAGACCCTACATACATACAAAAAATAAATAAATAAATTTAAAAAAAAAAAGAAAAAGAAAAAGAAAAAGAAAAAGATACCAACAGGAAGTCCGTGCTTAGCCCTCTAGCATACGACAAATCCATCTAACCTGCGAAATTTCACGGCAGGGAGAGACTAAGGGCAGAGGAAAACGAAAGAAAAGGGGAGCGTCGTATTTAGCCAAAAATTGATGTCAGGCCCAGAGGAACAAACCAGCAAACAAACCCAACTTAACCATGGCAGCCAATGAGGCGTGAGAAATTGGAAAATATTGAGCAGTGGAAAAACTAAGAATAGCAATACCGAAGTACTAGAAAACAATGCCGATAACACCGACTTAGAAAGGGAAGAAAAAGTGGTTCAAACCGATGCCTTAAGGTAAGGAAAAGATGAGAAATGTCCCCACTCAACAAAAGCTTGGGCCTCCTTCCACATCTCAGACTCAGACACAGACACACGCGCTTCAGAGGAGGTCTCGGGACGTGAAAGAATTTCCAATGGATGGTTCCGCAGCACACAGGTAGATGACAGTCTAAGTTGTTAAACATGGGGGTATGGACAGGGTAGGATCAACCGCAACAAAAGAAATGAAAAGGAAAAAGGAAAAGGAAAAGGAAAAGGAAAGCGAAAACAATCGTATGTTAACAAGCACAGCCGTCACGGTCGTTATCGAGGTGGATGTTAATGGGATCAGCAAAATCTCCGCTATACTCCTCCGACTCCTCTTGTACAAGAGCACTCTTCGCGATTTCTATTTCAAAGAAACAGGTTAGTCTATAGGCAGATAGATCATTATAAAGATATCCTTTAAAAGCATACCTTCAAATGCCTGCTCGACATTAATCGCCTCCTTGGCACTAGTCTCAAAGTAGGGAATATTCCCCTTGGACTGGCAATACGTCGCGGCCCGTTTTGGTGATATCATTCTTTTGCTCTCTTCTACATCGATCTTGTTCCCCAGCACAACCTACTCGCACCAATCAGAGTAAGCACACAGCCATAACCATAGCCATAACCAAATCAACCATAACGACGGATAGAATCGAGGGATTAAGGGGTAACTTCGAATCCTTACAAATGGAAAACTCTCAGGGTCCCTCGGGCTCGCTTGGACGAGGAATTCATCCCGCCAGCTATCCAGCGTCTCGAAGCTCTTGGAATTATTAACGTCGTATACCAGCACGCAACAATCGGCTCCCCGGTAAAAGGCTACGCCTAATGACTGAAATCGTTCTTGTCCTGCGGTGTCCCAAAGCTGGATTCGGAAGACAGAAATGGAAATGTCAGCATCTGTTATTCCCTCTCAAGGAAAATTCGGATATGATGCCAAAGGCCTAACACACCTGCAGGGTTACCAGTCGGTCATCCACCAAGACGTCTTTTGTCAGATAATCCGCACCGATTGTTGCTTTGTAACTTGAACTATATTTTTTATTCACCTGTGGCATTTTCGCAAAATAGAAGAGTCAGCTTGCCTGTGATATCTCATCACCCACGAGTGTCGTCTATCCTTCGGTATGGGGGAATCTCAAATGCACAGAAAACTGGTTGGACTGACATATTGGTTCATCAGACTCGTCTTTCCGACACCGCTATCCCCAAGAACGATAACCTAAATCCAAAGAACGGCAATATAATAAGCAGGGGTCACTTTGATTAGGTAGATTCAGGACATGACTCTGGGTTGGGGAGGCAGCCACCGACCTTCAAAAGGAGCTTCTTCCGGGTAGCCATGCTAGTAACGAAATCAATCAGGTTAGGGTCTGGGAGGTAGAGGAGGAACAGGGAAGTAGGAACAGTCTCTTGTTATCTGTGAGCAAGCCGCAGGAGCTGTAGAACAGTCCCGGGGCTTTGTCGTAAGTAGGCGTGGACCTTGGCTTGTCGACAAAGTTCACCGGGAAGAGGAAAGTGAAGCGGGACCCGTCGATACGAAAATTATTGAATGTATGTGCAGCGAAGCCCGAGAAATAGATCCTGCAATGCAAGTGAAACCGGAAGTGGGATGTTGGTGGCGAGAGAGCAGATGAGACCCGAAGTGAGATGATGGTTGATACCCAGGGGTGTTGAAGAGTTGCGGTAACACGGTGCGCCAGCCCGCGAACTTCTAGCTATTTTGGGACTGGCGGTGATGCTGTTTTTTCGAGGCCGGGCGGTGAGAACAGGCAATGACGATATTGCCGCACAGCCACAAGTTCTGCGGGAGTTATGTGGAGTAGTGTGAAGTATGAATACATATGTTGAAGGTGCTCTCAAGCGTTGTTGGGACCAAACTACAGAGTTCCTACAGAAGGTGAACAAGGTGTGTATTGTATGAATTGGGTTATCTTGAGGAGTTGATGATGTCCTCTTGGTTGGTGCCTGCTGGAGGGGAAATATTTAGTTACTTATCTCATCACCTTTGGGTTGACATTGTCGACAACAGCCTATTTGCCGGACTCGACCTCCAATCAACTATAACCAATCACATAGTTATTTTAGTTCAAGAATTCAACCTTAGACACCTCTCCTATTGTATTCCTACTGCATATTGAGTATCGAAATTCCCCTCATCTAACAATGCGCCTGACACTGTTCCATTCTGAAACTATCCCCCGGCCCTAACCAGCACCTCCAGTAGTCGATGCTCAACCCGTACAGCACAATCCAACCCAAAACCAGATGATGAAACAATGTCCAACTGGCGAGAAGAATACTTCTTAGCTCTAGGAGTCAGAGATGCACGCGAGCAAGCAAATGCAGCTGTATATGATGCCTGTATGTGTGCACTGTCACCTTCCCCGCCCGCAAAGAGCAGACGTCAACCATCCAGAACCCCATCATCCCCTATAGGTGACAATCCTCATTAACATATGCTGAAAATATGCAGATACCCGCCTAGCAGATCGTACTAGCAGTCTGCATACCCACACTCCCGACCCCGTGGTTCCTCCATCTGCCTCCCACACAACCAGCTCCCCAGCAGCCAACACCAATAGAAAGCCTACCCCTCCATCCAAAGCCCAACATGGAACAAACACACCCTTGCACTACGATCTACTACCTGCCGCGGTACGACAAGATCTTGCTGAAGCTCAACGCTCGCGCACAGAGTTACTAGATAAACTTTCCAGGACCACCGCGGAGCTGGAGAAGTTGAAGAAGAAAACGAGGGCAGACACAAGGAGGATTGAGATGTTGGTTGGGGAGAGGGCGCAGTTGATGACCAGGGTTAAAGATCGGGATGAGGAGTTGAGGGGGAAGGCGAAGCTGTTAGATGTACGTGTGCATTTCCTTTTTCCTTTTTCCTATTCCCTTTTTTTTATTTTTATTTTAATTTTTAATTTTAATTTTTTTTTGTGTTTTACTCATATCGTCGTTACCAATTTCATCTTTTGGCTTTGGTAGCTCTGGGAAAGGGGAGTGGTGTATGCTATACGTATATACTGACAGCCCTTTTAGAATCTACAATCTGAGCTCGTATCGCTGAATTTGCAGTTTAATATGGCGGAGGAACGGTCGAAGAAGTTAGAGACGGAGAATAAGGAATTGGTTGATAGATGGATGGCGAGAATGGGACAAGAGGCGGAGGCTATGAATAAGGCGTCAAAATATTCTTGATATGCCTGTTCTTGGGTCCTGTTGGATACGCTTCATACACACCTCTCATCAACAAATGAGGGAAACGAGAAATTGGAGCTGGTATGATTTATTTACATGTGGTGCATGGCGAGAGGTATTGCACTCCGCATGGCCCTCACAACGAACTGAAACGAAATGATGGGGTGGATGATGGTAATTACATGCCAATTTTTCTTCTTTCTTTTTATCATTACTGTTGTTATTATTTCATCCGGAGGTGTTTATACCAGGAATATTTGATTTAGACATGCACATGCTGGCGCATCATTGGTATATAAATCGAGAAACCGATATTCACTTGGACTCGTGGTATGGGGATTGTCTATATTTCAAAACAAAGGAAGCAATCAAAAAGTTCATGAAGTCTTGCATCGCACTCGAGAGGATATCACATCAAGCTAGAAATACCTTCTCCATCCACACTTCCTCCAGAGCGAAGACTTCCCTGCCACTTCAACGACGCCAAAATATATACCAAGAGGAAACCAAAAAGGAGGGCAATAACCAAAGAGGAGGGAAGGGCCAAGAAGAAAAGTAAAATGGAAAATGAAATGAAAATAAAGCCGGAAAAGGTATCATGTAATCAGAAAACCAAGAAACGACAACATCCAACCGCACCATCGACATATATCCCTCCAGCAACTAATCTAATCCGATGCAAAAAGAGAAGAAAAATAAAGAAAACGCCAGGGATGCAGAAATCCCAAGCAGGCCAATTCCACTCTCAATGCCCCTACCCCCCCCCCCCCCCCCCCCTCCATGAAAGCATTGGCTAGCTTCTAAAAAAAAAAAAAAAGAGCTACATGCGCCGTCCAGGGCATAAATGATATCAAATCAACCCGTCATTCAATGATTCTCCACAAATGCCTTAAGCCTCGAGCTGTCTTTGGTCGCAATGAAATACGTACCCCCTGCATTCGTCCAACTAACACTATCCGACCAGTAATTCTTCTGCTGAACCGACAACAGATTAATCGGCGAATTCAAATTGCGCGCCTGAATCCGATGGCCCGCAGGAACAAACGACTTCAACGACACAATCTGACAGCCCTCCTTCATGTAGAGAAAGTGATTGATGATCTCGTTATTCAGCTGCGGCGTGAAAGCCTGGTTATTGATAAGCACCACATCAGTTCTATGCAGGGTCTCGATGATACTTTGCTGCGTCAGGAAAGAGCCGCGGATCAGCCGGACGGCGCCGACAGCAAGACCCCAGAGCCGACAGCGCGCTTCAAATTCCCGCGCCTGCATCTCCGCCACGTCGCAGGCATTCTGCATAACTTCACACCCCCAGCTCTCACAGCCAACTTCCAACGCGGCCTGCAATACGACGTTACCAACCCCGGAACCTAGGTCGACAAATACCTGGCTGGACTTTAGCTTGGTCTGCTTGAAGATATCGGAGATGAAGCGGGGTAGGAGTTCGCCGTAGACGTTGTCTGTGCCGTTCTCGTATTGGCGGAGGGATTCTACGCGGGGGGAGACCGTGCGGGCGTAGGTTTGGGTGAGGATTCGTTCGACTAGGGGGAGGGATATGGTATGGGCTTTATCGAGGTGTTTGGCGATGGAGCCATTGGTCCGGAGGAAGTTGATGGTTTCGTTGTACTCGTCGACTGCTTCTTTGAACTCTGTTTCGGAGGCATGGGCTAAGGCTCGCCTGAAGCGGCGGTTGATGCCCGAGGTCTCGTTGGTGAAAAGATGGATATATTCTTCTGCTATGTAGTTTTGTGATACGATGTCGACTACATGGACTATGTCGTCCAAGGGTTTAAACCCGTCTTTATCTCGGGGAACGACGAGCTGGTATCTAGATTTAAAAGCAACGGTTAAAGATAGCTCATTAGCAAACGAATAGGAATAAAACTGGTTCAGTCCCCCGCCAGCTGAAATATAACTCACTCTTCCCCCTGCGATGTGCCAGGATATTGCAATCGAATCTTAACAGGCCCTGCTGCTGAAGTCACTGCCCCAGCGACGGTGTCGTCTTCAAAGGCGCGCTTGAGCGGTCCCCGTTTATCCACGGAGGTGATGTTAGCCGCATGCACAAATTCAATCATCTCCTTCTTCTCATCTTCCGAAAACGCAACCGTCGACCGAATCCGACGTTGCAGATCCGGCTCCGCGCTGATGCTGAATTTAGCCCGCTTGCGAATCTCAAACGAAGAAACGTCATCGTCATCGCTCTCGTCACTGCTGGTCAACAGCTTTTGTATAGGCAGTGGTCTCTTTCGGCCTCTCGATTTTGTACTCAAACGAGATGTGGAATCTTGGCGGTGGGATGGGGTGGGATCACTAGCGACAGAAGTTGCGCGGACGGAATTCGGCGGGAGCTTGATGCTGGTTGGGAGTGCACGATCGGGATGGCGGCGAGGATTAGGCTGAGAGGTCGACTTCGACGTTGGTCGATCTGATGCAGCGGACGAAGCTCGGAGAGGGGAGGATTTTGTTGTCGTTTCGACTTTTCGAATCTGGGTCCGTTTGGGCTGGATAGCTATGCTTCCCTTTTGCTGGAGATGGTCGAAAAAACCCATGCCCTCGGTTATTATTACTATTATTTGTATTATTTGTATTAATTTTGAATGGCTCGGACTTATAAATCTGGATTCTGGATTCTGGATTCTGGATTCTGGATTCTTTTTCTTTCTTTCTTTCTTTCTTTTCTTTTCTTTTCTTTTCTTTTCTTTTCTTTTTTTTTTTTTTTTGATTTTGCGGGTTAGACGAGCGATAGTATAGATAAGAGTCTAACCAAAGGGAATGTGACGCTTTTGGAGGAATGATGATAATACAATGCAGAAGGGGAAATGGCTAAATGGCGAGGGAATGTATGATATCCATAAAAATGCTACTCCGTGGTCTCCGCTGGAAGATGGAACCTTGCAAGAAAACGGCTATTGATGCAATATCACGGAGCGCCTGAGAAGAGAAGAAGCCCAAGGAAACCGGGGCAGCCGGGGCAACGGGATTGATTAATCAGCAAATTATTGGGGTTGCGGGAACGAAATCCAGTTGTATATGTGTATTGGTAACGCTGCGGAAATCTCGTATAATATCGATCGGAACTGTACAAAAAACTTGGTCAAGAAAATCAAAATACCAAGAGGCAATTCTCCACCAGAGAGGCCTTCCCCATATTTTAATACGAGACTCAAGTTGCGCTTCTGGGGCTGTCACTGACAACACAACTTGAAATACAGATACACAAGACCCAACCCAAGTTAAGAGTAATAATACCCAAGTGTTGTACTGACGGTTTGTCCACTAACCAAGAAGGCAAAAAGGTACACAACGCATCATGTTGTAGAACAAATTAGAATGAGTGAGTAATGGTGATAACAGATACAGAGCAAAAGGACAAGAAGGGTATCAATTTCCAATGGAAATGGCGGGAGGAAGAGATAGATGTATTAAACCAGTCAAAGGCAGATGTACAAGTCAAAAAGAAAATTTGACAGCTCTGAGACTTGAAGAGCTCCCTAACACAAACAAGCACATATTGAGTGTTTAAATATATATAAATGAAATGGGTTTGGTATTAGAAGAAGTAGTGATATGCTGTGTTTCAACAACAATGGCCCAGCAGTTCAGCAACAATAGAAAGAATGGGAAAGCTGATAAGAGTGTGAAGAGACACAAATCCTTCAAACCAACACTATATACCTGAGATATGAGATTTTTAACAGGTGGTAATTGTGAATAAGACACACTGTTGAAGCTGCCGATGAATGAAGGAGATATTATGAGTAGTGAGTGCGGATGTAGCTTAAACAAGTACAAGGGAGGAGAAAGAATAAAAGAGCAGTATGGCAAATTTTATGACGCGAGGTTTCAAGATGAAGAAGGCCCAGCAATAGCAGGGCCAGCTGTATATTTCGACGTGCTACCTTGGCGCTTAGCCAGTAAGCTTTTGAGTGCACCCAGCCATTTGGCCAGGGCTTCTTCATCTGGCGCGCAGAAACGATAGGTCTTATCTTCCGCGATAATCTGGAGACAAAAGTTCTTAGATCGGGAAATAGGGTCAATTTCCGCAGCGTTGATGACTTGTTCCATCGATATGATTTTCACAGCGGCGTACTCCTGTTCATCTTTGTAGAAAAATATATTCGTCGGTCGAAGGACGACCCAGAGCTTCTTCCACTGCCGGACTCCCTTTTTGCTTTTGAGACAGAGGAGGTAGCCATGGCATATCACGCGTTCCAGGTCCAAGTTACCAAGTACTCCATCACTCAGCTGGCTTGTGTTCCGTGGCAGCGACGGAGAACGGTCTAAGGGCGCAGTGGGGGATTGGGACGTCCGATCGTGTCGGGGTAAGGAAGCTGTGGAGCGGTGTGGAGCGGTGCTCGCAATGGCATCAGAGAAATCTGAACAGGATGCTACTTCGTTCCCGGAGTAGTCTTGCGTGTGCGAAGGCTTCCGTGCCTGCCGATTGCCGGAACGGAGGGATGGGATGTCAGGTTGGCTAGATGTCGCTCTATGACCATCGCATTCAGTTTCACTCGCGCTATCAACCGCTTCTCCTCTTTTTGTGGTTTCAGCCACGTCGTATCCCTTAATTGAGTCTGCATCATCCGAGCAGCTCTCGTTGCGAATGCACTCAACCCAGCTCTCTGCATCACTCTCGGATAGAGCTTGAAATCGGTGATTCTTGGACGGGGAAAAGATGCCAAACACATGTTGACGTTTTGACTTTGTAGCCTTCACTAAGGCAACCGCCGTCACGTCGGATAGGTCGATCGACAGTTGAAGTTCGGCTTCTTCTGAATCTTTATATAGTGAAAGAAGGTTGGGTCGTAGCACCAGATATCCAGGTTTCCACGATGCTTTGAATGCCTGCAGAATAGTTGTACTATTATTAGCTTCTTCCTCCCCCCACACACAAACGAAGCTGTTGTCATGGATCAAAATAGAAACGGGAAACAAACATGTTTGTTCTTTGATCGCCTCATCACCCTTCCTCTTTTTAAGACCTGATCAAAGGCAAAACTTCCATTCTCAGTGACTGGGGAGAAGGTATCCAGATTCAGATGCCCTTTGCGAGCGGGGACGGGATTTGGTGGTGGAGCTTCCCTCGGCACGCGGGTTGAGCCCACAATATCACTGTCGATCCGTAACATCTAAAGGGTATAGAAAGATAAAACAAAAGAAAATGGTGATTTATTGAAATGAGTTTTCTGGGCGGTAGCTAGGTTGGAGAGGAGTTAAATGGAGGGGGTCCAGTTGCGTGGAGTAGAGGGTCACGACGGGGCAAATTATATATCTTATTTATTTTTTATTTTTTAAACGGCGGTGGCGATCGAATATCAATTGCGATTGTGTATTAGCCAAGAGTAGGGCAAAGCCGGCACTTTAAAAGGCGAAAAGATGAAGAGGATGCCAGAGTCATTATTCTGTTGACAGAGATCAAGGTGGACATTGACATTGTTGTTTTGTCGCAGGTGAGCAGTGATCAGGAAAAAGGAACGACATAAAGTTGGTGAGTAGGCGGGCTTGGCGCTACGGACACCCTTCCCCCCCCCGGGCCTGCATTCGGATGGTACAAGGGAAATGGAGAGAAAAAGGATAAAGGAGAGACAAAAGAAAAAGAGCTGAAAAGGAGATGGGCTGTTTGTGACATACTACCAAATGGAGTATTTTGTAACCTTTGAGAGCCATTCGAACTAAACTCTTGTTCTCTTTTTAGCTCTGTTAGCTCTGGGATACTTGTCTTGCATTGAGCAGGCTGACCGAATTTGTCGGTGGGAAATTTGCCTTGTTGATGTGCCGCAACGAATGGACATTACGGTATATACCTAACCGCTGATTAAAACGTATGTGTGAATAACATGAGCTTGACATTACAGAGGCAACATCAGCATAACCCAGCTCACAAACTTCGTAGCACATAGGTTGATAAGATATTATTATTCTGTAAGTTTAAACGGCATCTGGGGTCTCCCATGTAGAACTAGCAGGGATTCTTCCTTAAATATCTATCAGTGGCATGCTGTGGACCTTACTTTATCCATCAATGGATATTTTTGTATCATTTTGCACACAGCCAGCACCATATGGATGCATGCTCCATTTATAGTATCTCTGGATCCCAACCACAGAGCCGGAGCTGAGGAACGGAGCTTTTGATATTGCCTCAGGCTGGGCAGCTGGAGTAATGGAGATATATAAAATTTGGCCAAGAAGGCCAGATAATGCTCACCAGGGAGATGGCATTGTATGGAGACAGAGAGCTACTGATATCACTACTGTTAGAATTACTGATTAAAAATGTTTGCAGAAGCTACTGATAGACGTAAAGACGGAGGAAGTTGTACAGATATCATTACGCGTGCGGACTCGTGTTATTTTAGGTATTGTACTGTTCTGTATATGGTACAGTGATACAGTACAATCAGAGAACTTTTGCAGTTCAAGAACAAGTCAATGATGCCATAGAGGCCGCGCCAAGCCCTGTAGTCGTCTCCCCGGGCATTCTTTAATTTTACATCAAATACGGAGTCCTCGGTATGGTATTGGGTATTTGAGACCAAGAGATTTATCTCCAGAGTAGACAGAGACTGAACTGACAAGCATGAAACTTCCATGGGATACCTAGGTAGCTTTAGCTGATTGTATGGAATAAATACCCCCGTAGAACCTGTCTACAATTCTCTGTAACCAAATATAACTAACACTGCCAGGGTTGGCATGATAGGTTGGTTGCAATGCTTCCGAGTCCAGCCTCTGTTTTTAGTTAGTGCAGTCTTGGCGGTATATCCCTTCCTCCCATCAAAACGTCTGGTTTCGAGCCTCAAACCAACTCAACCCAACTTCTCATCGTCTCTTTGCAACCCCCCCCCCCCCCCCCCCCC